CAAGTTCAAAAGTTAAGTAAAACAATTACATCCAAAAGCACAGTAAATTATTAATGTACAATAAAAGGTTTTAATCCGTCAAAAGTCTTCAGTTCTCCCGTAACACTCCCGACCAAAAGAACCTTGGTTCTTTTCACAGACAATTAAATAAACAAGAATCCAAGTTTATGCATCACAAACAATCAACAACAAACACTCAATACACCAACAATCTCGTGATCCCTAGGACTTACACCAGTACGCCTAGGGATCCGACTAGCTACCTACCATCTACGGCTTCAAGAAGGCACAGTTTTCTAATATCTCTTACTATGATCCCTTTTCTTGTCCTCAATTCTACCTGCCTCACTAATCTATCCCTACTTGGTAACACTCTCTGCACTAGACCTAAGGGCCATTTATTTTTCTCGGAGAACTCGGAACATATCATTACTAAGTCACCCTCTCGTATGTTCCTCTCTAGTTGGGTCCACTTATATCTACGTTGCAATAGCGAAACATATTCTTTAGACCAACGTTTCCAAAATACCTGTGCCAAGTAACTCGCCTGCTTCCATCTCTTAGAAAATCTGTCATTAGGTAGAGTGTAAGTGAATTCCTCGACATTCTCTCTCAATAGCAATAGTTTTGCCGGTGTTATGGCCTCGAAATCGTTCGAGTCGTCTGTAACGGGAACTAAAGGTCGATTGTTAATTATACGCTCAGCCTCTGTCATGAAAGTTTCAAGACATTCATCTGTTAAAGATTGTTCCTTTACAAGAGCACCCAATACCCTTCGTACAGAGCGAATCATGCGCTCCCACACTCCTCCCCAATGACTAGCAGCCGGAGGATTGAAATGCCAGTCAATCCCCTTTCTTAGTAATGCAGAGTGTATACGCTCCTGCACCCAACCCTGAAGACTTCTTCTTAGTTCACGCTCAGCTCCCACCAGATTTGATCCATTATCACTGTATATCTCCTTTGGATAGCCTCTCCTACTGACAAATCTCATTAGTGCCATGATAAATGAGTCTGTGGTAAAGCTATATGCCACCTCCAGATGCACAGCTCTCAACCTTAAGCAAGTGAATACACAACCATATCGCTTTTCAGTACTTCTACCATGTTTAACCATAATGGGTCCAAAATAATCTACCCCAACTGATAAGAATGGGTAGTCACCACCTTCTATTCTGACCGGAGGCAATGGTGCCATTAGTTGTTGAATGGGACGGGCGTTCCTCCTTTTACAATAAACACAATTCTTTATCACCCTCCTCATGGCTACACCACCCCTCAGCACCCAAAATCTTTCTCGGACCGTTGCCATTACCTGTGTAGCTCCAACATGTCCCTCCAAAGTATGGTAGTGCTGTAGAATCAAATGTGTAATTGTATGCTTCGATGGTAATATTATAGGATGCTTCCTCGACTCGGGCCAGGAACTAATTTGAAGGCGGCCACCAACACATAATAATCCGTTTATCATCATTGGATTTAAGATTCGTAACGGCGAATTTTTATCTTTACATTGCTAATGGTATCGGACAATAACATTTCAATCTCTTTCCGAAATACTATGCGTTGGACATATCGAATTAATTCTAAACAAGCGAAATTTAACTCATCAACTCTAAGCATGCCCACCTGTAGAGACAGATCAGTTCTACCAGAACGCATTACCAATAAATATCGCTTAAATCGGATTAACCACGCAGCAGCCTTAAGTAATCTAGTCCAATCTGAATAATAATTAATAAGTTGATCAACAGTGGATTCTTCAGCCATTACATGCGCCGACATTGCCTTCTTTATTTCCAAGAGATGGGGTTCAGGACATTGTACATCAGCGGCAGGCCAACACTCCTTCGGCTTCTTGAGAAAATTTGGACCCTCCTCCCAAACCTTGACATCATCAATGTCAAACTTCACCCCTCTGGATGCAAAGTCTGCTATGTTTTCTTTAGAAGGTACGAATCTCCATTGGTCCACCTTAGTAAGACTGTGAATAGTCGAAATTCGATTTGCTATGAATGTTTTAAACTGGCTTTTCTCATTTCTAATATAGTGTAAGACAATCATGGAATCCGTCCAAAATTTAACCTCTGCAAACTTAATATCTAATTCTGACTGCAGTTGGTATCCCATGCGAGCTGCTAAAACTGCTGCCGTAAGTTCCAAGCGCGGTATAGTTTGGACCTTCAAGGGGGCTACTCTTGCCTTAGCCGTAACAAGACGAGAACATATTTTAATGTCAGAAATGTAAGAGCGAACGTATGCTACCGCACCATACCCAGTTTCCGATGCATCACTGAAAATATGAAGTTCCAGGAGCGAACGATCTGATTGCGGAAACAATACACAACGTGGAAAACTAACGTTCTCAACCCTCTGAAATTCACTTAAAATCTCTAACCAGCGTTTGCTTTCCTCATTCGGAATCTCTTCGTCCCATCCTAGTCCCAATTTACCTAAACGTTGAAGTAACTGCTTCATGGGAAGTATAAACGGTGCTACCAATCCCAGAGGATCATAAAGTGAGGCTACACTTGACAATATACCTCGCCTAGTGAGGGGGCGTTTCGGTATGCGAACTTTAAATTCGAACGAATCAACCATAGTATTCCAAAATAATCCCAACGTGCGTTCAGTAGGAAGTCTTTCAAAGTCAATCTCTCTTACGGCTTCTGCTCTCTCTTCTGGATGAATTGATTCAAGAACTTGTAAACAGTTACTTATCCACTTGGTCAATCTAAACCCACCTTTTCTGAGGAGAGAACCAAGGGCCTTTGCCAGCTCAATTGCATCCTGTACATTATCAATAGAGGCTAAATAGTCGTCGACATAGAAACTCCTATCTACGACATCCTGGATATCTTCATTGAATTCCTTACCGAATATATCTACCGTCTTCTTAAGAGCGAAATTAGCGCAAAAGGGGGAGGAAACGGCTCCAAACGGATGAACTGTTAAACAATATTCCTTAGCCGTTCGTCGTATATCACCGTCTTCCCACCACAATAGACGAAATGCTCCCCTGTCTTGTCTCGGGATCTTTACTTGAAGAAACATCTCCTCGATATCAGCAGCTAACGCTACGTTACCTAATCTGAATCGCAGAAGTACACCAATTAAACTATTTACAGTATTCGGTCCTCTCAAAAGCTGGTCATTAAGAGAACAACCTTGATAGACAGCCGCACAATCAAAAACAATTCTCAATTTTTCAGGCTTTTTAGGGTTGATAACAGGATGATGAGGAATATACCAACAAACAGCATCACAGTCAAATCCCTCTTCACTAGCTTCAATGATGTAGCCCTTACTTAAATGTTTATTCATCACAACTTGATATTTCTCCAAAAGACTGTTGTCTCTCATAAACCTCTTCCTTAAGCATTCTAGTCTGCGTTCAGCTAGTTCCAAATTATTCGGTAGCCTTGGCTTATCATACTTCCATGGTAGACCAACTTGGAAATGACCACCCTCCAATCTAAACGAACTGCTAACTATTTCTAGAGCTTTTTATCTTCGACAGAATACCCATTACGAAACGTATCTGTATCCTCGAACTCATGATTATATAGTCTTTCTAAATCTCGCAAAATATCATTAGTGGAACAATGACACCACTGAACTTGATGTAGAGACCTTGATACTCCCTTAGGACCTATAATCATCCAACCAAGATGAGTACGCACAGCAAACGGATGCTTCCTGTCCCCCAGACGTTGTTCCAGGACCCAATGTGCATCCGGAGCATCACACCCAATTAATATTCCTACGAAATTACTTTGCAACCTAGGAAGGGTTATGTCCTTCAGATGTTTCCACCGCTTCAGTTGGAGTTCGGTTAAAGGGGCTGCATGATCAATCGGAAGTTTCTTGGTCGTGTAAACTTTGTTGATCCTTATAGAACCCCGTTCATCTAATGAAAATACCTCTAAATTTACCTCCAAACATTCACAATTGGTAGTTCCGTTCACAGTAGCCACCTTTATCGAAGTCTCTTTACCTTTGATACCCAACTGATTAATTAATTCCTCACATACAAGAGAAGTGTCCGAACCACTATCTAGAAGTGCATATGTTTCCAAGCATCCTTTGGGACCGTATAGTCTGACTGGAACGATCCCCAAACAAACCTTTGAGGAGTTCCAATCCTTATTTAGGTTCACCACATGGTTATCAATACTATCAATATGCAATAATGAATTATGCCCAACCTTGCAATTCTCAACGTCGCACTTGATGCCTGAGTTGCATGTCACAGCTATATGACCTTTCCTTAAACATAAGTAACATAGACCACGTTTTCTTACCTCCTGCCTCCTTTCTTTTACATTCATTTTTGCTAACCTTGGACAATCTGTCGCCTCATGATCACCTACGCAGATTTCACAACGTGTTACCTTGACTGAGTTATTTGGGTCTCGTCTGATCGCATGAAAGCGTGATCTCTTATCAGCTTGGCCTTCAGGATTCCTTTTACCGAACCTTGAGTTACACTGTACTAATCTACCATAACGGGTTCGGGCAATTCTGGCCCTCTCTTCTACAAAGACCACAAATTCTTCGAAGCTCGGCTCCTTCCCATGCATCATGATTTTATCGGCGACTTCCACCCACTTATTCTGCAATTCTAGTGGTAGACATGAAACTATTACCTCCAAATTAGCCGTAGAATTAACGTCAGACATGTATCCCATTTCCATCAACGTTATACATACATTACGCAATTTAATCGCAAAGTCAGTTAATAAGTCAGCTGATCCTCCGACCGATTTATGGTTTAATAACTCAATAATTAGTTCTCGTGCAACAAGATGTTCTTTACCAAATAAATCATACAAAATCTGTTTAGCTCTATCATAACCCAGATGAATGGGCAATGAAATGCAAGCTTCAATAGCTGTCCTGGCCTTTCCCTTACAATAGTATAACAAATACGACAACAATTGGCCCTTATCTGACAATTTACTCTCTATAAGGCTATTAAACTGACTAATGAAACGGTATTACTGACCTGGTTGCCCATCAAAGTACATCATATCGATCTTAGGTAAAGACATGTTACTAACCATTGTATGTAACGTGTCCTTCAGTTCCTCAACCCAATCGACATTTGAGATGTTACAGACCTTCCCAGAGTGATTATTACACCCAGTATCATGATTCAAATAATTTTCCACTTTAGCATTTGTCGCACATTTATCTACGGGTAATCGTCCATCGTCCTCGATGGCCTTGCATTCTAGTTCAGCGATATCAACCTCTTCTTGTAGATTTAACATCTTAAGTTGCCGTTCTAACTCAAGTCTCTTCTCTAAATTCCTTTTCCTCAGTAATGCCTTATCTAACTTTAATCTGGAAGTACTTAGCTGGCTAGAGGACATACTATTAAGACTAACATCATCACATTTATCATCAATAACATCAGACATACCACAAACAGCTTTAGAAATGTTACCATCCATTTCGTCATTTTCCTTCAGCCTTTTACTCCGTGTTTCCATCGTATTTGTTGTTCCAAATAATCAATTGCCAAAACAAATCTGAATTAATCCAAACGAAATCGACCAATAAGACCAGGAATTCGGACCCAAAATATCCAGAAAACCCAAGGTATGAACACAGAACCAATAATTGAAGAACTTTATGTTATGTCCAAGTTTTGCTCGTTCTAGTTATTGAAGTACGGACTATCGATCTACTTGCAAATTACGAACCCAAGTAGGCAAGAGAACCAAAAATCCAAATCAGGTACCAAGTTTATTCGTAATTCACAAATAATCGACCAAATGTCGTTCTAATAACAATAATTATAACAATTACAAAACAAACCTTCAATTTTGTAGGTTCCCGGAGCAAAACTCCCAAATACCAAACCAAAGACAAAAGGAGCACCAAAATACCAAACCAAAGACAAACCAAAATGTCCGAAATAATGATATAAACAAACAAGTTCAAAAGTTAAGTAAAACAATTACATCCAAAAGCACAGTAAATTAGTAATGTACAATAAAAGGTTTTAATCCGTCAAAAGTCTTCAGTTCTCCCGTAACAATAACAACTGGCGACGGAGAATTTTTTTTTCTTTCCTATATTGATTGATCCAGTACAAAATGCCTGTTTCATTGGATGACCTTAAAACTATTCTTCAAATGCAGCAAGCACAAAATGAGGCAAATCAGACGAAGCTTTTGGATGCATTCGCACGAATGTTCTCATTACAGTCGTCCTCAGCTTGTCAATCAGATAAGCATGAAAGCATCATAAATTCTATTTCTGAATTCCAGTATGATCCTGAAGCTAATATCATTTTCAGTTCGTGGTTTCACCGTTGTGAAGATATTTTCCGCGTTGAATGCTCGCATCTTGATGACGCAGCGAAAGTCCGCTTACTCTTAAGAAGACTGGGAACACAGGAATATAATAAATATGTGAATTTTATCTTGCCGCAAAATCCACGAGATGTATCATTCAAAGATACAGTCCAGATTTTATCTGATATTTTCGATGAACAGTCCTCATTATTTAATACTCGCTATAAATGCTTCCAAATAACGAAATCTCCAGAGGACGATTATCTCACGTATGCCGGGAAGGTAAATCGACAGTGCGAACGCTTCAAAATAAACGAAATCACAGCGGACCAATTTAAATGCTTGATTTTCATATGTGGTCTAAAGAATGAAGAAGATGCAGATGTCCGTACCAGAATGTTGGCACGCATTGAACAAGAACCAAATATGACATTACAAATGGTTACAACCGAATGTCAGCGGTTACTTAATCTCAAGCATGACACTGCGATGGTGCAACAGAAGGTTAAACCTTCCGGTTCTGATTCAATTAATGCGCTCCGATCCATAAAATCATCGAAACAAAACTGTACAAGCAGGAAACAACCTGCCAACCCCCCATCACCATGCTGGTTCTGCGGAGCATGGCATTTTGCAAAATTCTGTCCGTTTAAGAATCATAAATGCCGCAAATGTCATCGCATTGGCCACAAAGAAGGTCATTGTTCGTTAAATAAACGCAAGACTAAACATCGTAGTGAAAATTCAAAGCAACGATCAGACAGTCAAATTAAAACCACGTTTGCAACCTTTAAAGTTGGATTTAAAAGTAGGCGGAAATTCGTAAATTTATTAGTAAATGAAAAACTTATACGACTTCAGTTGGACACTGCTTCTGATGTCACGTTGATTTCAAAGAACACATGGCACAAGTTAGGATGCCCATCCATCCGACCGACGGAACATGTCGCCCGAAATGCGTCAGGAGACATAGTAAAGTTGACAGGAGAGGTCCTATGCAATGTTCAACTTATGGGAAGCAAATTTACAGATGTTTGTTATCTAACAAATCGACACGATTTAGATCTATTGGGATTAGATTGGATTGCACATGTTGATACTTTGAATAAATTATTAGATGAGGTATGTTCTCAAAATGTTTCCTATGATTCTATCCAAATCCCTAATGATATTTCTAAATCAAATGCCTCCGACGAATCATCCTCTCTGGATATTAACGAATTAAATGCTTCTGATGAAACATGTTCTTATGATCTTTCTGAATCAAACAATTCAAATGTTATGTGTTCTCACCATGTCAAATCAAATACCGCCGATTCATTGCCTTCTCATAAAATTTCCAAATCGAATACTTCAGACAAAGTATGCGCTAGTGAAACTTCGGAGTCTCATGTACTTCTTTCAAAGTGTCCACGAAAAGCTGAACTACAATCTTGGCCATCTCCAGAAAACCTTGGTCGCGTATACATGTTGATCTTGCTGGCCCATTCCAGGGTACGTACTTCCTCGTTTGTGTTGATGCTTATTCAAAATGGCCGGAGATTTTTCCTATAAATCAAATCACTTCGCAACAGACTATCATGAAGCTACGGCAGTTATTCTCCCGTTTTGGAGTTCCAGATGTTCTCGTGACAGATAACGGCACTCAGTTTATTTCTTCCATCTTCTCAGATTTCTGCAAGAGGTTTGGAGTCAAACATGTCCGATCACCTCCGTACCATCCACAATCGAATGGTCAGGCCGAAAGGTTTGTAGATACCTTCAAAAGAGCGCTACTGAAGGCAAAAGGGGAGGGAAAGATAGAGGAGATTCTTGATGACTTTCTCTTGGTCTACAGAACAACTCCAAACCCATCAACACCAAATCAAATGTCCCCAGCAGAAATTATGTTTGGTAGAAAAGTAAGAACTGCCCTCGATGCCATGAAACCACAGCAAAGAGACATCGGAAAAAGAAACAGAAAGATGGAAAACCAATTTGATCGCCATCATGGGGCGAAACGCAGAATTTTCCAGAAAAATCAAAAAGTATACGTCCGCGATTTCCGATATTCACCTCCACAATGGACCAGTGGACGCATACTTAAGAGACAAGGGAACGTAATGTATGTGGTGGAAGTTGAAGGACAGAAGTGGACACGCCATGTCAACCACATACTGGAAAATGCTGGCACTTCACAGAAAACCGAGAAATTAGACTCAATGTGGAGAATCATTCTGGACAGTTTTGACATAAAATGCTCAGCGACTCAGAAGACCACGCAACCTGAACAAAGTCCTATTAGGAAAGCATCACGGAAACGCAGAAGACCAGATATTCTACAGGTAGACCCAAAGAGGAGAACATACGTTTCCGAAGGAAGATATCAATGATGATATCTCAGCACTTACCTGTATATAGTAACTAACCATATTTTTTTTTCTTTTTTTTTAAAGGGGGAAGGTGTTATGAACGGGGAATTAAGAAGCCCAGACAATTACGAAAGCTATTTTCTTGGGACGTTATTGCATTTCATTCAAAACCTGTAAAACACTTATATTTATTTTTGTCCCTATCTTATTCTACATAACACGAGCTTTCGTTCTATGTATCATTCACTAGCATACCCTTTTTTGTTCCAAAAATATTGTAATTTAAACATTATATTTTGCACTATATTTTCTACCCTAATTCCCTGTTTCGGGCATAACTGTATTTTTCCAAATTATCCTACGTCGTGGTCAAGATATGCACTTATTTATTCATGTACATTTTTGTAGTAATCCGAATTCAGAGAATCCAGAGTTTAGTGTTCCAACTGTCTTGTCTTCTTTCACTCGCGTGCTTGCCAACCAATCAGGATTTAGAATAGTTCTCTCTACCCCATCTCGAACTCACGCATATTAGACTCAAGGTTAAGCCACTCAGCCTAACGCGTCAAGGTCATAATTTAGACTACACCGACCAAGGTCAAGTCATAACAAGTATCACGGGGTAAAAGCGATTCAAGGTCATAACACTCTAGGAGGACAAATTTTCAAGTGTATAGGTTTAGTTGGGCGCGTGTTGTTACACGACTCACATTTTAGTACATTACTGAACGAACAGCTGGGATTAGTCATGTCGTTATGGTTTTTGGTGTCAGTTGGGGTCCGTATCTTATCCAAAGGTTTCTGATCTGTAGACTCATCTAGATCAACAAAGTGATCAGCCGTTTATGGAGTGATGTCATGCTTATTGTTCATTTGATTTAATCTACTTACTGTGTCACGAACGTTCTCTGGCTGGTTATTTAATGTAACACTCCAATGCAGCCCTATCGCTGCGCGTCTTCTTACACGACGTTGACAGGGCGTAAGGTCTGGAGTGACTTTTATATTCTTGTATGGAATTAGTGAGCTAATATTTTTGCTCAAATTAATAAACTGCTTAGCATCGTTACAACAGCCAAACATAAGCAAGAGGGGGCAAGTCGATCTGTCTGACTTTTTTCTAAGGCGGATGACTTTGCAGTTAACGTTCGGTATGCCGCATGCTCTAAGGCAAATATCCCTTAACTTAGATGGGTGTGTGTGGTCGGGGAGGTTGTACACAACTGCATTGAAGGAGATCACTCTCTTCGTCACTTCTTCAGCCACAAACTCCAAAATACACTCAGCTTTAGTGAGTTGCTCAAGATTTCTGTCTGTATCAAGGCCCCATATATGAGTGAGGGGTGCTAATTGCTCAAGTTTGCCGTTAATTTCGGATAGAGAGTTTTGTAGCTGACGGATGTCATTACTATATCTATCAGTATTTTGGTGTGTATGAGGTGGACCACTGGACTCTTTAGTTTTTGAAATTTTAGATTTAGGCCTTGGTAGCACATACTGTCTAGTAGACTGTGCTGCCTTTTCGATACACGTAGGTATAGTGTCTTGTATGTCAACCAGTCTTACCGTTGGCATACTGCACGCAGAGATAGAGGGGTTGTAACAAGGAGAAACAGGTGATGATAGTGTCATTTGTGTACAATACGCATATTGTTCAGTAGTTAAAGTTTCGACATTGTCAAGCACTAAGTCGTCAGTTGTAGGGGTTACAGATTTGGACCTTTTATTTGGCTTAGAAGTTGGTGAAATTCCTCTTTTACTGGAGTAATTGACCATGATTTGAAACTGGGTGAGCACAGAGATGGTTGAATTAAATGTAATATCTGGGTATTAGTTGTTACCAAGTATTAACCTGGTTAATACTAGGATCAGAGACTATGAGTATATAATAAATTCCAGATCTATTTAGGACTTAATTCCGTGATAGAAATAATATTAACTGGTACGTGTTCGTTGAAAATTTTTTCCAAGGTAAAATGTACCCGATATACAAGATAGGATGTTAGTCTCCGTATAATGCACCCTACAAATGAACTAATCTAAGAAGTCCTAAACCACGGTTACCGATTTCAAATTTCGCGCACCATCAAATTATGGATTAGGCAGTTGCATCACAACAAATTTACAGTTTTGGAATTAGGTCTTTTTTATTAGAGCAGTACTAATATGGAAGTGGACCGTAATCCTACAAGTATCCCGAAGAAAAGCCGCATTAAACTTTTTTGATGTTGTCCGCCTCATTGTCGAGTGCTTCTTGAGTTTCAGTTTCGTCTTGGCGGCCAGCAAGTGATGATCTGATACTATATCAGCTCCTCTTTTGGTTCTCACATTTTTCATTGTCCTCCTGAACTTTTTGTTGATGCAGATATGGTCGATTTGGTCCATTTGGTTTTGTCTAGGCTTTAAAGTGGGAATATAGTGCCGCCTATGATCAGTTTATTGTACGAGCATTCCATGTACCTAAATAAATGGTTGGTCTGGTCGTCAGAAGAGGCATCGACCTCATGACTTCCGAAGGAACTGGGCATTCATCAAGAGGCGTCATAACTCTTCTAGATGAAGACCTTCTGACTCCCAGGGCAGAGATTCAATGGTTTGAATATATTTTTTTCTGGTTAGCGTTTTCTTAGCGGGTTAGCTTTCTACGGGATGGGGTCGCTAACCCCACGCCCAACCCTCCTTTATCCGGGCTTTGAACAGCAGTAACCATAAACGGGCTCCAAGCGAAGTTATACTTTATCTACTATTTCGCCTAATATGTTTTGGCATATACTTCTGGAATTGTTTAACGGTGTAAAATTTTAATCACTCCCTAATGGCAAATTTTCAAATGCTATACTTATAACCCGCTCGCTCGAAACGCCACTGCCAACTCCGTGTTTCAATAACTAGACCATCTAATCTCAGGCTACTACTATTAATGATTGTTATCGATTTTCTTCATTAATAAACACAGATGGGTTGTATGTACTTATGAAGTCTTTGGATCGCTTTTGATTTTTCTCTTTTCTCAAGATTCTTACGTATAAGCAGCTGTGGATACTTCTACAGTACACAAAGCACCTTAATACGGTATAACAATCGACTTATTTCGAAATCTCATTGTTATTTGAGTTGATGAAGTAATCTATTCGTGTGAGTTATCAATGAACAAGTCTTCATCATCTCACATTCCACTCCCAATCCAAAGCTTTCTATTTTCTCAGACATGGTAGGTCGCAAATTAACTATGTGTCATATTTTTACAGTTCGTTTTTGCAGAAACCCTCGGCAAGGGACGGGGTCTGTACTGTGAGTAATGATTTTTTTGTATTTAGAAGTGTGGATAGAACCTCAGTGATTCTGAGCTTTTACTATGTTTTTTGGTGGTATTCCAGGGGAAGTCATAGTGAATGGTAGTGTGTACTGTTTCATTGAGATCGCAATTCGAGCGGCTTATGAATGAATCTCACTGGTGAAAACTTAGAATTGATTCACGATACACACAAGACGTTACATTATAGTTATCTGATGTCATATTTCCATTTTTTTAAGTAGCTGTTTGTGAGTGTGTACCGACATGAGGCCCACTACAAGTACATGTTAATTGCGTCAAAAGGATCTTGCTTCAAAAACGTTAGTAACAGTGCCTGTATATAGTGAGAGTTTTAGACTTCATCTGACCAAGAATACTAACTTTCGAAAACATGCTGAAAACAACTTATTTTACTATCTGTTTACAATACAAGTTATCATTTTGTCACAACTTTTAATACCATTAAGAACGATTCAAGGCTTTTTAAATATATTGGTTACCCATCTATAGGAGAGATGTTTGTGTGTAATCTAAAATTATGAATTATCATTTTGCTGTCTTATAATGGGATTGGTAGACTGAACACTGGGAATGAAGGGATGTTGGTAACTTGTAAATATCTGAAACCCTAGGACTAAGCCTCCTCAAGGCTAAATTACGAGCGTTTGGAATTGCGACAAAAGTCTGGCGACTTTAAATAGGAGCCTCAAACCCATCGGAATTCGAACATGAAGATAGTGATAAATGTCACGGCATTTCTATAAGTGTAAAAGCTATTTCTATAAAAGATTTGAAAGTCTTATTGACGATTTATCAGTGGCGGTTATTTATTGCGAAATTTCATTAAAACATTTTAACGAAAATCACAAACTATTCTCCTGATTTTTCCTTGGATATATAGCATTTTTATTGTAAGCTATTTTTTACTAAACATACATGAACATGATAATCAAATCAACTGAACAGCTTCTAAGGCCATTAGGATCTGCATTATTTTTGTGATACATTACAAATTGCTGTGAATTTTACTGCCAAAATTTCTGTCTTAATCCGATATTTTTTGCCTTGGACTCACTATAATGAAAATATGTTTCAATCCGGTGGATTACTGGTAGTTAAAACTAAAATGTGGTTTTCCTGTGAAAAATCTGACTATACTGGCGTGAGAGTCCTTCTTGTAGCTCCCCGATAACTTAGAACTTCCATTTATTGTTTTTGGTTCCAGATGTCTGATTGTCAAGTCACCTATCAGTATAACGTTGGTAATAACAAATGGAATGTAGTTTGTAGCTTAGAGCGTACATTTTTACCTAGTTGCTAAAACTGTATTGTTCCCCAATTAGAAAGACGATATATATATATATATATATATATATATATATATATAACAGCCTACTCTACTTTGATTCAACAAAAGTTTCGTTTCCTGAGTCATTTAGGGATCCTATGACTCATTAAGCTTCTGAATCTCATTATTTGCCTTTATTCAATTTAATTGTTTCGTGTATCTGGAAGCCCTGATTCTGCTTCCCGTGGCCTCGCTGATGTAGGTATAGCATTGAGTCCTAGGGCAAAACTAGTTCCCTTAGAATGGATCCTAGTAGACAGTCGTTTGTGCGCTGTCCAACTAAACGGAACGGTAAGGACTCTGAAAGATAGGGACACTATTCATCGTCCCTGCATACTCTCCCATTGACTGCAGCTCAGATGAGGTAAAAGATGAGTTATGCAGAAAGCTTTTTGACCTCCAAAAAGTTAGGCTCTTTGATGTAGTAATAGTGGCTGGTGACTTTAATGCTCAAGTAGGTAAACTAAGCGAAAAGGAAAGACACCTAGGTGGATTTTATGGTGTCGTGGTTCAAAGAACAAATAATGGCGATCGTCTGTTGCAGCTATTTTCAGATAACCACCTGTTTCTAGCAAACACTATATTTAAGCATAAGGAAAAACATCTTTTGACATGGCGACCCCCAAACTCATCCCAATGTTGGACCCAACTATATCACATCACCATCAGCCACGAATGGAGAGGCTCGATAGAAGACTGTCGCTCGTTCTGGAGCACATGCTTAGATTCAGATCATTCTTTAGTGCGAGCGCGTATTCGTCTGCGTCTTACTGGACGTAGGAAAAACGCTACAAGGAAACCTCTTAGGGTTCTACCTAATGATTGCCGAGCTAAGAATATATTTCAGAAACAACTAGAGAAAGTTGGGCAGCCATGTAAATGATGCCCACCCCAAAGCAGCTTGGAATGATATCCTAAAAGCTTTGGAAACTGCAGTGATATCTCCTAGTACTGTAAACCACAAGGTTACGTAGAAACAATGGATCTCAGTAGCATCTATCGCACTGATAGATGCTCGAAAACTGATTCCATCTGGCTCTGAGCATAACAAAGAGCGGAATCAGCTTAAGCGCAAGCTGACAAAAAGCCTACGCAATTATCGTGAACAGTAGTGGATAGCAAAAGCAAGAGAGATGGAAAAGGCAGCGGCAATAGGTAACAGTAGACAACTGTTCAGACTTATTAAGGAAACCGGTATTAGGAACCTGACTGTTAGCGAAAAAATCTCGGAGAAATATGGACATATTAAACATTCTCAATCCAGGAGATTGGATCGATGTGCAGAACACTTTAGGAATCAGTTCAACTAGCTTTCAACCACAATTCGGTTTCCCACGATCTCCAACTACCTGAATGGCAAGTTGATGTAAGTCTTCCAACTCTGAAGCGAGGGAGAGCAGTGGGCCCCGACAGGTTTACCCCTGGGATTTTTAAGGATGGTGGTCCAGTATTAGCAGTGAGATTGACTGAGGTATTAGGTAGAATTTGGGAACTGGACGTAATCCCATCTGACTGGTCTCAATCACTGATTGTGCCAGTCTATAAGAAAGGACAAAAGTCCTCTTGTGACAATCACAAAGGAATCAGTTTGACTAATATAGTGTCTAAAATATTAGCTTCAATAATACTTCGACGCCTAATCAAAGCTCGTGAAGAGCAGATTAGAGAAAACCAGGCTGGTTTTCGACCTGGACGTGGTTGTATAGATCAGATATTCACACTACGTCAGGTCCTAGAACATAGATACACATTCAGACGCCCCACAATGGTAGTATTTCTCGACCTTAAGGAGGCATTTGACTCTGTTGATCGTGAGGTTCTATGGCAGTGTTTGTCACTGAAAGGAGTACCAAAGAAGTACATTAACCTTGTAAAGGCTCTCTACTCGAACACAACTGGTCGAGTGAGAGCTTATGGCGAACTGTCATCAGAATTGATTACCTTAAGTGGTGTTCGTTAGGTCTGTTTACTCTCCATTCTTGTTTAACTTTATCGTATACATGCTTTTAAAGATGACACTTTCCTCATCTAAACTTGCAGGGGTTGAACTTTTACCGGGAGATTCACTTGTTGACTTAGAATACGCCGATGACATAGTTCTATTTGGTGAAGACGCTGACAAAATGCAGAGTCTTCTGACCACTCTAAGCAACAATGAAAGCATGTTCGGGATGCGGTTCTCCCCCTCGAAATGCAAAATATTACTTCAGGATTGGGTTGCATCGACACCCGAACTAATGATAGGGAGTGAAGTATTTGAGCGTGTCGACCGCTTCACTTATCTTGGAAGTCTCATCAGCCCTTGTGGTCTGGTGTGTGACGAAATCTCAGCACGAATACAGAAAGCTCGACTAGCTTTTACCAATTTGCGTCATTTATGGCGTAGGTGAGATATCTGTCAATCAACCAAAGGACGTGTTTAATGTGCAGCAGTTCGTTCTGTCCTACTTTATGGCAGGGAAACATGGCCGGTAAGAGTAGAGGATATTCGCAGTTTACTAGTATTTGATCATAGGTGTCTTCGAAGCAGTGCTCGTATATCCTGTGACCATCGAGTAAGTAACGCAGTTTTTAGAAAGCGGGTACTAAGTAAGGATTGCAAATCAATTGATGAAGTAGTGATACTTCATCAGTTGAGATGGCAGGGATATGTGTTACGTATGCCCAACCACCGACTGCCCCGACGTGCGACGTTTTCTGGTGTATGAGTAGGTTGGAAGAAAGCTAGGGGTGGCCAGACCAAAACATGGCACAAGTCCATGAAGTCACTGACAAGTGGACTGAGTCATGTTGGTAGGTGTAGACTACCTGGTTGGAGACCGCGAGATGAAAGTAACCGATGGTTAGAGACCCTGAATGACATGGCTCAAAATCGTTTGCAATGCTGCAGGTGCATACACTCTTTGTGTCCTCCCAAATTCTAATCTTTTGAATTCTTCATGTCCCTTTTTTCCTCTTTCCAAATTTATTTTACTGTATTATACTCTTTGAATACCATATTCAAACTCTAATTTTTCCGATTACTGCTTATACTTTGACTACCTCTACCACTACGGGATTTGAATCGACCATTGTATCTCCGTGTTAATGTAATGTGGCAACTCGAACTGATGTACGTACGTACGAAGTTCTAAGTTGTTACTGACTGACCGATTCTATTTAATTTCAATTTTATCTTACATTTTAGACAGCTGAACGTATTTGTAAGTGTTTTTGGCCAAATATAGACACGTATTTCTGTCAAGCTGCTAGATATATTGGGCCTTTTGGTGTTTGGTACATTGCTCATTGTTCTATCTCATTTTCTTACTCAATACTTTCTTCATTTTTCCTCTTCTTAATCTGTTTATTACCAATTAAACAATTAACTTTTATATGATTAGTTAATCATTTTATCAAACGAGTATTTTTATGACAAATGCGGATCAGAAATGTTTAACATAAAAAACAATAATTCATTAGCAGACCGAAAAACTAGTTCCTAAAGTGCTGTGTGGATTTTGACCTAAACGGGAATAGGTCTCTAGCCTGTCTCAAGAAGAGTAGAAAGCTTCAGTAGGCAAGCAACCTTTTTCTTTATTCTGTTTACAATTATGAACTGAACCAAAACCGAATTTGGCACCATTATTAGCTTTTATTCATCTGACTCTTCTTCTATAAAATTTGTTTGTCAGAATTAGTAGTCATTACATTGTATGAAATCTATGTTATAAAGTGTTTGGTGAACATTACTTACGTATTATATGGATTCGTAATAAAAGCGTTTTACCGGTCAATCACCGAACAATGACAAGGATATAAGAATCTTGAGGTGTTCAGTTGATTTCTACCCGCTTTGGTCGTACGGCCGGAGTTTTTGACGGGACCAGGATTCTTCTTGTTTTAGATGGATGTCAAACTTAATAATTAAGCTGTTGTGTGTGATTACATGTTCAAACTCGGAATCTAATGATGTCAAAGAACAATATAAGATCAATCAATGTTTCGAAATAATCCCTTTTATTTGTCTTCAAATGTACAATGTCTACTGTATTTAAAAAAAGTCGATTAACACAGTATAAAGTTTAATGTGTTCAAAAACATTTTGAAATGTTAAGTGTATTCTCGGCAGTGGCTAAAGAGTTTTGAGAAATAAAATAAATAAATAAAAGTAGTTCAACAGGATTAAAACAGTAACAATTTGATTTTTCACTATCGATGTTTAGAAAAGTCAATTATGATGGATTTGTTATGCACGTTTTACGCTTGTTACCATCCGTTTTCAATTGTGTACTTATTACACCTCTGAAAACTATCGAGTAAGCAGTCCTGCACATGTTAAGAGAAGACTTGTTCAGTTAGGTGGTCGGTAACAAGTTTTTTCATATTTTATCTCACTAATCTAATCATTAGACATTCAAGAAAATAGTTCGTATCATTACTAACGCTTCAAATTATATCAACCAATATAGATTTGAAAATAATTGTACTTATGATGCTGTATCACCAAAACAGTCAGACTCAATGAATCCAGCTGTTTATACGTAGTGCTATTGCAGGAAGTTATCTGGGGTTTGTTTACAGTATGAATAGCTCACAGAGGACAAAAATTCCAAGCGGTGCAGTCTCAAAAGAAGTAACATGAAGCGAATGACATTGGTACAAAAAGTGCTTGCTATTATCCGCCCATCATGAACAAAATAAAACCGTAAATTTACAGTTGTACAGTTCAACTTGGTAATTCAGAAACGTTTGCCCGTAATCTATGATTGTTTTACGTAAAACCCTTCATTTTCTCATTCATAGACATTTCATCCATTTAATTGGAGGAATTTTACTTTTGTTTGCTGATTGGCATAACAGCAAAATGCGGACAAATACGGAAACTTACTAAGTACTCAACTTAAAATCATCTACTTCATCGATGAGAGCCTTGGACGAGTGTCAGAATATAAGTTAATTGCACGGCAGTCCATTCTACTCTAAATTATTATAAGTCGAGGAAATAATAGTTTTACAGATATTCGATCATAATTGTATCCAGATGGTTGTTTGTGCATCACCAAGCTAGTAAATAGCGATAATAATAATCATTTAGAAAGTTTTGAAGAATAAAGAGAAGTAAATTGATTATTTACGCGTTCTACTTGTAGTAGCTGAGGTGTTCAGTTCTCATGCTGGACGTAGTAAGCCAATTTGTATCTCAACATGAGATGTTGATAGGAATAAAATTAAATAAAAAATGAACAAATACAACCACCAAAAGGATCCATAAGTTCCATTGGGGAATTCAGACTTACAATTTAAGATTCTTAAAGTGCGATGAATCAATAGCATGGTTTCACAGTAGTGTAGATGAATTTTCTGCTCATCTTTATTGACACAATGTCAACAACACCATAAAATTATCATTCGCGTTTGAAAATTTATCGTTTTTTAATTTTGTTGCAAGTTTCTTCTCTTAATGAACTGTTCTTTCTGAAACGGGACAAATTATCTCAAAATTAACCAGTGGGTTTCTTTCGCGATTTTACACGCTGTTTAATCTTTCTGTTTATAACACAATTATATTAACGAGGAATATTCAATTCATTTTCAATAATAATGAGAAATTATGGAAAAGAATATTCTTCGTCCATACACTTCTGTTTTAATATAATGGGAATTTTTCAGCGATTAGAAACTTTCTGTTCATGTTAAAAATTCATTTAGTTCCACTAAGTCTTGCCTATTCCTCCATGCTCATACGTTTATAAAAGTGATTTGTGACTGACACTAGTAAAGAATTGTAAGACTGATAATGTTTTCCTTATAAATACTTATATACTTGTCATTAAAAAATATCCAAAGCAGTTTCCATTTTGAATATAAGAAAACCGAAGTTTAATTTTTCATTTTTAAAGTTTTCATATAAGTAATGAGGATGAATAAAATTTGTTTTGGCAGAGATTAGTTTTCTCTAAGCAGTTATAATCTATAAATTTCATTTGACTGGGCTGTAGATTGCTACATTTTTCTTAAAAATTATCATAACGAATATATTAAGGAAGCATTCAGGAAAAGAGCTGAATATTTTTCAAATATTCGTCGATGTTTTTGACCCAGAAATAAGTGTTCTGTGTTCTAGTTGAGCTTCAAGTTATTTCACACTAAAATATTCAGAATAAAGTTATATTACGCAGGCTTTGGCTTGTATAGAGAATGTTCTTCAGGATAGAGTATGCCTTCATCTTACAGTTATTTCAAATTGGTTAAATTCAAGGGATGAAGCCTAAGACATTGCTAACTGGTTTCAGTAGTAAACGAGGTTTTAAAAAGTTAAATCATATTTATGTATGCATTTATTTAGATGATAGACGACTTTCTAATCATAGTTGTTAATAACTTATGTTAAAACAGTGGCATTAGGGCTCCTGGATAATACACAAGTACATTTTCAATTAAACATGATTCAGTGGTAGAACCATCATTTTAATTGGTATACAGTTTAGAAAACTGATTACTAGATATAAGTCATCGACTAATTTCACATTATGTCAAAGCCGATTACGTACTTTAGAGTCATCCACACTTCTTCAGTTAAGGAATATAAGGTGATCACTAAGTTAGATAATCGGACAAGGGAAATATTATCCCATCGCTGCTTCAGATTATCACTTGCCTGATCGCGTTCTATGACATTCAAATTGAAATGAAGCATGAGAGAATGAGTAGCTTATGGGAGTACCAGTTAATTAATATAACCAACAGTGCATACAAATGAATACGGGCAAATATTTTATTGAAAAAATAGTACAACAATACAAATTAATATGATATTTAATCCAATCTCAACATAAATGTTGTGGTCTGATAATATCAATCATTTTGCATGTTTATATAGAGACACATAAAGAAAGTTTTTGTTCATTATTTCAAATAGTTTAGCTGTAGAAATACTTTTGTTTAACCAGCCTTCTAAGATAAGCTTTGTCGTAAGATAATAATATTTTGTTCTCATGAAAATTCTTATGAAATATTTTGAAAATAAATTTTCCACATAACGTAACTGGATGGACGGAATGTAAGTCGATTTACAAACTGCTTTTTGAACGAGAAATTTATTCAAATGCGACCACCACCTAGTGAAAGACCCAACTTACAATCAAAAATTTCAAGATAACATAATGATTTGAACAAGGTCTTTAAAATATAGTGATTTTTTCTATCACAGTAAGCTTCCTCAAAAGTTCTTCGCATCTTGAGTTTCAGTGTACATTAAACGACGATTTTTTTTACAATTATGTACTAATGTTTTTTAACTTTTAAATATTACAGACTTTTGAGAAGGTTTTAGTACAAAATATACTACATGGTCGATCAATAGTTCTGTGCGAGGCTATACACTCAATAAGCAGATGGAAATTTGTGAAGGCTGCATTACCTCATGTACTTCATTGTGGTGCTATAATGCTTCGAGAAAAGTTACGGGACAAATCTGATGCAGACCTACCTCATCAAAAACATGTATTAAACAGTTGCGGATTGTCTCATGATCGAACACGACTGAATTTCAGTCAGACAGAAACAAAGTTGCTCTACACACTTCACTGGATTCTATTAGATGCCGCTTCAGAGTGTGAGGATGCAGAAATAGAGGCTTCTAATCATCCAGGTAAAGTTTTGTTTTATCTAGATCAAAGTAAGCTAAACTCAATCTCAATAATACCTCGGTATTATTCCTAACAAAACAATACTAAATGTATTTTCCATGACTGTGATATAATGATGAAAAATTCGCATCTAGATCTTGTTTTTGATCATAATTATGTTACTATATGAGATGATGTCTATCTAGCAGGTCGGAGAAGAAAAGAGTTGATTTTTGTAATTAATTTCATAATCCAACTTAAGTCTTGTTTCGCATAATTAGTAGTTCTTTTCACCTTCAGCATGAAGTATAATTCAAATACCTATATTTTACAGTTTTAATTATCTCCAATATTTATTGAAAGCTGAAAATTAGGTTTATCCAAACTTCACCAATTTTTTATGATACTCGAATATTACTGCAATTAAATCTATGTCGGGTAATGATACAGTTTAGTGTTTATTTTGAATAAAGTTGAGAATGATTCTGTTATTGATGAATGGAGTCACTATTAAAAGGTTTTTTAATTGTAAAGCCACTTTGGATAGAGCTAACTGAATATACTTGTTGTCGCGAAATATCTGCACTTTCTACGTCGTGATTCAAAGCAAAAAAGAAGTTGAACTTAAGAGTGAATGAATTAAATCAGCGTTCCAGGTAAATACAATTCACTTGCAAATGGTGTAAAATTTTATGAGACGTGGTTCAGTATTTCTTATACTTATTTAATTTAGATCGAAATATGTTTCAGGTCGAAAAGTGAATAAAAATATATACTGTTATATAAGTTAATGAAGTTCTTCAACAATATTCTCGTCGATCTTTTTGATACTTGCTTCATTTGAATATAGCTTTCGTTTGCCGATATCAAAGGTTAATTACACGGATCAAATCAAGTCATCGAATACAATATGCTGTATGATCACTTGAACTATATTTTTACCTAGTGTTCATTGAAAACGTCAGATTTCCGACATTCAAAACCAGATTTATGCCAAGTTACTGTTTTGTTTTACTGATGAGTCCCATCAAACAAGAAATTCTGGTATACGTGGTTTTACATCTTAGCGACTACTACCAGTGTTTATAAATAGACAAAGTACAGGCTAAACACATAACTAAAATATTTTGGAAATGTTTCATCCAGTTCAGCTAAGTCATTGATGTCCAATCATAATTGTGTCACTTGGACTTTCATGCTTGCTCCACATAGCAGTAAAAATATATAGTAATTAAAGTGTTGTATTGACTTTATTTGTTCACATATAAATAAAGCACATTTTAAAAAATTACGAATGAATCTTACCTTATTGTTGGTTCTGAAATTCGTTAACTTAGTCAGTAGTCTACGGTGGCCGTTCTTTGAAACTATACTATAATCCCCGTAATCTGCTTATATTTCTGAAGCTGATTAAAGGGAAAATGATTTAACGTTTTGAATAAAAATCAACTGTGAATTACATTATCTAAAACTGGTTTCACATCTGTGTAGTAAGGACAGAAGGCTTACAGTTTATGTTATTCCTGTTCTAGTATGCTTCTGTGAGTGTCTAGTCTTCTCTTGAATGAGTCAATTGAAGGTGCGGATACCACTGCCTTGGGTAACAGGTTCCAAGAATTGATGACTCAGTGTGCAAACCTGTATGCCATGGGTATTTTGTTCGTTCTTGGATTTTCTACTCGCCTGCTATGTCTTCTGAGATGTCCCGATCTAGTGAAAAGAAAAAGAGCGGATATATTAGGTCTGGCAATGCCTAGTTTTCTAGCTTCAAGAGAAGTCTAACTGTTGGTATCTTATCGAATGCTTTGCTGAAGTCTATGTAGACAACATCCACTGATTGTCCATTGTCTAGAGCCTTTATCCATTTCCCCCTTGCTACAACGAGGTTTTTTGTGCACGATAAACCTTTTCTGAAACTATGTTGTTCACTGTTTAACAAGTTGGTTTCCACGAATGTCTTTTTGGCTATTCTTCCCAGCATTTTAACTACGACGCTTATGAGGCTGATAAGTCTGTAGTTTGGTGGGAGTTATCTTGGTCCTGTTTTATGTATTGAAGTAATGATTGCATCCTTCCAGTCCGTAGGTAACACACCTTAGGTAGGTGACATATTGAGTATCACAGTTAGTGAGGCTGCAATATATTATGCAAGTTGTCTCAGGATTTCGGGGTTTATTTCATCAGGTCCTGTTGATTTTTCCATGCCTGTAGTACTAATGGTCTTAAGCACGTCATCTCGACTAAAGTTCACGGTGAGCAGACGGTTTGTTGACTTTGTATTTGGATCTAGTTCTTCGTCTAGAAGAGGCTCTTGAGTGAAAACTGTCCTGAAATAGTTTGTCATAGCCTCTGCTTTTTCCTGATCATCTATCATTTTAGATCCACTCCCTTCCGTAATTAGGTTGGGAATCCAATGCTACATCCTCGTTCTGTAATTTATATTCGAGAATAGTCTCTTAGGATGCTTGGTTGCAGATTGTGCCGACTGCATTTCATATTTTCTCTGAGCTTCCCAGATTTTAATTATAAACTTATTTCTTACCAACCTGTAACGTTCCATCGTACTTGCTGTGCCAAACTGATGGCAACGTTTTAGTAAACGTCGAATATCCCGGCCTATCCAGGGATGACCGTGCTTCTTCTTCTTTGGGACTGTCCAGGGTATATACGCTTGATTTAACTGATTATCTAACTCCCTGCAAAGAGTCCATGCCTTTTCTACTGATGCCCTTGAGTCAATTATCCAGTTTTCAGCCGATGCTGAAGAGTTTATCATCATGTTGTTGTGCATGCTCTAACATATGAGCTGAGTAATGCAAAATAACGTGTTTCAAAGTGGTGAGGTTAGATTACATGCTTAATTTTATGTGCTTGTAAGCTTGCTCTAAAGGAACTATCCCGGTTCAGTGGTTTTTTCTTCGTCTCTCTTCAAGGAATATAGTTTTTTAAGCTATAGAAATATATGGAGGTTTTTCCTATTTCAAATTATATATCCAGAGAATTAAGTTACAATTCAATCTCTTTTTGACATCAAATTTTAACCTTTAAAGATAGAAAAAAGAGATTGAAAAAAATCTATCCAATTCATGAAAAGGAATGAACAAGTGATTAAATGAATTGGAAGTACCTTTGCTCACATATTTCGCTACCAGCGATTACAAGGAACACATCATTTATTAAGTAAATTTAGGAAAATCTAACCTAATTTTTTTTGAAATATTGATCTTAAATTATTCATCTTTTTTTATGCATCAGTTAGATCAATTTTAGGCATATAGACGTATGGACATATGTTGAGACAGGGTGATAAATGAGCCACCTTTCAAGTCGGTAAGGAAGGTTTTCGGACGAAAATATTTAAAAATCCCCGCAGAGTATTTAAAAGCAAAGAGTATTAGAGCGAACGATCGTTTTCCGAAACTTCATCAGGCTCTACCGTTGCTGTTCGTTGATCGAATAGTCAGATATGTTTGTATATAAGTTTATCATCTATCTAATTAGAGGTTAAACTGAAAATGAATATTTTCTTACAAAAATGTCTCACTCCTGATGTTTAACTGTGAATAGAGTGATAAAATATTTTATAGTGAGTTCGCAGATATCGGTGCAAAGGTTGGACTTGATAGTCTCAAATAAACTGAGCACTGGTTAGAAAGTAAATGATAAATATACTATTTGTGATATCCCAATGCGTAGAGAATGGCTTATTTACTCTCACGAAACGTCTAAAATGCAATTTTCAACTCACTGAAATATCACAAATAGTATATATTTTATTAAAAGATTTTATGATTTATATCTAGTATCCTGACAGGATAACATTTCTAATCAGCTTATCTTAAAGACTACCGTACATATTAGTTCACTTACACTAATAAAGACAAGTAAACCACACTATCCTTCTGTATATAATAGTCAAACTTGAAACTTTTAATGAAAATAACCTCTCCGAATTGAGTTTGATTTGAAGTTGTTTTGTTTGCTTGCTATCTCAAGAGTGGTAGCAATATTCATTGTACGCAAACTATTTGCTAGGTATGACACAATTTAACCTGTAAATTTTGTTCTCCGATCCCAGTATGTTTGTCGAGGCGTTTGACTTTCCTTCAGCAATTCTAATTAACTTTCTCCAATGACTACGTTCAAGTCTGTAAACTAAGCAAAAGGAAATCTGAAATGAACTATTTTTGATTAATTAGTGAGAAGTTAGTATTGTATACTGTAACCGGTTTGTCTAAGCGAAAGCTTCCTTTTTAAGACTCTTATCAATATTTTTTTTTCATTTCTTTCATAGCGTCCTCCATTCACATAAGTTAGCGAAAACAACCTCTTCAAATGATATTTGAAATAAATTATAGTTAATAAAAGAAATTTTCAAGGTTTTAGGTTTTACCTAATTCTGGATCTGTTTAATATATATGACTCGGTGATTCTCTCAAATATGTATCGGTATAAAAGAATTAACATTATTTTCTTCTTATTCTCTCTCACAAAAAAGCTTCCATACCCAAACATTCAACTGATCGTTATGTTCACGACTTGGCGTCACTTCAGTTATTCATCTATTTATATGCTCCAATTATTGAGCAACTTAAGCCAACCGATTTCGATACTCTCAAGTTAGAAGCAGGATTACGCTTATGGATTCCATTAATGGAATACTGTCAACCAAATCGTGGGACATTATCATCACCTGTTAAAGTTTTTACTCATGATTCAAATATACTATCTCGGCCAGTTGTAACAAATATAGATGGAATAGAAAGTCCTAAAACGTCATCCATTTTAAACGATTATATTAAGAGGAAATCTTTGAGTTTGGAAACTTCTGAAGAAATACCTTCGAATGTTCATAATGTTAATATATCGGATAAGGGTTCCGAAATCAATCATAAATTACCATTAGCTGTGAAATCATTAGAGTTCTTAGTTGACAGTGCTTCCATCCCCCATGTTGAAGCCAATTCAGATGTGAGTTTTTCACTGTTTGCCGTAATTGCTCATATTTCATTTTCTAAATAAAAGTACAATCTGGTGATTATAAATAGATGGTTAAGATTTTGATAGTAAAAGAACTACACATTGGCTTAAAACTCTTATCAACTCCAATATCTCTTGTCTGAAAACACTATATACATAGCGTTCAAATTACTAGTCTGTCAATCGAGATGAATATTTACTAAATACTACGATACGTTTAGCATCATTCATTTAAACTAGCTAGCAATTTGTTTTTAACCTTTAGGTTACTTTGAAAACCGTGCTCTAACATATACTTTATTTCAGAGGTTTTAGGCCATATTATAAAAGAGCTGTTTCAAAAGAATATCATCGTAGTTTGTAGAAACCATTTATTGGTTGATACTTTAGCAGTAGTCAAAATTGTTTTATTTCATTGTGATCAGATTTCATTAGAAATGAAAATAAACTCAAAGTTTTTACTCAGTTTAGAACTCACGTTATCATGAATATTGGGTGTACAACATTGTAGATCATTGGCGACAGAAAACGCTCGGATACACATGATCGTACACATAATCAGCTGTGAACCAAATGGTGAATACGTTTCTATTTGACAAAGTAGCGTAGATGTTTTCACTTCTTATGATAATGCTTAATCTAAATTCCATTTCAGTTTCTGTGTTTAATTCTGAGAAGTCCCCTTGTTATGTATTCATAAATTTTATTTTTCACAGGCTAAAATATGTATCAGTTTTAACTCTTAGTGTGCTCATCGGTTTATGTTTATATAAATTTTACTAACTGTTGTTTCGTTGATATCATGAACTAACTATTGTCTTCGATGGACAACAGCCTCACACCCGACATATTTGAACGCCATTTGTCAAGGCTTATCACTAGTCCCAAAATTACAATTTGAAATTAGTCATTAGCGGGTATATGCTAATTATCAGAATAGAGGTTTGTACAGATTATTGAATGTTATTTCTGGAAGATAGTCACGCAATATCGCGAATCGACTAAAGTTGGAAGGATATCTGCGGACTTGGATTATGGTTCACTGGTTTAAAGGCTTTGCCCTGTATTCTAGTTCTGAGCGGATGCACACTGATGGAGAGTCCCGTACTTGGACGAAATAGATGTCCAGTGATCCCTGATTTCCGATGGATGTTTAGTTTAGGTTATTTTGTGATATTAGTAACATTAAATAATGTCCACTAACTTCTACGCTGATAAGGATTATTTTGGTTTTGAATTCATTATGACCTGGGAAGAGTAGTACTCATAGATTGTAAATATACTTAAAACATAGCTTCATATAGAATATAAGGCTAAAAATGTTTTAGGTCATGACTGCTGCATAGAAATTATAGAAATTATTTTGATAATGAAACCGTGGCTTCAAATAAAAAAAACCTTGCTAATAATGAAACTTCAATCAATGGTTACTGAATTCCGTTGTGGTTTTATATATGGTTAAGATGAAAAAGAAATTCAGTTATTTGAATATCTCTGAGTCAAATTATCCTTCGATTTTTGTTTTCTTTTAAATTCAATTGTTATTATGATTATATTGATAAGTTGACCTGCTAGCCAAAATTATCTGGAATAGTCTTTCATAATTTTTTGAAAAAGGTATACAGTATCTATTGTTGATTTATGCGTTTGAACGAAAACGGGTAAAAGTTCGTTACTGAAAACTTCATTTTTAGAATCCATTACGGAAGTGTGATGACAAAGAGTTGTAGAACGGACTGATAAAATTATGTTGGTCACCTGTTTGTTTATTATGTTTCTCTCTTCATTGCTTGTTATCATTTTTCGAAATACCGAAGTGTTTCCACGAATAAGCACTTTTTTCGATATATCGTCAATGAATTCGTTAAAGGCAACATTGATATATGTCAATAATTTACATGTGGTTCTCAAATTCCAACTGAACCGGCGAATTTCAGTGTAATGTGTTAATAAGGTTTCCCTGTGATTCTATTCATTGGCCAATTTTTATATGTAGAGTGGTAGCTCCATTGTTTCAACGAATGCTGTGCTAGAAAGGAATACTTTATGAGTGAAAAACCCAGGGTTGAAACAAATACGTTTTGTAATAAACGATTCTCAACATTATCCTTTTCGCATTGAAATTTATTGTATTGGTACGAAACCACACTTGCAAAAACACTATTATGTTTTAATCCCATTATACAATTACTTAGGACTCATAAGTTATGTATTCTAGTCACAGGTCTCATATAACCTTACAATATTCATTATTATACTGGTTGGTAATCTAATGAACAGTTATCCTTCATGCTTCAAGGGATACCTGAAATATTGAGAGGAGAGATGATCGGATCGGGACCCAAGACAGGCCATTTAGACGTTTGTTTTTTAGCGAAAAGCCTAGATTCACGGCTTCTTATCTTCGACTTACAACCACACAACACAAAGATATTCGATGTCCAGTTACTTACGCTAATATATACATTTAAGCATTATCGATAGAGTTTCATTAGCTGTAAGTACTATACGAACGTGATGTTGATAACTAGTCAGTGTGCAATCAATCTGTCCATGATGATGAAGTTTTCGTAATCATCTTACATTCTGTCTCTTAAAATCCCTTTGACAAAACAGATAGTTTATTCATTTAAATATTTATATTTTACATAGGAGTCAGTAAGCAGTGCAATAAATATTCCAGATAACTATCAGCCTTCACTGACTCATGCGCATAACTCAACTGGGCATATCTTACGTTACAGCCCCCTAAAGCTACACCTGAAAACCTGGATGATGAGGAAGAATTCAGCGAAAAATCCATTTCAGAAGCTGCAGTCACAGGAACGACGGCTACAGCAGCAGTTGTGCCAGACGTGTTTCCACCAAAGCAAGTAAGTACGCACGCAATATAGAATGTTATGGGTTTGTAAAGGGAAGAAAACTGTCGTGGAAAATTGATATATTCAAACATACAATAAACTGTGTTTTAACGAGATATTAGTTACATACATTCATTTCACTAGGGCATTTAGTTTACACTGAATCGAAGTTTGAAGTATTATTGTTATTAGTCAGTGAATGTCTAACAACAGTAGCTTGATAGTCTCACTCGACCACTCGTGATATAGCCGACTCATCTAATTATCACCAACAGAACCTTAATTTCTTAAAGATAGGTCACACAATGGTTTGTTTGTGATACAAACATTTTCATCCACGCATTGTTTGGATGCACAAGTTGGCAAGGTTTCTAGATTCTAGTAACTAGCTTAAGATTAATAAGATGATCGGTAGGCTAAATATTTTGAAAACAAAGAAAATAGTGCTTTTAAATAATCGATATTAAACTAAACCGCTATGAATTTCGAAGTGCATTCGTGGATATCATCGGAAAATCTCATGCAAGAAATCAGTGTTTAATATATTACTGAACTTTCTGAATTTATGCACCTTTTTTTGAGATTCACCTTTGTCCAACTAAACCATAGAGAGAATGATTTTTATTGAAGGAGGATTATAAAGGGTTGATTTCTTTTAAACATGTTTGGGATGTTGGTCAATCCTGTCGTGGAATCTGTTTGATTTTCGAAAGCAATGGGAAGCTTGAGTGATGGATTTCGTTCAGCACCAAGGACTAAACAATATGAAATTATTTATCATTCAGTTGCTTGTTGTCTTGATCATGCTATTCCAACATAATATCATTTACGACCAGGTTAGGTTTGTCGTAACTTTATGACTACATTAGCGTGTGATGTGAGTTCAGAATTTTAATGGTACATTGGTTCTCCTAAGATTCCGAATAAAACTTTCTGATGAGAACAAACCCGCATATGACTTACGCACATGAATTTTTGGCAATTAACTTTCATTATCTAACATTGGGTTTCTATATATTCGTCACTACTAAATATATCAATTTCGTGTACTGTGTAAGGCTGTTAATTTCATTTCATTGATTCTTATGAATGACTAAACTTTGATTGATTGGTCTGTGTCTTGAGAACCATTCGGAATTAAAATAAACATAGGTTGTTATGGCAAGAGTTCTAATTAAAAAAGAGTTAGTGCTTTTTGTGAAACGTAAAATATTTTGGTAAAGCACGTAAATGTTTAGTTGTAAAGTCAATTTTAATAATGTAATGAAGAATTTTAGTTAAAGAAACGATCATGTTATGGTGTGTGAAAAAGAAACTTATTCTTGAGTAACGAAGTACGCTGAGCCTCTAATTTTACTCTTACTAAAAAGATATTTTTAGTTTTCGTGGAAATAAATTCTTACTTGTACTTGTGACACAGGATAACATTTTATTCAGTGAAATTATTTAACTGTACGTAAATAAATATCTTTTTGGAAGTTCCCATCATATATGCGCTTCAAATAAATGAATACACAAATCCAGATTGAAAAACTAAACATGTAAATTAGTTTAGTAGATTAACAATAATTCATTTTATTTATTTACTAGGAACAAGAACATGTAGCTCCAGGATTCGAACGCATTCAAAAATTTTTAAATTCATTCACGGATCCGTATAAACAATTATCTGAAAAGTTAAAATATTCTGTGGCTGACAGTGAATTCATTCAACCATCTGTTGGAACTTATTGTATGTTTGCTACACATTGTGACCTGGCTGTAATACGGTGCTTATTCTGTCCTGAATGGTGTGAATCCGGTATCTACTGGTCGCTATGCTATTTATTCAATCGTTTATTGCAAATACGCTCAGAATGGATCAAAATTAAACCGAATAAACGTAAATTATTAAGGTTACGCAGAGGCAATCTTCCGCCTGAACACTTGTTTAAATGGATACCAGGATTGTGGTCAGCAGCATCGTCACATCAAGCAAGGATAAATCATATCACTGGAGAAATGGTGAAGGAAATTCGGAGTCTATCATTACCTAATATATCGTCAAGGTGTATGTCAAGTATTTGTCAGCATAATCCAACTGAACAGTGCAACAGAGAATTTGGACAAGACAGTAAAAACAGTAAATTTAGCCAATATTTTTTGAGGTTTGATTTTAGGACGACTGTTACTTGTTTCATGCGTTCAAGTCTGGGTGGTAACATTATCAATTACTAGACACAAAAAAGATATAACGTCAGGCAACATCAAGAATCTCATAATATGTTTATACTATTCATTATTGTCTGTTCTATATATTTATATGTTCGGAACAGTAAAAGACGTTCTTATTGCTGTATTAATAATTGTGATCATTGTAATTTTTATTTATTCTTATGAATGAAAAGTCACACAGGTTTAAACTTTTATAATATCCAGATGTGTTTACTACCTTTTATCCCTAGTTTATTCAAAAAGAAAGGATTATTTCCACTAGGGTATTTTTGTTTGAATGTCTTTCTTAACACAAGCAGATAAGTTGTAGAAGATATGTACAATCAGCTAGAAGTGAGGAGATACATCATATTTTATAATCTAATTTCCTTAAAACCCATCTGCGACTTTTCAGTCAAACTTGGTGTTTTAAATGTCCGTGTACTTATGAAGTATTTAAATATTTGGTTGACATTCAGTCGTCAACAGGTAGTTGGATGGCTGGCCTTTATAACATGTGAAGCAACTGTGAAATTGCTGGTCACTGAACTGCGAATCACCCTGAAAACTCAGAATCCAGAGTTCCGTCTCATACCAAATAGTAAAATTAACTGATCCTCAGGGGAAATTATCGGCAGACAATTAATGTTCATTATTCTTTAAAATTTGCTCTCGTTGACAGTTCTAAAAATGATGCTTCATGATATGTATTAGATTGTACTTTCCAATAGAAGTTAGTGTATTTATATTTCTTATATAAGAATTCGATAAATGCTTACATTCTTTACCAGATTTAAACCTCGCAAACATGTGAATCTACTTCATTGTATAAAAATACTTGAAGATATATTGTGCATAAATTTTTGGGTAAAAATAATTACGTCTCGAAGACTATGATCCTTATAAATATCAAAGTATAAATAATTTCATGCGATTTAAAATAAGTAAATTTTAGTATCTTAGATGAGGTACATACTCAATATTGTAACATCATGTAGTTACTGTGGGTAATAAGATTTTTCCCATTCAAACTTTATAAACTATAGTCTTTTTCTAATCGCAGATGACTTAACTCAACATAAGCATACGAAACAACAGGAAAAACTTTGTGAAGCTCAGTCGAACAGTACCAGTAACATCATCCAGTCATACTCTGGGAACAGTGGTACCCCTTCCTCGATCAAACATTCCACTATATCAAGTCATTTGGATGAATCGTTAAATCGTAAAGGTATATCTTGCATAGTTGGATCATCTTCATCTTTATTGAATATTGATAAGTCTGAATCTAACCTTATGAAATTAGAATGCCCAAAAGATAGAGAGCAACAACAATGGCAGCCACAGCAGCTTAATATTAGTCCTTTACTAACTGATATTGGTCTCAGTGATTCATCATTTACGCTCCCACTGCCCATTGTTAACTTTGGAGGTCAACAACAGCAAAACCAACAGCAGCAACCCGCATGGAGAGGTTCTAAACGTTCAAGAATTACTGATATTAAGGTGATTTAATTACTAATTATTATTTAAAATTTCTACCGAAGTTTGCAATTTATTGTTTCTTCCACACTTTTTGGGCGAAAATGGCGAGAGCTATATGGATACTAAGATATCATTTGTGAACTCTCCACATAAACATTCATTGGGTTTACTAAGAGATGAGAACATTCCATTCACTCATACTGCCACATAAATTCTGCAATATCAGTACCACTGAATACTCATAAAAATGTAAGGTCTTTATGTAAAAAATCGATATCAGTTACATAAGCCTTAGAACGTAGAGAGTATTTTGAACAATTTTTTTAAAAACCTAGGAGTTGTTAGGACCGTTTACTCACGAGTAGTATTTTGATGAAACCTAGGTATATTGTGATTCTCAAGAAGCACCGAAATAGCATATACGTAAATCTATAAAAATGTATAATTTTATCTTGTAGATGATAATAAGTAAGAAAAATGAATCTAAAGTACTCTGACATGACTGCTTGCTTCAGGTACTTCGGAATGTCCTCTCAATTACTGCAAAGTTTAGGGCTCGCTATGTTGCGCACTCACTTGGTTTACAGAAATAGATGAGTTAGTATGTGCACTTTCAGTAATCCATTGGGTTGCACTCTAATACGTGAAAATATTGTTTTTCTTCACGAATAAATATAACACATGAAAAATGAAAATTATCTTCTTTATTGATACTTTAGGAACGTTTTACTCGGGCGTCAAAGTTCAAATCTGGGGATGCAAGTATGAAATTTCAACCTTTATCTTCTATTGAAGCACCAGGCATGACTAGCATAAACACCCTGATCGGTATGTTTTCATATCCATACAATAATAATGCATGTTGAATTGAAGATTGACAAACTATGAAAACAAGACCAAAACAAAAGCGATTTTGCAGGTTGATTCAATAATCGAGTTATATGTTCTTACAAAATACTGAGTAGCTGTTTACCTTCTTTCAAGTTTTTAGTCAGAGGCAGTACAGTTCAGGGTTATTTTTCACAAAGATTTTAAACAGTAAATAAAAGTCAAACTTAAACTCTGTTGGAATTTTCTTCACTGAATAACCTCATCAATAAGGCGTATCTGAAGACTAATGAAACACAATTTTCAAAGGATTCTAACTAACTTGGCTCAGATAAAGTAAATCTGAGTTCTATCAGTAATGAATGATTCTTTTTATTATTACAGAATGTAAACTGATCTTCTACCTTAATTACTATGTCACTAACAATTTCCTATGTGTACCACGCGTAAAAGTATGTTGGCGTTTAAATATTATTTCGGAAATATTAAAGGTCAGCTGTTAATTTGCTTGGGTTTTCGTTACAAACTAAAAGCCATACTACCGATCTGGTTTAAAGTAACAAAACAATGTATTTGATGTTGAATGGAGGTTTTTTTCTTACTGGCTGTAGTTTAGGAGTGGAATTTATCATTTAAACTTCGTATTTTCATTTGTAATGTTAACCGTTACTGAGGTAGAAATACTGTTTTACTTTTTTGCTTGCGAATTCTAGCGGTAAGTGTTTTCGATTCTCCTACAATAAGTACTTTTTGTAATAATAACTTCTTGTTGGTTTTCTTTGTTGCTGCAGAATGTGATCAGCCGTCGGTAATGACTGGGGAAAAACAAGTCTCCTATACGCAGACAAAACGATCGGTTCAAACAGGAAGTGAAAAGCTACGGCTAGCGCCAAATGAAAAACCGTTTCAAGGATTCGACACGACAAGTAATGATTCTGAAGCTAATAAACGTGATCCACCTGTTTCGTGCAATGCTTCTTCCCTTCATAGTGGACTTAAACTTGGTTTACCACCTTGTACACCTTCAATAGCAGTGGCTATTAAGCCAGTTGATAACACCGATACAGTTTCGATGATGAACAGTTATTTGCTAAGACACTTCCTCGCAGTCTTACTGATTCAGACATAATATATCATTGCTCAGAAAAGGTAATTTTATATTTTGGATGATTATTTTTAGCTTCTTAATTTCATAAATGTGAATATCTTTGACAATTACTAAGTAAAGCTGAAGTGAAATTTAGGGAAAAGTTAATTTACATCAATGACGGATAAATTGAATTTCTTAAGAAAAAAGTATTTTTATTACAAATTCACTAAAACTACTACATAGACTGATATGGAATTATTAATTGTTGGAATTTTAACAGAACTACTGCAAATTACTGCCCTGATTTATTATAAACAATCATCTTATGTGAAAAATCACTTGTTATCAGATAAATCTGCTTTAAAATTCTAACCATCAACAATTTTATCTAAATATTTTTATACTTTTATAAACAAAATAATGAAATCACTTATTGAAATAAGTAAATAATACTAGCACTGAATTACATATTGATGATAGATAGGGAAACTAGCTGAAATATTTTCATAGTTAATTGTCACAGGCACATATGTCTGGAAATTTTCGATGTTACGAAAGACGCAACGTGCTTACGAACGTTGCTCATTAAGTAAGAAATGATTTTTGATATGAACTATTCTCTTTTTGTGGATATAAGGCTGAGGTACTAAGGGGTTAAAGTAAAATTGAAAAGACTCATGCAATTTGAAGAATGTAAAAAATTTTCTTACCGATTTCCTTTTGAGATTCTACGGAAAATAAATAACTTGAACATCGGAAAACCTAACTCAGTGGGCCTGTTTTGAGGATTTTAGAACCCATTTACTTTTTAAGCCATCATTAATAGTTTAATGGCTCTTGAGCATCTGGTTATTACTTTTATTCAATCTGCAGGTAGATGAAGTTCCAGGAGCTGCATACTACATTACACCTAATGGTCATTTAGATTATTCTGTTATTTTGAGAAGTCTTTATTGGTGTAGCACAGTACACACATCAAGTCGTGTTTGTTTCAATTTGGTTTGCTGTTTGAGTGCTTTATTTGATTTGGGAATCTTCGACATGAAGCCCGGAGCCTGCTCGTTAAAAAATGTTTCTTTTGAAAGACCTGGTCATCTCAGACGATTTCGAAAAAAAAATCAATGTGAGAGAAATGGGTGTTCGAAATCCTCTAAGACACCTATTCTCAATAAACTTGTGGCAAGAGAAAGTCACACTAACCCAAATTTCAACAACCGAGGTGGATATGATAGCTCAAACTTACATTCAGGCAGTAGAGTGAGACTACATGATCAAAGTGTAGGATTTTCTTCCTCAAACTTAAGTTCCTCTAGAGTTTCTGTCGGAATTTGCAGCGAGTCTTATGGAAGTGAAATGGGGATGATGGAGACGCTGATGTAGGATCAAAAAGGCAATTTTCTAATAGAGCTGATAACGAATCACTGATAAGCGAAGACGGTATCACGGCTTCTGTTTGCACAAAAAACTTAAGCCCACTTGGAAGTCCTCAATCATCTATAGATCTCGAAAAAGATCCTTGTTCAACGCCACGTTGGATAAAGTCGTCAGGAAATATTCAATTTAGGCTGCGTAATAACGAAAAATTAGTGTCTAAAAGTGCATATCGATTGAAGTCTCGTGCTCAGCAGAAACCAGGAGTGAGCTGTGATATCTCTAATCATCTGGTCCGTACGCATTTTATTTTAGCAGCTGAAATGTTGATAAGGTAAACTTGATGCATTTATTACTTTACATATTTTACCTTCATTTAAACTTTTTTGACAAAATCCAATGTACATACCGCCTGAATATATACACGTGTATTCTAGTTGAAAACGTTGTGAATGATGCTATAAATATGTCTTTTACTCCTTTAAGCGTTCATACCTGGGTGTATAAACAACTTAGATAAAAATGACCATTTCAAGATTCACAGATGGACTTTCACGACGAATACCAAGATGTTTAGGACAAGCATTTAGTGTTCACTGTTTAAACAAACCAAAAATTTTATTGTTAGTGAAAAGTTTGCCTCTCCAACTTTTAGAAGTTTTCATTAAAGTAGAAATTAAATATTTCTGGCAAGCTAAACGGAATCACATTATTATTATTCGATATTTATTGGACTCATCAGGTCCTACAGAATGAAGACTATTCCGATACGTTTATTAGAATGGGCAGAAATAGTCTATTTCCCTGTATTCATTGACTATACAGTCAAGATATCAGTATTTTATACATTTATCACATATTTTTGTGTGGTTTAGATATGAAAATAGCCCTTGGAGTTGAAAACTATCGATGGTACCATTCGATTTTTATCCATAGACTACTTGTTAGAGTTTTACCACAAAATCATAATGTTTGGTTGTTTTCCATTGTTGACGCAGTTTTATTTGACTTTTTTCGTGTGTGTAAACTGGACTTTCATGTATTTTGCTGTACATTAGAATTATTCGTTCAGTTGGATGTAGACATGGGCACAATAATTCATCGAATTTCACAAATTCCCATTATCACCATCAACAAGAGCAGCACGAAAACTCTGTAGATCCAAGCAACCATTTCCGGTCACTTGCACATGACTGTCTTATTTATCTACACCGATTACATCCTAATTTGTTTAAACGTGTGATAATACGAATTGTATCTTCAAGTACTGTTACCGATTTAGTTGAAATACTTCATTCATTCACCGGGTTTTGTTTAGATCCAGTCACACGTTGTTATGAACGTTCAGGTAAATCATTTTGTTCCTAGTTTTCTTTCGTTATAATAATAAATTTAGTTAAAGTCTTGGCTGAAAAATTCGGGTACTTGTCCTGTTGATGGTCAAATAGTGGACTCAAATTAAAAATACCAACGTATATTATTTTATTGAATAATAGAAAAATTGTTCAAATGTCTTAATTACTACGAAGATGATACACTAATTTTTATAACTTGTAGCCTTGCGCCCTATTAATATATAACGTAATGATACCATCAGTTAGAGAAGTGATTTATCGACCGGACCAGTGACGCATAAAAACCGTACGAGCAGTCTAGAGTGTTTATCGGTCCTTCTTCCAAAATAGCCCTGCCTGTTAAGTTCAGAACACCACTCTCAGCCACTGCTATATGAATCATGTATTTCGAACATACTGGGTTTATATACAAATCAAACAGACCACATTGTTCCATAAAATAGGAAATAACATTTGTACAAAATCTAGCCAAATGTGGCTGTGAGTGTGGAAGACTGGGCATAACCCAAGATCGGTAAATCGTATAATAATAGTCTATGGGTCAAAATAGAGCTTATGATAAGAGAAGTATGAATATGCATCATTTAGTTACTTAATAATTATACAACAAAAATATATATATATCGTATTGTTCCATAAACAGATTCCAACAGTTACCATTCATTATTCTCACCGGGATATAACACTAATATATTACTGTATAAGAAAAGATGTATGAAGTTATAATCACTTCCAAATTAAAACAGTATGTAATGGGTAGTCACTGGCACCATGCAATAAACCATGAATGAAGCCAATGGAAAATTTTGATTTGAGTTGTATATTCAATAGTTCGTTATCTAAGAAAGCGATCAGACAATTGACATGGCTTCAGTTTCTTGTAACTAGACGATTCATCTACCCACGCGTTCATTATAGACAGAAATAAATCACGTTAGCCTTGAACAGCACGTAAAGCCTTAATAATTGGTATAGCATAAAGTTACATTTTATATCAATGTTATCATATCTCAGACCTAATTATTCAATTAAGAAGTTGCTAATTTTTCTTCTGAAGCATCCACACGTTTTCCCAGTCTACAAAAGGTTACACTGAATGTGTTGTTGATGTTCACATCCATATGTTTCTTTTGAACAAGATCGATTTGATGTTATTTTACAATCAAACATTCCTCATATGTACTCTTCGTTTAACAGTTGTTAAAGATTCCTATTTTATTGAGTTTCGCATTGTTTTGCTATGATAAGCATATTTAATTGCAGATCTTAATCAAATAAACTAACCTTGAATATATGGGTAATTTAAAAGTTATGGTGTATGTGGTGAGTTGTTATCTCTTCTTTTTGTTTTTTACACAGATCAAAACAGAAAATCTTATTTAAATTATGGAAATAGTTTTGGGCAGAATGATACTGGCCAAGATACACGTGGAGCTGAAGGTTTGATTGTATCTTATTTGTTCGGCCCTTTTGTCCGGCGCTTAGTCAGGTGCAGACGTGAACTGAGCAGTCAAGAGAATGTTTCTTTATTTTCTGACATACGACAACTATTCACATATATTCGTGAAATTCACGGTAGTACGTTTCGGAAAAACATGTTAGTTGCTTTACTGTGTCCAGTACAGAGAATATGTGAGATTACTACTCCTAAACCTTCAACTCCATTGCCGAGAATGTAAGTGCATTAAAGTTTTATTATTGCGCAAAAAGGAATGATTTGATTGCACAATTATCAGCTTGGGCCCCTATGTGTAAACGTTAAACATACTGATTAATTAGGTCATACTGTTGTTGATCATTGTACTTAATTGAATGCATTTGTGGCTCGTCAGGTAGATGTTATAATGATCATTTAGGTTTGTTCTCCGCATAAAATCAATTATTCCAAAAAGTTTTGCTTGTAAATAAATAACAAGTACATCATAAATGTAAATCTGCAAGTAATTTGTGGAGCACAATAAATTCAAAGCGGTCTATATTTCTCATGGTCCTGTGGAATAACCTCGTGAACAAGTGAAAAATCAAATAGCATTCTAAAATGTAAACAAATAGTTTTGTTATGGTCTGCAAGTTCTCATTATTTTGTAGACAATCTTTCTTCCTTACCTTTACAATCATAATTGAAATGCAAATTCGATTTTTGTTGTTTCGGCTTTCTGACTTCAGAGGTGTTCATTAGAAAATTCATTACTTATTTTCAACTTACAACTGACAGGAAACGAACTAATCTTTCCTCGTCAGTATTGAATACGAAAAACGAAAGTTCTCATTTTGTTTATTACATACATTCTTTACTATTTTCCGTTTTCCTGTTTCAATATTTCTTTTTACTGATTCAACGATATTTGAAAAATATCCAATCAACAAGTGATTTAGTTATTTGTGTTCTTAATTGTGGGAGTTGATGTGTGCGTCTTTATTTATCAATTGTTGATTTTAAAACTTTTCACTCTCCTGTGAAAATTTGTTGGCGGAACGTTATTAATCATACTTAAAGGAAGATTAGTATCTATGAGGGAAAAGGTTTTTTGTAAAACGACGCCAGTCGAGGATAACCCAGCTACTGCTCTAAGTGATGGAATTTTCACCAGGTAATTTTTACAATGAATGATACTGATAAAGTCAGTTGTAAAATTTCCGTTGGGACTTGTAAGTCGGTAATGTTCAATAGTAACAGGTATCAGAAGATTAAAGCTAAATTGTCATCTAATAAGCGAGCTTACATAGTCAATTTCAGTTGACATATTCAAATCTTTTGCTGAAATACAAAAAATAAATAAGTTTATTCAATTAGGAAACCGAAATTTGCAAAACATTTATGTAGGTCTAGTCAGAAATCAAAACTATCCAAAGAGTTTAATTCACTTGGTATTGTTTTACTTGAATCTTCCCATTGATGTTTTAGGACTGAAATTGATCAGTCTCTTATTGGCATATGTGCATACTGTGCGTATGCCTCGATATTGCCTTAATTTACAAGCATTATAAGCAAAGATGGATAGTGGCTAGCAGTGGAATCCAGGACGCGCGTGATTAAACTTGAAAGTTCACATTTTTTCACGATAAAAACGGATGAAATCTTCCTTGTGGTAACAAATAATGAAAATCTGTCAAAACGCTGGCCGGTTTTTCTCATTAAAAGTGTTGAAGATTATCATTTATAAGAATATTTCTACATGACCAATAACTTGCCAATCTATTGAATTAACATTAAATATTGTTTAGTTTATTATGTCTTTATTTTTATCTGAAACAAAGTTCACAAAGGTTCAGAGACTCGGGATTCAGTCGATAAGGAAAAAGCAGGATGTATGTAACCTTTCCAGACACAGTTTTGGTTCTTTGAGTTGATTCTGACAACTTTCTGTACCTAAAAAGGGTACAATCTTCAATCGTCTAGTAAATTATTGAATGTCAAGAAAGTTTCCTTTTGCTGATATGTTCACTATTTGGCACATGAGAAAGCACAGTTCTAGTTGTAGATTTAGTCACTTTTCCAAATAGTGCAGATACAGGTTTGCGAATATTCATGAATATGTTTTTCTGGGTAGATCCTATGTAATCACACCTTTACTAGGTCTTAAATTGGTAGCTGATGTGAAATGCACCTTTATCAATGTATAACACTGATTAGTTCAAACAAAAATTTTACGCATATGCTTTATACTGTCTGTTATGATACGGTATTTATGAATTTGTAACTACAGGATTCGAAAGTGTAATAGTTTCCCAAGGTAATTTTTGTGTTTTCCTTAAAGGTCAGCAAGAAACTCTATGTGGCTTATGCCTCGTCACGACAAAAGGCGTTCAACTTTCAACGTGTTTATTGATCCTTTGGCAGAAACAGAAAGCTATTCAAGTGGTCACAGGGAAAGTTCATTGTACAATGTGTTATGTAGACCGTCGACTGCAGGAAGAAGTGTAAGAATACATAGTAATGGAAGTTCATCAATAATAGCAGCGTCATTCGAAAATGGTAATTTATCCAACAGTCATTATTTGTTGTCCCCCTAAGATTTTACTTTAAAAATGTATAATCGTTGAATAATGTAACGTTTATTGTTCGTATAAGTTTGCGTTTCGCCATTGCTGAGATTCAAAATTGAGTTTTGTTTAATTTCTGTCAACATTATTTTTGCTAAATGGAAGCATTGATAACGCATATATTTATACCTTTATTAGATGTCATGAACTTTGATCACGAGTGGAATTCAAGACTTTTAGCTAAGACATAGAATTCTAGTTCTACATTGGAATACCACTAAGTCTGGAAGCCAGTAAATTCCATGCTCTCTGGAAGTATTAATGTCTATCAGGGCTCAGTTACGTTGGCATTTGTGACTGTCGATACTGAGTTTAAGTCTCACCAAGAATATCAAAACGAGATTCCATTATGTGCATATGATGAGTCGAGGAAATGACTAAATATGACTCCTGAGATTCATTGATAGGCAAAATCAAAATAATCTGATATGAAGTTTATCATGGAATTACTTGAAATTATAAGTCAACACTAATGATTGAGAAGCGACTCATCATTAAGGTGTATGGATTTGCAAACTGTTATTTTTGGGATTGAAACAAAATAATTTGTAAATGGTTTCCATATTGCACATAGTAGTGGATTTTATTTGTTATCGATTGATTACAATAGATAACAATGACTTGTTTAGCATCGATGCACTGACTGTCCATAGTAAGGTGATTTTTAGAAATGTGCTCAATGGAATTAAAAAGCACTAGATGATTAAACTTTCCTGGTAAGTATGTGACTGGTATACACCCATGACCTCATGTATAATCGACAAGACAGTCTATCAACCTCTCTGCAAGCACTACATTATTCAACTGCTGGTTACCAACCACCTAGATAAATACAACACGGTAAGTTTTCGGAAGTATAGTTTGAATCTATAACTTGTGCATTTAATGTCCATAGTGATGAGGTTGATAACTAGTGTTATATATATACCTTCTTAGTGAATTTGTCTACTTATTTAGGCAGTAACTCAACATGCATCACTTCAGGTATCCCAGCGATATTCAATGTCCTAATGAGTATTTTTTCAGTAATAGAGCTTGGGTATTTTCACTGTCGATTTACAAAATGGAATTTGTCAATTTTTGTTGATACACACGCTTCTTGTATGGAGTCAGGGGATTGCTTACTGTTAAAAATTGATAAATTTAGGTGACGTCTTGGGAATGAAGTTAAAATAACTTCCTTAATTCAGTTTCTGCTCCCTACCAATAGTTAATTAATGAAGTTACTAGTGCGAACATTCTCGAGAAATTTGCATGAAGAGGCTATATTTCAACAGGCACCACTTAATTCACTACTGCAAGCTAACTACTAGTAGACCTTTAGTGTTTGGAAATACGGGGTACAAAGAAAATTTTATAAACTTTTGATGTTTTTATGACTAGGGTAAATTTCAAAGTGTTTTTATTTGCAAACCATTTAACATTATCTTTTGGTTAATAGCATTATTTAAACAAGCATATTTCTGTTTTCTTTCATATAAAACCTATTACCAATAATTTAATTATCCCAGCCTTATTTTTGTTTGCCTATGTCATATAGGTTCTCTTATTATCTTTACTGTGAGCTGGAACTGTTTTTATTTTGATAACCTTATTGGTTATCGCTGACTGTATATCAGTATATGATAGGCTTTAAAATTGCTGCATAGTTCGTTAATAGAAAGTGATATTGTAATTTAGACTAACACAGACCATCAAGCCTCCTGTCCTTTCCAAAGTGAAACTGATATACAAGCGAACAATATTGTTTTCGATTAGATCATCGTCAGGCTTTACTCTAAGGCTCTACTCCTTAAGAGTAGCAGAATCAAGAGCCTTGGGGTAGATTAAAGGGATAAGGAACGACAGTAAATTAGTTAACGTATTTTGATCGAGGCCACAACAATCCTTTCTGACTAGACACTTAACAGTTTGGCATGATATTGAGTAGACGAATGTTTTCACCATAGTGGTATCACTGACTAAAACATCGATGTAGCACTAGCTAGCTTTTAGGAAAATCATATTTAACTTATATTGCAGTATTAAATTGTTGAATCAGAACTCGTTAAACTATAAATGAAAAAGCTTACAAATACTGACAAACGACGATGTAGAAAAGATAGAAAATAATGATTCCTATACATACTACATATTGAATCGGATAGAATAAAATGGTACAAACTACTGCAGTGTTTGTGATAAAATCTTCAAGATATTGATTATCTCTATATGAATGTAGTGTTTTTATTTCATTCTATTTATTAATCTTGGTTTTAGCAGCTTTCTAATCCTCCAATTTCTAAATTTTTCCCTCACATATATGCATGCTCATCGATTCATTTCCGATACAGCGAGTACGATATTTCGGCAACAGAGCAAACCTACAATAACAACTATATATATATATATATATATATATATATAATATATATATATACGCACAACAAACATAACATAGATTAAGCGAATCACGGGACAAAAAAATTCATTTCGCCAGCAAGACTATGTGATAGTAATAAACTTTACGGTCGACCTTGAATAGATCGTCAACCAATCAGAAAACTGTGTTTAGTTCTAAGAGGATTTATAATAGAGAAAATAGGGAACTGGGGTGGATAAGCCTTTTTGGTATGAATTCTCTCCAGGCTCTAAACTTGATTGTATATATATATCGTGAAACTATCAATGTTAGACCACCATTGAAAACCTGGAAGAGGTTAAGCGTCTGCAAAACTGAAGGTCCTGAGTTCATGTCCCACATGCGGCACCATGGATGCGCACTGCTTAAAAGTTTCATACTAGGACTAAATGTCCATCCAGTGCTTCCAGGTTCTCAATGGTGGTCTCAATAAAAAATTGCTTACATTGAGATGAATATTTATCTTGAATAAGCTTATACGTCAAATGAAATTGTAAGACCAATGATCAGAATAAATATGGGACCTACAGGATAAGAGAAATGAAAATGCAATTACAAATTCGATCAAATGTTTAGTGAATGGCTATATCGTGTAACGTTGTATGAATCCAGTAAAAAATTATGAAATGGAGTGAGCGCTAATTAAATGGATCGTGTTTGAGTGAGTAATAGTAATGTTCAAAGAAAAATCAATAGTAACCTTAATTAGAGAATGACCTAATTTAACTAATGTACATACAACTTTTCGTTATCTTCGATATCTTTTCATATATCTTCGTACTTATTTATTATTGTTTTACTAGATTCATACAACTTTATAGACGTTATAGTCATTCACTAAATATTTGATCGAATTTGTAATTGCATTATTATTTCTTTTACCCTAATATGTATGTATAACTAACCGTAGAACCTGAAGGGAACTTCTTTCGTTCAATTTTTAGTGTTTTAATATAATGAGAATTTTCAATTCGTTTTAATATGACTGACGAATCTTTACAGGTTGAATCATTTAATACAATAAACGAAAAAGTGTCATGGTTGGGAGCTATAATCGGTAGTAAGGGTTTCGGGTTAGGATTTTGGTTCCAAGAAAGGGGATAATTTGTAGTAGTGGTGTTAAATACTTATGCAGATAATCTAAATGTTAAAAGCTTTTAAATTATTCTGAGGAATTCATAAATTATGCTAACATACGTGCATTTTGATTTTTTTATTTTACATTAATTTTCCCTGAAAAACTAATTGATAAATTCATTTCTAATGTTCAATCTTATCATATCTACTAATGTTGAGGGCCGTAGTTGTTAAATAAAGGGGATATTTAATCCGTTCGTAAGGACTGCCCTATGGATGATGAAGAGTATACTTATTTAATGAAATGGTAAATCTCATCTAATTCGATTTTCTTATCAGGGACATCATATTACAGTTTTTTTTATTTAACTAATTGAATATAATTCTAATGAAACAATGCCCTGATTACATGAAATTTTAAACTAGCACTCAAGATTGATCTCATTTGAGGGACTTTAAGCATTGTTGTGTCACATCGTTAATACCCTCTGAGAGTATCTCTCGATTCCAGCTAATTGTCACCCAAAACACCACAAGTCAAGTAATTTAAGTTATAGGTGATGATGGGTTTATAGCGAAAATGTGTTAATTCAAGGGATCTGAAATACCGCAACTTATTTCTATGACACTCACCAAAAACTTTCAGATTATTCTGACTGAAATTTGTTACAAACTGACTTCCTTGATCAGAGTTTTACCTCAAGTCTTAAGGATATTATTTCAAAGGATAACATAAAGTGAATCTTAGTCCAAATGAACAATCATTATTCACTTAAATTATCATTAAAAGAAATTTATCTTGTCCTATCACAATGTAGCTTGCACATCTGACAATAGACTTAGTGGGTTTTAAATAATGTACCAGAGTATATTCGTAGTCGTTTCAAAATGTTATTCTGTGTATTAACATGCGTAGTTTCAGTACGAGATAGAGTTAACATTTTATTGGTTGTTCATGATAATAAAATGATCATACTTCAGTGATATCCCTATAAGAAAAAAATTGAATTTCAAAAGTTTGGAGACTTAGTGTATCTTCATCAAAGAATAAATAACCGAATGAAATTAAAACAAGTTTAAATGTCACACAGAAAAATTGAAATATTCAGTATAATCAACACAAATCTGATCACGCTAATGTTATGTAATTCAGGTCAAATAGTGAAACAAAATATGTGTAACCTTTTATGAATCTGAGGAAACTGCGATATTTGCAGTGTGAAGGAGTACAGTTAATACGCGTGTCACTGGTGTCAAATTCGAACAGTTTAGATCTGGTTTTTATGATTTACATCATTGATTAAGCTTATTTAAAACCATGAAGCATTAGGCTGTTTCGTCTCAGTATGAAATAATTTAGTTGTACTTATCTACAAGTGTACCGGGGGTCTAATACCTTCTGTCTCGAGCGTTTAAGATACTGTTCCGCGAACTTCTGTTACGTGCGATGTATAACTCCTTCACACCTGACAACCTTGAACTCCTGGAATTACCTCTCGATATTCGTCACTAGTGTGCACATGGTTATTAGTACTGAAGAGTATGCGGAGATTGAATAACCGTCATAGTTTACTCCAGTCCGTGATTTAAACCTTGTAAATTCAAAAATCTTCGTAAACCATCCCCCTATAATCTTAAACATGGATGTTTAAAAAAAAGGTTCACTTTGGTTGGATATTTGGGCATCCCTTTTAGCTGAATGAAGTGAGATTTAGCTTAAGTTACGCATTTTTCTCTACAAATGTTGAAAACTTCTCGAATTATTATGATAGTTCTATTATTGCTCTGATATTCAATGTAAATGGCATATTCTGCCATTACTGACTTCAGTTGTACGTTCACCAGTTTCATGGGACTGTTAGGAGATCTTTTTGGTGTAACATAGTTGTTCCTTGATATATGTCAAGATTTCACTAGGAGACTTCAATTAAGAAAGTGTCGCTATCGACACAACCTAATCTGTTTACACAATCGTGTAAGAGCAAAGGAGATCAATCCTTTTATTCTTACTAAAGCATTTTGAAGAGTGTTGGTTATTTTATATAATTTTTTCTAGATCTATACAGCTCTGAGTATCGTTGTTGTTAAACTACGAAATCAACCCGATTACGTTTTTTACAAAGGAGGAATAACTTGCGTTTAGATAACTAGGTAAAGTTCATCGTTTGATTACTTTTTTGTCACAAAACTAGTAGTTACAATCTTATTGACCGTTTAAGTTTTATCTTATTTAAAAATCGGTATTATTTTTTTTATCTATAGAATATGTCTTGAAGTTTAGACAATGTTCTGCACACCAATTTTCCAAATAGCTTTTATTCACCAAGAACTTTTTATCTGTTTTTCACCATATTTCTGACTAAACGGAATATATGATAGTGAGAACAGTGAACTTGAAGTTGTTCACAAGTTACAAGTAAAAAATGTCTAACAGTCTGTATTCTAAAACTAAGTAATTACTAGCTAAAACTTGAGCATTTCGATCATGATCAAATTTAAAGGTTTTTTAGTTTGGATTCTAAGTGGTTGTAGCCACTTATATTTTACAAATGCTCTATATTACTGAAACTGTTACTATTTGATCTAATTGTACTACCATTACAAAATAATTTGTTTGAGCATAATCCAGAATTCTTTTACCTATTATATGTGGTTATGCAATCTACTTTTTGTGATCACTGACCCATATATATACGTATATGTTAGAGTAAATCCTGATTATAATCTAACTGAAAATAATATGCTCGCTTATATGTATTGTTCTAATTTTAACGTCAGGACTCTTTAATATTTTAATTCACAATTGTTAAAACACAATATAATCGCTTATTTCGGTTTCCATTTCAGAATATCCTAGCCGATCTAAGTCAGAATGTCCTTCCACTGATCAGTCAACAGGTCAAATGATAATTGAACACCGGTGGATTAATTTATCAGCGTTGAAAGAAGGTCTATTTGATTTTGCTTTCCTGTTAGACTGTTGTGAACCAGGTTTAATACCAGAACCACAACTTATTGCAGCTCTGTTTGACTTAGTAAGTAAATCTTGGGGCACTATGTGTTAAGTAAATAGTGATATAACACAAGCACGTATATACTGTTTTGTGTGTGTTAGCTATTGATATGATTTAGTGAATAACTGGATTACCAGCTAACAGATAAATTCGGGGCTGAAAAAATCAGATAAAAAACAAACAAAATAAAATAGACTGAGAGGGAAATAAACGCAACAGGAGCGCTAATTATCCAATTTCATTTCTTTAGGAGATGGATAGATTGTTTGATTAATCAACTTATATACATTACTCCAAGTCATTAAGTAAATATTTCATAACTAATATCAACTTATTTTTACATCAAAATAAGTCTGAAATAATACCTATCGTTAGCTTTGCATCAGGATGAGTTATTTACACAAAGTAACAGTCTCTGAACGTTTATCTAAAGACTTCTGGTAGTGTTTCTGAATGTGGCGAACCCAGAAGTTTGTGAAAGGATTTTCTTCGCCCCATTCATTAACAAAGATTATTCAGATCGTCCTAAAAATCCAGATGAGTCCTTAAATATAAACCACTTGTGTTTTTCCGCCTTTTTTTCACTTACTTCTTGGAGAATAATAAAGGAGTTAGTTATGAAAACTCTGTATGTGGAAAAAATATCACATTATTTGACCACGATTTTTCAACCTTGTCTACAACTGTAATAGTTTAAGATAACTTGATAACTAAGTACGTATTCATATGTTAGTTCGTTTGAAACAGTGAAACTAGGTGTTAATCTGGTGTATACTCCATTTTGAAGCAATTGATATCTCATCAAGGCCAATTTTCATCGCACCAATCAATCGAACTTATCGTTTTTCACCACAATTAGTTGACGGAATTTCTCACTTGTTTATCGTTCACTTTTATTTTGTATCACTTTTTGGAGCTTTGAACATGAATGTTTGCTGTAAACTACTCATTTAAATCTTCAAAATAACGTAAGCTCTTATTTCAAATTTCTTAACTGGTAAAAGAGTAATAAGGTATCAACATTATAGTAAACTTCTTTATCGATATTTTAATGTACGGTGTAGATACGTATGTTCTGAGCGGTCTCTATACGTAGATGAATTCTAGCAGGGGACCGGTCATGGTCAGTTTTTCAGATAAATTAGCAAATATGAATTTATACATTGTACTTATTAGCTAAAGCTCTTACAATGAATGGGATATTTCTTTAAAGGGGCTCATACAACAATAACTGAACCTTAAGGCTAAATAAAAATAGTTGTTAAATTAAGTAAATCAGTCAGTTGTGGGGTTGGGAGAATTATTAACATATGAAGAATGGATTTGGTTGTGAACAAAATGATCTCGGGTTAGAGGGCGGTTGTCACCTTCATGTTGCCCACACCATGGGAAAATATTTTTTGCGAGGGACGTGAAGAGAAAGTCCGACAAGTGTTGGTCTTAGTGATTTGGGAGTGTGATGGCAGGGCCCAAGGGACGACTTCATTAGGCCGACCAGGCCTGTCTTTTTCATGTATTGCTCATGTGATCGCTCTACAATTCGAAAGGTCTTATTTCCGATGACGGAAATCCATGGGGTAATGTGAGGTGTGACATTCTTATGGTCGACCTTTTCTAACCCGTTCCTTCTGTTATAGGTAGGCAGCATCTCTGCAGACGGTGGTTGTCCGAAGGAAACGCCCTACTGTTATCACAGCCCCCACAGTCAGCAGTACGCTTTTGCCCTTGGACACTAAGTTGCCGCCTTTACTTTCACCGTTCTCTGATCAACCTGTCTCGCATGCTAAGACCTAAAAGAACATGTGTTATAGCCAATAGGGCTCGTTTTACTCATCACAATAGGCACACCCGACCACCACGTCAAGGTAGAAGCTATGGTTAGGATAAATTAAGTGAATCCTTCGCTAACCAGTAGTTTATGTCAATGAGTGACTTTATTTGCTTAAAAAACGTTTTTACAGCCATGATAGCTCCTTAACATTTCTTTGAACAGTTTTTAAAAAATATTATTGGAAAATTTCTTTTCAGTAACAAACGGCTCTAATACTAGATAGTTTGATCTACGAATTAATGTGTTATTTGCAGTATGTAACTATCAGTTGACACTCTCAAAGTAATAGATATAAACTGTGAGAGATTAATTTTTGACTTATAGATTGAGTTTATAATAAATAGCTAGAATCTTAATTGTTTTCTATAGGTCTCTTAGGAAGCGCGAGTGTTTTATAGTGGTTTCATCTAAATAGCAAGAAAAAATGAAATTTGTATTTTGAGGACGTATCCAAGATATGATAAACATATTTTGTACGACAGAATGTGATTTATTCATTGACAACTCGGAAGACAGTTGATATTATCACATTTTACCATTATTCCTGATTTGATGTTGGTTATTCCGCCAAAACAATTTTAGTAAGATTTGACTGACTTACATCCCCACAACGAAAAAGATTTATGAGGGGAAAATTATGAATGTGTAGGGAAAAACAATCCACTGATGTTCAAAGACTAAGTTGTCTAATAAACCAGGAAATTAACTATTTAAATTCGATATATGCTCAGTAACTCTTGTCTTGTAAAAACTGTTCAAATATATTGAAGCATTCAAACATAATACATGTGGGAAACGGATTATCGACGATCCTCAGCTGAATATTTGGGACTTAAGTTAACAGTTGTTACATCAAGCATCTGATGTCATGCTTCCTATTTCTATAAGTTTGGAGAAAAGCTGTGCCTCAATTTTCACTGAAACTGATGTTTGAAAAAACTCCAGTTACTAAGCTCGTCAAAATGTTTAGTGCCTGACAAAATACCAAATCTTCATTTGAGAAGAGTGCAAATGTTTTGCGTCATTTGTTTACAAGCATCTTTAATGACTCAACAACTAATTTTATGCTTAAGATGTGGAGAAAAATAAAGATAATTTCAATACGAAAACGCAAACTAAAGATTCATTACAAAACAGTAGTAAAACGTTTGCTACTCCAAATTTAGCCTTTATTAAAGAAGCTTATAGTACAATATCAATTTGCATACAAATACAAGAGAAGAACGTTAGATGCTGATGTTGGCCTGCATCACAGGTGTCATTTGAAATACAGTGAGAAGTACGTTTGATGCGCGTTCCTAGACTACACTTCAAGCTTTGACTTTGTTCCAAGACCGCTGTTATTAAATAAGTTTTGGGACGTTAACACTAGGAACAGGCTAATCAACTAGTTACATTTTTAATTCTCTGGATGAAAACTATGTCATGTGCTTGAAGGAAAGTATTTTACTTTCTTATTAACTTAAACTGATACTTTTCGGTAAGCTCTTCTTCCTTTACTTCACTCATTTTTCTTCATGATCAGTCATCTGCATTGTATTTACGCTGGTTTCTTCTGCTTCAAATCCCCTTGAAATGAATGAGTTCCTTTCGTTCATTGAACGGTGGTCTATTTTTAATAGCTTCACACTTAATCCTTCTAAATGAAGGACTCTTAACTTTAGCATGAGACGTACGTATTACGTAAACATCATGCTAGGATCCAATAAAATTTATACTATTGAAAATCCTTTACCAAAATAATGTAAGTTTATCTTGTGGTCTCGATTTGGTGTTATCTGCCCTACTAATCATATTATATTTCTTGATCATTATGTTTTCATCGTTAAGAACATGACATCACTATGGCTGTAGACCATCTGTCTATCTATTGTAGAAGATTCATTAGATGTTGTCGCATATGCTCTGAATTACATTCTTTTACAATCTTATTTTTCTTTGACCATTGTTTTAGGATGCTCCTGTGCTAGCGCGGGCTTGCCTACTGCTAGAATGTGCCTTTTTAGTTCACCGTTGTAATCGAGGGGAATGGGCTGGATGGATGAAATTCAATCTACCCAGTTCATTTCGATCAAGCGCTGGATTCATTAGTAGTAATACTACTAATAGCAACAATAATCTTTCACAAGCAAACGAAAATAATAATAACAATATTCATCCAGTGGATATATCGGAAATCAAACGTGTGGCTGGCTACCTATTCTATGCTTGGGGTGAAGTAAGCAATAAGTTACTACTACATATTAAATATGCATCCCATTTCTTATAAGATGACCTAACTATCAACTGGAGGCTGCTTTCGAAACTACAAGATAACTAAATTTTGGTCTATCCGACGAATCATTATCGATGTCTTATTTAAATGAGTTGTGAGGGAGATAGATGACCAGTCATTTTTAACAGGAATGAATATGTCTGAGGTGCCCTATTAATAGTTTCAGAAAAATTTCGTAAAGGGGAATTATGCATTTTAGTTGTCACTTGTATTAGTAAATCACTAAATTATTTGTAGATAAACAAGTTCTTGTTAAAACAGGGTTTAGAATGTAAGTGAAATCTAATTATTCCTAATTTAATCTGGTGTCTGAGTGTAAGTAATAATTTGCTTGAACAAAGATATAGTACATTTATACCTACATCCATCTCTATAAAGGTGTAAATATCCCTTAATATTTGGATGCTCTATAATTTGCGTCCATTTACCATACAATTACTGCGATACCGTAAAACATAATTGACATCTTTAAAACGATCGAAGTTTAGGTGAATTAGTTGTTCTTCACTTTTAAATTTTCATTAGTTGTTCAAACAGTAATAATAAGGAAAGAATATTGCATTAGTATATAGTTACAAGTTAGACTTCTTTAAAGCATTGGTTATTTATTCATTCTGCCAATGTTTTAGGCATTGGGTCATAGGTTGCAGTATTTTACGTCAATAATGTCTTCGTCTAATTCATCCATAATTACAAATTTGGATTCGACTGGTGATAAAGTTTATGGAAGTGATAAAAGCAGAGACGTAAACTGTCGATCAAATGTCGAAATGGAACAAAACTTTTTGGATGATGGTATGCTCGAAAAACTATTACTATCTTATTTTTGTAATACTGAGTTTGTGTATTTCACTTTTCAAGAGACGGACTTGGGTAGTTATCCTATTAAAAAAATATAACCGTACGTGATGGGTAAAGCTATTAAGTATTACTATGAAATACACTGTACATCTACTCAATACAGTAAGTAAAAAAATTAATTAATCAAAAGACAAATTATTATAAGGTGTAAATAGAATGGAAGAGTGTATGTAATATTCATAAAACTGCATATACAGTTATCAAAACAGTAGTAAAATGTAACGACAGTCCTTCTGAACAGAAATTCGGCTGTATAGGATGCCTGATATGGACAGAACGACCCTATTCTGCCAAGCACTCAAAATACTAAAACAACCCTGAAAAACTCAATTCCTTTAAACTTGGATTGCAATTGTTATTGCAGAATCAAATGCAGATTACCAAATTGTGTGAATTCAGATGAATTACTCAATGTAATGAGAATAAAAGAAATATATTATAGTTTTTCATGTGACCATCTTTACGTTCACTGATTTAAAGGAATACCGCAACCATCAGTCAAAAATCTGTTCGGTTTTTTTAATAACTTAATGGTTATATTTTGCTAACTGAAATTCAAATTTGTTACTCGTCATAAAACGGAAGTCATTCTTATTTTAATTCTAAAATTTTTTTCGATTTTTGAAGACCTACAAAATTAGCATAACTAGATGGGTTATTCGTATAATAGTCTGTTTAAGTAGTGTAAACAAAAGGTTCTAGTTTTTTTGTCAGTTTAAGAGGTGCAGTATGAACTGGGAAAAATTTAGCATTATTCTTCATCGAACGTAACCGGTGTATGTTTTTTAATCATATTGTTATCTCAGCGTCAGTTAATCCAACTGGAGAAAGTTGCCCGTATGCTTTACTAACTGTCGGTGTTCAATTGTTGTTTGAGATAACAACTTATCTTAGAGAAACACACCAACGTTTACCACAAGACAATCCAAACTACGATGGGAAATGTGGTCAATCAGCACAACATTCATCAAGAAACTCAGTAATCAAACGTTCATTAACACGTGAAGCAAGCGGTGATAAGAAAACTGATACGTTTAAACACACCTATTCTTCAGGTAGTAGTGGAGCATCCTTTAAAGGTGCTAAAAGACGTCTCAGTATATTAATGCCGATATTTGGAAGTGCAGGCAACAACAGCCCTGAAGATGGTATTACAAACGAAATAGAAAAACATCCATCTTCCACTGTGAAACCTGTAATAACCACCGGTAAGTTTACATTGACAACACTAACTTCTATGTGATCGTGAAACTCTTAACGAAATATGTTAAAAAAATGCTTTATGTGTCTCTGTATGTATGTCAACTTATATATGACACCAAAATAGGATATTAGTTTTATTAAATATCAAAGGTTTTTTTATCATTCAGTGATAGAGCAAGTACTGATCTAAGTTAAGCAAAACATAATACCATTCAAAATAGAAAATTGATCATAGGGATCACCATATTAAATTTCCCACTTAACGTTTTTACTCATATATCTCATGAGAATATATTGTTATTGAGCGTCCACTTAAGGAAGATAAAATTTGATAAAGAGAAGCTTTAATTCCTGTATGATTGCTTTAAGCACAAATGGACATTTTAAACATACGATAAAAGGAATGCTTGTAAAATAACAGAGGACTTATATCCGGGCGTTCTTTTTTACGAGTAGTCTATTTTTTAAATTAATTTAAACAGTAAAATTAATTTTTTAGCTAAAGAGTTTTATGGATTCAAAATTATTGTTTTATCAATCACTTACTTTTCAATATCAAGGTACGTAACAGCATTATTGTTTTACAGAAAATATTTCTAATGAACTGTTTTAGAAGAATCACATTAGTTTTATTTCATGGTGAAGCGCTTTTTCAGGAGCTTGGGAAGTTAAAAGCGTTTTCAATGTGGTTTAAGATCATATCAAAAGTCATGTGCTTACACTGTAACTCTAAAACGTTGTCAGATTGACATAGATTGTTGAAAGTCGTACTTGATATATTCCTGTTTAGGTACAAGACTTCATGATATCTACATTAGTTATTTTTTACTAATCCCTCACAGATATCGCTGTTGACCGATTTTTATAACTCACTAAAAAAACGGCATGTCCAATAAAATCAAACTTGAAGTTTTTTACATTACAAATTGTCGTATTTGGTGTTGCTTAACACATCCAAGTGGAATCCCAAAAATGAAACTAAAGAATCGACAAGATTTACAGATACATAAGTCAAATTCAACCTAAGAGTTTGACAAAACTCAAGAGTCGAGTATATAGAAGCTATTATATTTGAAAATTAAATTTGAAATAATCTCAAAGTTTTTCTTGGGAAACTGACGCGAACTACTTCAGAGAAATAATAGTAATCAAAATTATCAAAAATAAAAATATGGTTTGCAAAACTGAAATTATATCCAGTCATTTTTAAATGTTGATTTTGTTTTTAGTAATCTAATTAGCCATTAGGTGTAAAATATATTCAGAATATGAGATATGATTGTGCGTGTGTAGATCGGTATTCTATTGCTGATTAAGAATTCAGTAAATAAATGAATCCGGCGGCCATTATCAAGGAATTATTATAAATATGAAAGTACATACAATTGGATTTAGGTAGAATGAGAAAAATCATATAGTTAGTTATAATAGTGAACGTGAAAACTAGTCGAAGACATATGTAAATCGTAATATTTAACAATATGTTTCAGCGTCAATGTTTTGAAATCCAGCTACGGGTGGACGGATGGGGTGGATGACAAAATAAGGTTCAAATGTTCTTGGTTAATTACCGATATTTATCGTTTAGCTAACTCTATTTATAGTTTTTTGTTCCCTTGTTCCAATAGTCCTGGCACAGTTAGCAAGAGCTCAAGAATAAGCCCCTCCGATTGCGACCACTGTGACCAGCTCCACAAGAACATTTAAATATATATATACAAATGAAGGAACCTATCATGAGTGTCATAATATGAGGACTCATTAGCTTGGGTTGATTTATAGCTTGGTTGTATTTAGTATCTTTTCAAATGATCCACATAGGGCGCAAATTAGAGTGTCGCTACCTATGCCACTTTCAAAATTGAAGTTTTTGAAAGAGAGAAATAGTTTTCTTATCTGCAATGATTGTGTTTCGTTTTTAATTTTGAACATATACGTTTTATCAAGCCAAATTTGTTAAAGACGATTAATAATATTGGAAACAATGAACAGTTTATGATAATCTGTCCAACTCAGATATACTTGGAATTTCTAATTAACTAATCTCTTTAGGCACAGATAAATCTTTCAGTGGACGTCGGGGCACTTCATCCAGACGTATCAGTTTCGCCGTAATGGACGATTCTAAGGATATAACTGATTCTACAAATGCAAGTGCGAACTATCTGGATCAGTCATTAGAAGCAAATGAATCGCAACGTAAATTCTGAAGTTTTTCTCTAAATTTTTGTATATCTACTCTACGTAACAGATAATTTAAGTAATTTAGTATCTAAAACTAATAAGAAGAGATTTTAAGAAACATTTCAACTAACTGAGAAGTTTATGTTAATATTTAATAATCTTTTTAAGTTTCTCGAAATTATTTCAATTTATCATCATTTTGTGATGCTCATATAATTTAATTGATTTCACAACATTTACTTCTGTGAAATACTTCTTCATTGATAGCGATTTTCCATTTTTGAGCACTTTATATTATGTTTTGGTTAATAATCTTCTTGAACATTCAGAGTTGTAACTCTATCTTCATATAACAAGTTCGTGCATAGGGACTATCTTCCGCGTTTCCACCTTAGATATAAATACACATTCATTAGTAATGTCAGTCACTGACTTATAGTTGAATTGGCTAAGATGATCTCTTTTTTTAAATATAAATTTCTATCAGGATTAGGTATTATGAGCTATAAGCAAGTTTAGATTTGTCTGGTCCAGAAATACTGGGTTTGTTTAGTTTTATAGTTATTCGGGTTTCAAGAGTGATTATTGTATTTTGTTTCCTTATTGTTTTGGCAGATCGTTTATCAGTGAGCAAAGGCCATCTTCAGAAACATCGAGGTTCTGGGAGTTTTAGATATTTTACTGCTCACGGGTCCGATTTGTCTAATGGTTAGTTATTTCGTTAATTTACAAGTCGGTTCAATCTTCAAAGTTTCATTCACTTCGATTTTTTATTCACAACCTATGTTTTAAATCATGATTTATTTCAACTGTTCTAGTTTCGGAAAAATCCCACAGTAACAATATGTGGTAGGTAGATTTTTCAGAATGGACATACAAAATCAGTTTGACGTAGCTATTTGTATTTCAGGCCAATTAATCTACTACGTTCTTCTGTAGAATAAAGTTATGTTATCATTTGTACCTTTTGTGACTTTTAGTATTTGAACAACGCCCTAGTCTTATGGGGCAAATGAGTCGAACTAGTAGCGGTGATATCCGTACTGACGTTTTTGACGATTTAACCGATAATCCTGGAACTCCAGTTTCTGAGGATGATAATCAAGACGTTTATCATGAAGAACAAAATTTGCTGCAAATGAATCATGTCAACAAAAGTCTAATTCACTCGAATCCCTTACGTTTAAAACCAAGACAAGGTCATCATTCCAGATACGATGAAACGATCAAGTCCCACACATCTGTACGACGATCTGTATCAGCTGCTCTTTCTGCGAAGAAGTCTTTGAAATCTAATACAATTCATCATGCCTTAGCTTTTGGGGATAATGAGACTTATCATGTGGATGATTACACATCTCATATGCCGTGGGTTGATGCTGTTATAGAATTTGCAAATTAGTGAGTTATTGTGTATAATTGGTGATATATATTTTCACAAAGTTAGTATTTGACTTGATTAATATATTGACAAGATTAGTTAGAGTTTCCATAAATCTTTCAAAAGTGTACCATGATAATAAATTATTATGAGTTTCCCAGAGTTTAATTACTGCATATATAAAAGTTATTTCGTCGTTTACGGTATAATAACATAAAGAGTACTAGAAAATTCATATAAATCCCTTACATGACTTTTAAGTTATCTGTCATTGGTGTTTCATTGAATATATATCGCTACCAATCTCTAATTTCTTGTTGATTTCTGATTGACCCGAGTGGTAAGCTTTTTTTAGTAATCCTTCTATTCAAGATCTCAACATTTCTCAGTCGTTTTTGTGTCCACGGTTTTCGACCACTAATTGATATTTATGCTAACGAAGGTAAAGGGGGAGTCCACTTTTTTCGTTGTAGTGTTTTTCTCAATTAAGGCAGTTTATTTTGTAGATGATGTTCGGTTTTTACTCTTTTGTCATTTCATCCTTTAGTTTGCATGGTATTGATTGAAATGATTTTGCCTGTTTGCGTGCTACAACTATTCCAAACGGCTTCAATATTCTCGTTGTAATCTCTTTTATGACCTTTATACATGGCGTGATCACTGGTAAGATCAAGGCTTCCAGTCTCTGCATCACTGCTTCTGCAGTAAATCCTGATATTGGTGGTTCCATCGGTGTTTCTCCCGTTAGTTCATAAATTGTGTTATTAAATTGAAAATGTGTTGTTATGGATAAATCGAAGAGTTCTAGAAAACTCTGACTTTGAAGCTTCGTGTACGTTGAGCGATTTGTATCGTTGGTGATGAGTAAGGATAAAATTTCCTTTGCTAAGCTTAGTTCAATTGAGATGATTAAGGTTGTTACATCGAAGGATATCATCCGTTGGTCTTTGTTGATTTGAATGTCCTTAACCTTATCCAAGAACTGTATGGTAGATTTGATAGAGTCATTCGATGAGTCCATTAAATGTTTAAATATTCTTGAAATTTCTCTCGATAAATTGTACGTTGAGGTTCCGGAAAGTGATACAGTTAGACGTAGTGGGATGTTAATTTTGTGTATTTTCGGCCCACCGTAGAATCGAGGGACTACTGGTCCACTGGATTTCATTCTCTGTTGAACCTTCTTTGATATTTTCCTGGTTTGACAAGCTTGTTTAAAGTCCTTGAGATTTGGTTGTCTAACATTTGATTAGATTTGCTTCTATTGATCGAGGTGGATAGGACAAGCCATGAGTCATATTTGAAGAAATCCCAACACTTCAATTCTACTCGATGTTTGTACTGATGATGTAGTTAAGAAGAATAATGAAAGTTTCACGATCAAACCATCCAGTACATTGAACAAAACTCCACCTAAATCAGATTAGGTTTTAAATTAATTTCTAATAATTTAGGATTTGGTATTTTCGGTGGACTATACATGTTGGCTTGAAAGTAAAGTGTTTAGTCGTACAGTTTGTGCGTTACGCATTTCAGCCCAATGTAATTCCAATGGGCTTCTTTCATTTGTGAATTTGTACCAAGTAAAGATTAAGTAGCATATTAATTTAAATTAACTGCCGAGTGACAAATAATATTTCTATAAATCGTTTGTTTATTCCAATATTTTACAGTACCAGTTTTGATTGTGATCATCAAAATTCATGTGCTTCAAATTGCTTTGAATATCAACAGCACCAATGCCGAAATTTGTTAAATGCAATGAAACAGGTGTATGAATCAGAAACTGAGAGTAAATTTGTTATATCTGTTGATCGTCAGTATTTATATTCTCTAAGTACTGTTAGTAATACGCCTACCGCTACAAATACAAGTGCAACACTTAATCGTGGTTTAAATGTAACTTGTGATACAGGTACAACTTCACCAGCATCGTCTAATGTTATTCGCCAACATAGACCAAATGATTCACGCTCAGAAAACTCTTCTGATCAAGATTCCTCACATTTAGACTCTACTGACGATTTATCCGATTCAGATGTCACACATCAACAACAAGTTAATCCAGGACATGTAAAGCATAAAATTAGCACACTAAAAGGTTTACCAAATATTGTTCAATCTAACGACAGTTTAACTGGTTTAAGCAAATCAGCTGATAACGATCTTGATGTCAATAATTTTCTATTAATGCAACAGGGTGCACTGGCAGCAAGTAGCGGTAGTGATTTTTGGAAAGCCAGATCAAAACTGTTTATAAAATCTTCAAAAAGAAAAGTAAATTAATCTTTTTTATTATCAGTTCTCAATTGTTTCTGTTGCTTTTGATTCGTCCGTTAGAACTCCATTATGTTATATTTGATAAAGTGAACATAATCGCTGAATGTTTAAGTACTTTTTGAAATATTTTAATATTTAACAAACTTTATCCAATCTAAATACTTTCTGGCAACTAGTTTGTACAGTTACTTACACAATAACGATATCGGTAAAATATTCGGGTATGTATTATCACCAGTTATTGGAAGGTGGTGGCCTATAGATAGAAACTTTAAAAAATCTATATGTTCCTAATGATGATCCTCTTAAATTGAAGTATGATCAGGCGATTATTAATGATTATTCTGTACAGAGTACTTATTTTAAGAACGACTTGCTTACTTGGTTCCACGTTAGTTCGTTCATTGAGTATTTTGTACAATAAACATGATAACATCTTAGATATCATATGGTTTTCTGCTCCTTTTTTTCTTTATGTAGAAATGTTAACCGATCTGAATAAATATTTCAGACGACATTTTTCAAGCATTTCACTTTCACTTATTAATATTTTTTTACACGTTTGGAGACTATTTCTCCGAGGACAATATTGCGTCGGCCTGGTGAGGCATTTGGACCAACTGTTCTTCGAGTGTGCAAATGTTCCAGTAAACCTTCCTGTTCTAGATTTTTTGAACTTAGTTGTTTCTGCTCACGCGGTAATTTGAAAGGCTTATATTTAATCATAACTCTTTGTACCGAAAATCTCAGGCTGAAACGTTAGTACTCTTATTTGTCTATCTTTTGAAAAAAGAACAAGTGACTCCTATATTTAAATTAACGCATTTAATCCCTGATGAATGAAAAAAGTAATTGTAACAACTGAACTGATGGAAGAGCTTTCACCATTAAAGATGAGTAAAAGAAATTGACTGTTGAAAAAAAATTTGTAAATTATAATTTTTGACTAATTACGATTTGATTGTATGTTAAAGAAAAATTCATTGCCATATCTCACAACTGGGGCTGAAAATCCATAACAGTAACAAAATTTATACTCATAATAAAGCATTATTATTATTATATCACACAATTTTATATTTATCAATATTAGGATTGTCATGTAGTGAAATAGAAATTAGAAACCAAAGTACATTGAGTGAACAAAATCCATTGAAATTAATTTGTTAGCAAAATAGTTTATACGCTCCAATACGTTCAGTTTGCAATCGATAGTAACTCAATGACAATAAAATTTTACCTTGTCTAAAATGTTTTACATTTACAGATTACTACTTACTAGTAGTAAGGTGCATTTATGATTAGTTTTATAGCATTTAATCATCGGAAAGTTCCCATAAAGCCTTCCTGTACTTTTTTTCACTGATTTTTATCACAAGGAATCTAATATATTTGGACCAAGTTCAAGCCGTGAAAACATGAATCTACTGACCAAGATTCGAATGAAATCATTTAACCGTTCAATCAATCCAAGCTCGTTTGAGAATGATACACCGGGTTTGACAGGATTAATTAACCTGAGTATGTTGGCTGGAGCAGGTGCGGGTTTGCTGAAGAGTTCTCGCCAAAGTATTAGTCTGAATCCACCACTGCTTGGGATTGAGGCTGACGAAGCAAGTGAAACTTTACCAGGTTTTGAAGATGATGATGGTGTTAAAAGTCAGATTAGGAAACCTGTTAGATTTCGTAAACATCATTTAGGTGAATTACCTATTCAGTGTTATTTGGATACTCATGTAAGTGTTGATTTGTGATGTATCTTGTCATATTATCCGTTCTATTACCGTCTTAAAACTCATGAAAAGATAACAGTTTAACAATATTTTACCATAGATACGAATGAATAAACTTAATGCTCAACCAGGCACGTAACATTTAGTTCACATACAATTGATTTGAAACGCAAACCTTATAAGAAATCGCTTAATTGCTGCGACTTAATTTCAGTTTTTTACTAAGAGGATTCACATTTTTGTTGTCTTTACTTACGTTTTCAGGTAAAAAATCTTTGTAGCAGTGGTTTCAATCTTTTGAATAAAGCAGCTTTACTACTTACAAATAATCAACTAGCAAAGATGCTTCCGTTGGCTTGGGAGTTGCTGCTAGAAACGGATACAGAATTTTCATCAAGTGCAGGTATGTCCTTGAATATTTTTGGAATTATCTCTATATACTTTAATTGGATAAAGTAAAGCTTTTCGTTTAGTGTTGGTATAGGAATAATTGTATGAAATTCGATTCAGGAATATGTGGAGATAAACTATAAAACCTTAGTCATTGGAACTTAAATAAGTTTCGGAAAGTTAGGGACATTTTCATGGTAACTTTTGAACACTTAATTCGCCTGAAAGATTTTCTTTTCTAACAGTCAATTCAGTTACGTTTACTTCAAATTCATTCGTATTACTTAGGATTTGGCTATTTTATTTTTAGGATAGTTCATACTTTCAAGATTGAAGGAATTCTCATGTTTTTTTTCAAAACAATTATCCATTCATCTTTTACAAAAAGAGTCCGGGTAAAGTATAACACTTTTATTGTATGTGCTTTTCGTTTTTGTTGTTTTCACTGCAATATAATATTTTTTATTGTTACTTTTTGATAAAATCAGGATTTCGTTATCTTGATATAATTACAACAATTAAATTGAATTTCAAGTCCATTTCTCTGACATTTCAAGACAAAAGGGTCTTGATATGTTCCAGACGTTATTTTAAACTAACTATTCAATTAAATTCTAATCCTCGTAAACAAATTGATTGAATAAAATATGGTTCAAATGTCGATCAAAGCTAGAAGTGAACTGGCGGTGTTGTTTCCTACAGTCATATGTTTTTCTGATAGGTGCTAGATTCAGTCTTATAAAAAGTCACTAGTAGGCACTACTGAAAAGTTATATCTTGATGCTTCTTAATCTCGAGTCTTTTTCCATAATGGAATCTGCTCATTTTTGTTTAAATAACGACTAGCATATATATACAAGGACAAGTAAAAGATATTTTCTATATATTATTCCTGATTTAACGCTTTTTATATTTGAACAGCATGTTTCATACTTTTCTGTGGTGTACGTTACCCTCAAATCGTTCAAGATATGATTCTAGACGAAATGCGACATGAGAAACCTTCTCAGAGATTTAATGCTATTCTACGGTGAGTTCTACATATCCTATTATATTTGACAATCAATCAATTTACTAAAACTAGTGTTATCTTTTTAAGTAAGCATGGCCATCAGGCTGACTACATATCATTATTTATCATTTGAGTATTGAGTTACTGTTCATAAACCAAAAATATGCTCTATGCAGTAAAAATGAAGTTGAAGATAAAGATCATTAGATTTTATTTTGAAGTGTTTCAAGTTTAACTGACAACCGAACGTAGTTAATTATCTAACCGTCTAATGTTTCCAAATACCACCTAAATTCAACTGCAACTAAGAATAAATAATCAATAGTATTTTCCGAAGTATTGTTTGATAAATATAACACTAACAAACACTGATATTTCGTATCTATTTTATGATAACCTATCAACAATTATTTTCATTTGAATCTTCACAAACGGTAGTTGAAGTCAGAATTTTAATGATCACTTTGAGATATTATTATTTATGTTTCTGTACGCTGAATTGACATAAGGCTTGGAATACCTTAAAATTGGAGTTGATTTTCACAGTTGGAAACAGTAAAAGCCGTAATGATAATCATAATATCACTTTTCTATATGAAAACCCTGTGTTTCACCAAAATTAGATGGTTGGTTAGAGGCAGTCAAAATTCTGATAATCAGCGTTGCTTATTTTAAACGATAAAAAAGTGATAACTAGATGACATACTTGGGTTTGTTAGCATTATATAATTGCGGTATCAACTAACAGGTGTCTTTGGGATTCAAACTTTTCGTTGTTCCTTATTATCTGTCGTGATTTTATATATGTATAACTCACAAGAGTAAATATGTGGTCCATCACAAGTATCGTTTTAACTTAAACAGTTAGGAACTTATACCTGTTTATTAATGAAACCCGTCACTAAAAGGCAATCTGTACTAATTTGTAACCTCAAGTGAAATGCACTCATCTGAGGCAAGATAAAAATAGGATCAATTAGTTCGATAAAATGAAGACATGATCACATTTTTTAATGATTGGATTAGGTGCTCCTAGTAGGGAAACATAACAAGAAACCGATGTGTGATGCAGCTGTCTTCATTATGATGCTTGATTCATTTTCTGTCCCTTCGTGGGCGGGTACTGCAATAATTTCATGAGCATTTAATAAGACATCGTCTTTCTGTGAGCTGAACAAGTCCGTGTTTGTATATTGTTTTCCGGGGACAATGGGCTTTGAACCCGCTACTGTGCATGTCTCAAATGGACGTTTCTGGACCACTGAGCAGATCATGAATGGCCGCTACTGCTTCGCTTACAATGCGGCTTGTCAAGGATTCATGGAGGCTTTCACTGACACATTCAGACATTTTGCAATCATTTTCCAACCCTGTACGCAATTTAGGTATTAGTTCATTAACTCCGGTCACATCTCCAAAGCATGGATGATTCAGAAGCAATGTGTGTAATTTGTCTATAAATTTCAACTGATTCTTTTTAAAACGCTGCTGTTTTCGCTGAAATAGCAGCTGTAATTAATCGGAAGGGAGAGCCATTTTCTGTTTGTGTATGAATCAGCACGGTAATAGAAAATACAGTAGGACAAATTAACAACCAATGTCGTTCAAGGACACCAACGACAATTGTGTATGCTGAATGTCTTGGCGATTTTTTTCCAAATCCCCGTCGCTACTGTTATGTCTTGTGGTTTGGATGCTAATTGATATATCTAGTCGTTGCTGATTGTTGTGTTGGAAACGTTTACCACTTATACTTGGAAAGAGGGACCTCTGCAATTCCCATGACGCGAAAGTAAGAACACAAAGACTGGTGTAAGTGAAGATTTATTAATCCCAAAGCACGAGGACGACGACTCTAGTAGAAAATACACTCGTTTATATATTGATTGTACACCCATTTCGATTAATAATTAGGATGAAATCACATATATGAAAAATAATTAGAGCTATAACAAATCACATACTGAGCATAGTTCATGTCGATGGAATACAAGAATATCGTATATTATACAGAATAAAATATCATTCGAGAAAACAAAGCCGAATACTACATTAAGTAACCATTACATTGAATCAGAACGGAAGTCAAGTTGAACAAACTCGTAATGAGCAAACCAATCGAATTTTGACTTTTCTTTCCGTCATATCAATATGTCCTTCTGATTTGACAAGAAATGTCTACTATTCTGAGATAGTATTATAATATGGGTGTGATATAGATGAAATGTTTACATCCACTAGGTTTAAATTAACAAAGCAATTGTTTTAACAACTTTCGTGATGAAACATTGGGTGTTTGATTTAAAAATTACCATTACTTTTTGTTTTTGAAATGATCGAGAGGGACCAAATTTTAGTTTATGCATATTTTTTTGGTAATGAACAAATAATGTCTTCGAGAATTAGTTTATAAAAGCATAATTAATCTGCACTTTCTCTGTTTTTCCCTAGATTTAGAACTTTGTGGTGTCATCGTTTTCATGTTTGGTCGCGACTTGAAGAAAATGCACCTAGTCAATTAAGAGTACCTCCATCTTTTATTGAATTTGTTTTGCCTTCACCTACACTCGGTTATCCTGGATTCGAGGCACCAGATCCTGTTTGGCAGATTCGTAAAGGAACATCGGCTGAAGAGGTTCAGCTAAAACAAAACGAGGCTACGGTATATTTATTTTGTTTTAATTTATCACCTAAACATTAGGTTGTTTCTCAATAAATTTTTAACTTATTTTACCAAAGTTTTCAGTGGAAACATTTAGTTAACACTATACATTTTTCTGAATAAAATCTGTTGATAAAAATTTTTATTTGAATGGTTGGTAAAAAACTGATGTCAGGCGTTTTGAAAGGAAATACAGAATACAAATCATCTGTCAAAGAAAGCATGACATTTCTCAAAGACAACTTTAAGAATATTTAGTTTTTTACGCAACAGTGATGGAGAAATATGATTAAAGTATAGGCGCCTCTCCTATTACTTCCATTTATTACCATTGGGAATGTGTTTGTAAACTATTTTGTTACACACTTTCTGAAACCTAATGTGCTCTAGCTTTTATATAATTGTTGTTTAATAAAATCAAAGTTAGTACTTGCCGACTATATTTTCTACTGGTATCATCCGTATGACTGAGCTTTCGATCTGAGTTCATTGAAAATAAGTCTGTATTTCCTCTAGTTGAGTGAAAGTCCCTGAAAACATTCAAAAAACGTTTTCACATCACATGGCTTTTTTGTTTAAATGTCTGTTCGTGTTAACGTAAAGCGATAATGCTGTGGACGAAAACACAGGTGGTGACAACCAATGTATTTTAATACAAACTAACAGAGCTTTTGGTCAAATGTGAAAAACAATACGTTCAATATTTAATTTGCGAATCTTCCATCAGTTGTCTCAAACTTTATCATTAATTCATTGCCATAACAATTACTCACTGTTTCCGTTCTCTTCAACTCTATCTTCCCAACCTATACTGCCAAACACCCCACTTCTGATTGGTGCTGTATACTACTTATATCAGTAAAAGTAGCATACGTCACATGAATGTATAGAATCTATTTACATTAAACTTGTTTCCTCATTGCAAGCATCTATAAGGCAGTTAACGTATGTATTCCAAACGCTTATAATAAAGTTAGGAGTACAGTTTGTCTAATGGTTCATAAAATTTACTGTGGACCTATTGATGCTAGGAATAAAATGCTTTAGATATCTAATCATAATGATTGTATATTTCAGACTATCTTGAATTAATTTTGTTCTTTCGTTGTTCATTTTAATTTACCGAAACACTGTCTCCGTAAATTAGTTGATTTTAGTTTATTTTCAGTTTTTGTGTTAACTTGGTATAATCTTACAGATATATAACTAGATTTCCCCACTATTTATTTTATAGAAAACATTTGTAACAGCTTCAACATCTAGGCGTAAACAGCAACAGGAACTTTTGGCTCGTGCAATAGCAACAGAAACCATGCGAAGAAAAGAAGCCAGACAGTCTTTTCATTTAACAACATGCCCAGTTCTGGAACGTGCAACCATTGAACCAGCTTTCAGCAAAGAACACAGGGATGAAGGCAACATTGATGATAGTGAGTTATGTTTGTTTACCATATTGAAATTAAACGTTATGCACGTCAGATTTCGTGTAAAATAAGTACACTCTGCCTTAGCTGTGATTGGGTTTAGTTTTTAGCATGAATTGATATCAGGTGGATAATTATTGTAAACCATGTGTAGCAGTAAATACGATAGACAAATAAATGCATTGAATATTTGACGTAAATGAAAACACATTTTTGTCATTTGTTGACCATTATTAACTGGATGTTTATTATTTCTATTATTCAACTTCGCGTTGTATATTCCCTCGAGAAACCATTACACTAAACCTATCTCAACCTAAACATACGAATTTCAAAATACTAAAGTTGACTAAATTAATTATCTAACATCCGTGTAAATTGTTTCTGTTTCTGTCCCTGCGTTTTCCTCCCAGATATCGCAAATTCTGCAGGATTCAATAGTGGAGCAGGTGGTGGACAAATAGGAGTATCCAATTCAACACAAGATGAATATACTGCTGCTGTTCGGAGACTAAGTCTTGCACCAATTAATCGTACAGTTCTCAATCAAGCTCGCAATTTATCGTGGCGTCAGAGCTCAATACCTTGGTTACGGAACAGTGTTATAGCCCATGACGGTAAGCCAACATTAAATTATCAGGAAATATATGATCTCCTAACTGCTTTTTAATTGTCTAAAAAGTTGGAATTCGAAATTGTATTTCATCTTAACACATTATGCAAATGGTTTATATAGGTACCTTATGGAAGGGAAAAAAACCCATGTTTGTTGTATACCAATAATAGAATAAATAGTTTTAAATAACAAAGATAAAGAATTGGGACTTATGCCAAAGGAAACATGTGTGACATCTGTTGAGGCATTGTTAGAAAATTAATTTCCATATTTTAGCGAGTTATCTGACTGCAGAATAAATTTCAACGACACTCATAAGTTGATCTGCAGATCAAGGTGATGTTAAAACTAGTCAACACTGTTGCTTATGTCAGATCAGTGTCAATAGGAAAGGACCCGAATACATTTTTAGCACCTGATTTATTGCCATCGGTCTGTTTTATCTCCAAAGATGTAGAGGTCAGCGGCATCTTCACTGTTCTTATACTCTCTCAGACTGCATATCTACCATATGCCAGATAATGTTGTATAAGTATACAACATGAGATTTAGAAACTGTATCTTGGATTATAGGCAATTTCATGAGAGGAAGCGAAATAAGAAGGCGAACAAGTTTATAATTTGAGAAGAGTCAATCAGTCATCTGATAGAAGAAACCTACATCTTTTAATTAATGGCAAATGAAACTCCCAAATGTTTGTCACGCTCAGTTGAATCGTTTGGTTTGTCCAAATCTGAACAAATGACCTTGACGGTTTTTTTTAGTTTATTGCCTAAAAAATCGTTTTAAATCTGAATTGACAACCACTGGAAATCGTAATGTAGCTTGCTATTATAATGTAGCATTATTCTAGTGCATCTGTTGTTGATCACTATTGCATTGGATCTAGTAGCAAGTGCGTAAAGTAGATTACATATTCTGTTTCAAGGCGTACACACCTCTTTCGTTAGTTACTATAGGAATATAAGTATTACTCTGATTGTTTTCTGCCAATCATCTTTTGATAAGTCTAGTTAACAATTATAAAGCGTGAATAGACTTTCAATGCGTCATTCACTTACTTCTTTGATCAATGTATTTTAGCTTTATTACTTAAGCAGTGAATTCAATAATGACATTTATTGAGAAGTGAGATATTGTAATTTATAAGTAAAACAGATTCATTGTTTGTAAAACTTACTTTTTACTCTATTTGTCATATAGATGAAGACCGTTGGTTAAGTGGATCTCATTCTTTATTCCCATCACAACCATTGCAACAAGCTCAGTTGGTCTTCCCATCTGCTCTATGCTCTGCATCAGTTTTACTGATTAATCTTTTAGATGATACGGCGATAAATGAGCATGGAACAGCAGGTAATTCATATAACTTTCATGATACTTGTCTTGAAATAATTCGAATTATGCTGACTTAACAGTTACTTTATTTTCCTTCAACTTTTAATGAACACTGACAACTAGGTGCAATTTTATACATACTTCATTTTGAATTTTTTTCAATCCTCAGTAGTTTATCATTCTAAGCCTTTAAATTAGGATTATCAGTATTGTTTTGGATCAATACGATCTCTGTCTTTTCTACAATATTCTTCTGCCAAAATCTGAAAAGAAGGTTACTCTGACAATTAACTTGTATATTTTTCCCAGACTTAATTGACCATGGAATTTAAAAATGACCTGTGAAACCGGTAATAGTTTTTCAAAGAGGTAACAAGCTGCGTAGTCATTGAAATGCTATACACGGGCAAAATTATAAATCCTATTCTTTCAATGTGTTTGAATATACTGCTTACGTAACATTTTACGAATTACGCATAAATTTATACACAGAAACAACTTTCATTGATTTACTAAAATGAAAGAACAGTGATTACTGTATTTCAAATCCATTTTTGGTATAACACTGTCTTCCACGAAACCTGTCTTTGTTCATAGGCGTTTCAAAATACTCCAAACCAAAACGTAACTCAGAGCTTTGTAGCGAACACATGTGCTCATATAAGAACAGTCAAGGATGATAAGTGAGTAATTGACATGGTCAATATGTGGCTTGACAAGAACGAATAGATTCATCTAGCGAGAAGCTAAAATAACCTATGTGCGCTTGACATGGTACCAGCCCCTACAAGCTACCGTAAATTATTTAAATGAAATCCGCCATCATAGGGTTCCGAAACGAATTATTAAAATTGATAGATTTCCTTTATATTTATACAGACCACGCAACTCATATATGTATCGTTGGTTTTCTATTACGGTAAAGGAAAATATGTCTAATATTTGAAAGATATTCGCATATTTAACACATATATATGTATGTGTAGTCATGAAAAAGACTAGAGGTTGTCATTGAGTAGAATGCGTTGACTTTCGTCACTGAATCTTCATGATTTCATAAGCGAAAAACGTAAACCTTTAAGAACAACAGGTATTCCTCGTGAGCAAGTGCATTTGTAATTGACAGCATTTCTATACTGAACTCAGTAACTCTCATTATATTTTATTCCTTCAAATATATCTATATCCTTTTTTGAGTACAATCAATTTCAAACTGTACCAATTCCATTAATCGGTTCCAAATTTTAAGAAGTTGTACAATCTAACAATCTAGTTATGTGCAAAATGAAAGCCTAAAATGCGTGGTTTAGTTAAGTTTATCTTATTACTGATATAGTTATTAAAATGTTTAGTGTTTTAAAAAATTATGGGATCACTTAAACCAAGGAAAAGAACGAAGGATCACCAACACAACGACAAGCTAAACTCTTTCGATGCGTTCCAGCCCTGATAACTAAAGAGAGAAGACCAGGTTCAGATGAGGAAAATATATATTCCACAAGCAGCCAGAAGCATGAACAAACCATGCACACAACTCAAGCATATATACAGCATAAAAAGCTCCTTGGAAAACGTCACGAAATAGCGTATCAAAAGATGCAACAAACTAATGACATTTAGGGTCTTTCTAAGTGAGGAATGCAATCTGAAGGTAAAACTTGGTGCTACTGGCGCAGAAACGAGAAATTCAAATTTCGAAAATAATATTACACAAATAAGACGTTTACGAAGTGATTTCTGGAGATCTCGCATTACCAACAATGCTCACCTTGTAAAATATTGTTTAAGAATTTACACAAATTGTAGTAAATAATCGTTCAATTTTAATCCAGTGACCACACTCCAATATTTTTTAGGTTTCTAGGTAGTATGTTAAACTGTAGTCACTGTCAATATATTTCTCTGTACATTACATGTTTCTCCAAATGATATAAATTTCACTTTAAATAGTTATAAATCTGAGCACATAATTGGAATACCCTTATTTCGTTTAATTTCAGTAAATACAATAGCTGAGTATGTGATATTTAATTGTTTGCTAGAAGATACACCATTATTTTTACGCTTTATATTCGAGCGTCTCACACGCATAAAAAATAAAGATGAACTTATATTTATTTTACGTAAAATGATTCAACGGTTACCTGAATTACCAATGCAAACAGCACATGCTCTTTTCAATAACTTAGTAAGTTCATGTACTCACCATTTATAAGTTTAATAAGGTCTATTTAAAATGCTATGAATTGATAAGCTAAGATATATAGATATAAAGAATAATATTTTTAAATTATATTTTAACAAGAGTGTTTGTATTTTTTCGAACTGTTTTATCACCAAGTGTTGAAAAACCTCTGACTAGTTTTTATTATACTTAACAAAAAAGCGAGTCACATAACTGTTGAGAGTTGAGAATTTTTGGGTGCCCCCAACTGTCGTAAATTCCGACTAAATTCGAAGAATGAGAATCATGATGATATTCGTTTTTCTGTTTTTTATTTTTCATCCTATATTCTGAAGTTTTAACGACTAGTGGTTTACTAAAAATTTAATATACTTCTCTTTCTGGATAGTGTGTGTGTAAACCCATTCCGTAACATAATGTCTTTAGTAGGTAAAAATATACACGTAAACAGTAGAATCGATAAATGATGGCAGCCATATTTTCGTAGGTAACCATGTACGTTTCAGAATGTTGAGTTAATGTGAACGGGAAAGAATGACGGTCCTCTTTTCAATTAGTCAAATCTAGTTTTTATGTAATGTAACCTATCACGATAATTTCCACTTGAAATGTAATTTTATTCACTAACAAAATTAAACCTACTGAATAAATCGATGATCTATCAAGTAACGACCCTTAAAACTATTTTCTTTAAATAATATATAGATTTGGGATTTAGTATCACACTGGATTTAAGTAGATTGATTATGAAACTAATCATAAGACTTTCGACTCCAGAAAGTAATAGAGTCGATATGAAAATATTTGACTCAGCCAAAACAGAACTGAATAAAAAGGTCTATGGATTGAGTAGACCATGGTGATGAAAGCATTGATGCCACCTAACAGATTCAGTCGATGTTTACTTTAGTAACTATACACTGTTTTCAAATCTGAAGTAAATCACACACAATTATTGTTGCAACAGATTCCTCTTAATACTTGTTTTTTAAAAGAAAATTATTATCTACTTTTCATAAAAATACTTACAACATAACAAGTATATACATTTGAAAGTTTGAAATATTTTAAAATCTCCGTTATCAAAGTCCTATTATGTTTTGAAAGTCAGTTTCCTTACTACGACGTGCTACACAGGGTTCATTAGTTATCAAGTGTATTTAAATATTAAGATTTGTCATGCACTTAAAGCGTTTTCCATATTCATTATAGTCATCTGTGGTGAAGATATTTACTCTAAACAACAAAACTGAAACTATTGAAGTATGGGTTATTTAATAATAAAGTTGAAGAAAAAAATCATTCTATCTGAGTCGTTTAAGTCATTTTAGTGCAATTTCAGCTGAGTCCAATGCTACGTTGTAGGTATTCAAATGTTTTTTGGAAGTTCAATAAATAACATTGGTAAACAAACGACTTGAGAATTAACTATAGACAAGCAGAGAACCATTTAAAATATATTACTGAATGCTATTATAATTGCAGTTCTTGAAGAGAGATACCTCATTTTGTTTTAATCCATGTTCAATTACATAAATTATAGATAATCCCATACAAATAGATTATTATCGTGACTTTGTCATCATCATCACTAATTCTATTTTTCATAACAGGTCGGTTATATTATGTTTCATATTCGTACACCAAGTTTCAATGCACCTCAGTCAATTGCCAGTGCGTTATCAGTTCTTCATTTGGTAAGTAAAAATTTAACCCCCTATAAAAGTATGGTCTCTAAGGATAACATCAAGACAAGTCTATTTTTAAATTTTTTCCATTTAATTAGTTTTATTTTATGAAGTATTATATTAGTTTATTGATCGCTATAAGAGATATTTCAAGAATGATACAAAAATCCACAAGTATACCTAAGAAATTCATCACTTGAATAAATTCATTAGATTACTTTAGATAAAATTTAACGTTATGTTCCATAATAAAAATTCCAGGTTTTAATTCCTAATTTTTGAGTGTCAAAGTAAATATTTCATTATGTCCTCGTATTCCGGAAATTCTACGAAAACAATGGTATGTACATGAATGTATTATACTTATTACACATCCTGTCAACAAAGTGCTTTATCACCATATAGTTTTCTAGACATGCATTCATAGCATTATGTCTAAAACACGGTATTTCATTTCATCCACAACGTTAAAGCTAATTCATATTTATTAACTTACAAAAGTCTTTGATATAAATTAGTGGAAGGAATTTTGAATGTGAGTGTAAATTACAAACCTTAAATTGTGAATTATTACAGAATCCTGAAAATAGAAAACAACAAAGTTTAAGATTAGCAAAGCAACAATTGAAAACTATGAAGCAACAAACAGTTGTTTCATCTTCGTTTGAATCTACTCAGTATGCAATATGTGGAATCCTCCAGAGATTGAGATTATGAGCTTTTGGCCTTGGTATGAAGCACAACAATCAGTGGGAATTGATGACTAACAATATAGTTGAACCTGACCAATAACCATTTTTCGTTTAGTGTTTTATATTTTACTAATATGATCAGAATTAGTTCTTATTAAAGGTCAATACCTCTATGAAACATCTGTAGCCTTAGATATGACGATTTCAGAAATGTGTTGAGAGACTAACTCATTTCTTGAAGTTGAAGCAAAGATTGTGATTTCCTACGATGAACATATCATCATTCTAACTATTAAAACTTTTCATAATCTATTTATATTGAACCTAAAAACTTTTCAACATCGAAGTACCTTACTGATTTCCCTAAATACTAAAAACTAACTTGACAGAGATCGCTACTAGTAATGAAGAGTCAACTATAATTTGCAATCACTAACCTGGTATTTTTACTGATTCTTCAGATTATTCCATACGTTCAAAATATCTACTTTAAGGATTTGAAACAGACAATGAGAAGAGAACAAATCGATGTAAGTTCTTTGTAAAGTATGGATAGAGCAGATACTTGTTTAAATACTTTTTGGCATGTTATTGATCATTCACTTATATTTAACTTTGCTAAATGAATAATTGCCACCATAGGTGATAATAGACACTACAAAAAACACAAAACATAAATACTGTAAACGCTTACGGGGAAAAAGGAACGTAAATGTTCCATGAATGTATTCAAGAAAATTTCCGCCAAACCTTTGATCCTGCAATGATTTTTGTATCCAGGAGATCATTAAACTGTTATCCTTTATTTCGATTCAAGATTATTTCAAATAATGATTAGCTCCGTATATTTATCTGCATATCATCCGAGTATTTTCTAAAACGTGAAAATATGCAGTCAACGTTTAGGTATAGAAAGTCAACTTTTGATCAAGTAAACGATTTTATCTCCAAAATGAAAATATTATTCAACAATAAATAGATTTTCTGTACTTTGTAAATTTCAAGTTATGAGAATTAAAAGTATACGGTTCAATCGTTTTAATTATTGGATTTGCAAGTCAACTTGCATCGATCATTTTCATTAAGGCTTGAGTTCATTTTGATAAATTTTTAATGGTCTAAACAATTTATTATAGAAAAGAAATTTCAATTCATATTCATTGAGCTTACCTGCAAAAGTAAAGAAAACGTTTGTTACAAATTTTGGGATTGACTTCTATAATAAATAGTCTTGATCGCTGTCTCAACTGCAAACTTAGAAAATAAACAATGCTTGTTATGCTTCACGGCTTCAAATAGTTAAAACTAATTATAAATTATTTAATGACATTGATTACAACATAATATATAGGTGACTTATGAAATCAGATTACTATCAATTACACAAAAGGATGAGAGACTTAGGGAATAAGTGATGAAACTAGCATCAACACTGTCATATGGTTACAAGCCATATGTGACAATGCTCAATGACTTGTTTATTGATTTAACATATTCTTCTTCCATTAAAGTCACGATATACCCAGCTTAATAATTGTTTATTAATCCGAAATAGTTTAAAGTACTTGGGTGTCGTTTTATTACAGGTATAACTAACCTAGCGAATAGTTTCTATTTCAATAATTTTTGATACTGTATGTAGGCGGTATTAATATAGGGTTTGAATCATTGTATTAACCGATCATCTAACAGATTGTACAGAAATACAGTTGAACAGAATCTCATATTTACTCTATCAATGGGATAATTAGTCTTGTTACTTTTTTTCTGATCATTGATTAAGACTCAATGAGAATATATTTCTATTCTCCCCACCCAAATGGAGGACGTTAACCTGAAAATTGAAATCATGGTACCAAAATATTATACCATGGGATGGCATCATTTGTACTGACGGTCGCATTGTATTTTGTGGCCTCTGACTAAACGCTTGGAAGCAATATGTATCACTAATGATCATGCAAGTGCATAACAAAGTATAAAACAGGGTAGAATGGTTTGATTGAGTGTTTAAGCTAATGTATATAAATATAGGAAATGTATCTTTAGCTTCATGAATAATTAAAAAATGAAAGCTTATCGAGAGGAAAACGAAACAATTTTTACTTTAATAGAAGCGATTCGTAAAATGTTTTTATTTCTATCTGTAACTAATCAAACAATAAACCATCTCATCCAATATACGTGGATGTTTATATCTAATTCTTATCCTTTTTTTCTAGTCTACACTTCTATTAACAGCTAACTTACCTTGTGCTAAACAATTCAACGTGTTTGATAATAGTATTGGTGTCGCTCAACTAGTTCGTTTACAAGACGAAAACAAGGTGAGGAACGATCAGTAAACAAAAAAATATGTATTGGCGTATTGCAAACAGTGGAAAGAGATCAATTTTATTTTCTACAGAAACATACATACAATGGCACCGAAAATGATATACGAATTCGTTTACTAGGCCATTATGTCACCGACATATTCTAACTGTATCAGGTGCATCAGGGTTTGAACTTATTATTCTTTGATTAACAATTCAATATATAAACCAACGAACCACTGATTTCTTATTTCAGAAACCCAAATATAAAATCAATTCAGGATTTATAACATTCTTTCCTATCATCTGACGGCATTTTATTTCTTATCAATAGGAAATCACTTATCGGGTTATAAAAGGTTACCCTCTTATTATATGGTAACTAACTTTTTATCTCACCCCAATCATCACTTAAGATGTTTTAATCTCAATAATAATCAAATAATATCTTTTATCATTCACCCTGTCGTTTAGTCTAACTTTCAGTAAACAGTTTTTTATAATTTTCAGAGACTATTAGAAGATAGGTTGAAATAGTCGTAATTATATCACATAAACGTTTCACTACTGCCTACAAGTAATTGAGGTTTGTGATGACGATTGGTTCCAGGAAATATATATCTCAACAGAATACTAAAATTAGTCTCGTAGATGTAGACTTACAGATCAACTTGTAAAAAAACCTATCTTCTTGACTCAATCTGTCTAATGTCTATGCTTCGAATATTCATAATAGTATAAATGGTTTTAAATATGATTTATTTGACGTTTGATAGTTATTTGATAAAAAGAATGTTCATGAACACTTTAACAGTGTCTTCGGATTATGCATTTTATTTATTTGTCACAAATACTTCATGAACACAATTTTTAACCCTTTTATTCAATGGAAATCAACAGTTTACACAAGACAATGATCTTGTGATTTTTTGATTTTGAGAACAGATTAGTTAACGTGATATATTTTCTCTATTCTGGTTAAAATTAATAAGAAGCATGTTTATTTCACAAATGAACGAAGTTTTCGTGTTATTTTAAGTATTAACTCAGTCCAACTCAGGTTCTTTTTGAACTACAATATTCAGCAGATCCGACTAACAGAGTTTATCTATGAAGATCATCATTGTTAACCTGTTTCATACAAATGTTCTTTAAAAATTTTTAGGACTATCAGTTTGAAGACATTCTGAAAGATGTTCTGTCGGCGAGTGATATACTCGAAGATGAAAGAAGTTCTTACTACCTTTGTGACGAACGTTCTAGTAAGCACAATGTTTTTTTAGACCGTTTCATAAATATCTATATTTGTATATTTCATTTTAAAAGGGGTTTAGAATCATATTTGTTTACTTGACTATCACCAACCACCTAATATTTGGTATTTGCCTAGTCGTCAAGTTCAACTGGAAAGTTGCTTGTTACAAAGAATCAACAAACAACTTCACGATATTGTATGCATGTATTTCCATATGATTTGATTATCTCATTATGATTCTGTTGATAACGGTATTATCATATGCAGCAAGTCAGAAAATTTCAACGCTCAATTTGAAAACACACAGAATAAACATCTGAGTCAAGATATTTCACAGTTTGTCTTAAAATAATTTATTTTATAATTATCAGTACTCATCGTAAGTACGAATCTCCATACAGTATATATATGTACGTCTGCAAATAAAAAAAAACCAACAATGTAAGTCACTGACTAGGACCAAATAAGCCCGAAATATATATCAAGAAGCTCCTCACTATGTATTGAAGTCATCTCACACTAAATGTAAAGCCATAGCATCGATATGGTATCTATTATTACAGTTAAAGGGCGAGACTATATTTTATGGAAGAACCAACCAGATTTAAAATAGTGAGTATTAGATCTGATGTCAGTTCGTGATCAAAACCTTTACTCCAATTTCAAACTCTAACTTCTAACATTAAATCCCGATTCTGAATTCTCAAATTAATTTGTAACCCTCATTTAATCCTAGTAGGTAGGTGAATCTTCTCAAGGTCACTCTAGTGTCTCTCAAAAGTCGTCCATAAATTATAGTCTCATCATATATATTAGTTGAATGAAAAGTATGTTTGTCTTCAGCTGAAAATTTCAATGATTCGAATCAAGTCGATTAATGATCTGATAAAGATTAGTAAAATAAGAAGTGGTGTATAGATGAGGTAATTGTACACCTGGTGAGCATGGAAAGGAGAAAAAGATTGGATATTATGATAAAATTCTACTAATAATTCTGAAAAAAAATTAGAATAAATAACAACTGACTATTAAGTATTTAAAATACTAAGGTAACTAAAGATTGTGGTAGAACGAGAGGTTGGAATAATCCTTTTGTCTACAAAACACAGGTTTGAATCGGTGAATGGTTAAAACCTATTCAGTGCATGATTTTATTATTCAATTTTTTTTAAGTATGTATGGTTTTAAAAGCGTGACTGAAATTTACAAGATATTCCGGATTTGAGTTACTGATTGGTTCTATTACTCTTTTTGACAGCAAAGAAAATTAGTGCTAGGAGACACTTTTCAAAATAGTACACTTTGTGTTGCCAATATAGCTCGCTTAACAACAGAAAGTAAACTTGTAAATCTAAATTATTGTGGCCCAAGGCAGATGTTTGTTGTTAGCTCATTTATGAGCCAATATGTATAATGATTACCCAAATGCGTTACATATATTAAGAGACATTTTTCATTTGAGCATAAAACGTAGGAGTACGTGGTTTACAGATGGAGTGATTATATAGTATGATGATTTATGTTATAACCAGTTAAGCCAATTTTGCAAGCTTGCAAAATTTTAAGCTGGAGTAGTAACCGTAAACATGAATATACTGGCTGTTAGATATCTGACCGCTTTGGTAATTATTTGAATAAAAACATTATTGTAAGAGATAAGGGACTATTGATCTGTCAGGTCGGTAAATAAATGTTACGTCAATGAGAAACTTCCTTAACTCATTCTCGGTAGTATAAAAACTACGAACTCATATGGTGCAAATGACAAGAATACTGGTAAATACCACAACTTAGGAAACATGAGACAATTTTCTGATAGTAATCTTTATTTGGATTTGTGCTATTGCTTTTTAAATGGTTTTGTATATGCTTTGATTTACTTCATTTTAACCATGTTGCAGATATTATACGAAACTCTTCCCATTACATTCGTGATTTCTATTCATTCAAACGTAATCATACTCCTAAATTACGCTTGCGTCAGTATGATAAGAAAAACGGCATGTATCTACTGCAACAAAATGCTCTCAGTCTGAAATTTCAAGAAATTGGTAAAGTATCATTTACGCTGTCAGTACTTCGATGTACGCCAACTCCACAGGTATGTAGATAGAACAGCAATATTTCCAATATGAAATGAGCTATAACATATATAATAATTCATTTGACTGTTTTCTTTTACATTTTTCAGATATGATCATGAAATGTTCCAAGATCAAAGGCGTATATGAATTCGTCAGTGGTTTTTGTATTTATTGATTAGGAAAAGAAACTTATTCAAAATATCTGCCATTAATAATCAGCAAATATAGAATGTCAACAAATTTGTAATTCTATAGCTACTTACTTAGCCACTAAATAATGCTTCTGCATAAGAGGTGGTTGGTGATATAATTAGGTTTACAATAGGAACATTAACATTAATTAGAATTCCCATGTGGCTGCAATCGATCAAATCAGATGAGACCGTATCAACTGTCATTACTCCCACTTCTAGCCACTACCAAACTACCTAATGCGAATTCAGCAACAATCAGATCCATTTAAATTGATCTTCAACTCAGTCATTAACTTAGTTATAAATATAGATATGAGAGATATACAGCTTGTCTTATTAATACTGCAAATTTATTCGGAATAACCAACAGACTTTCGCTACTGGCATATGGGAAAGAAATGTAATTTCAGATTAAGCAAAGAAAAGTAATCATTATCATTACATTATTATGAATTGCCATGTCATATTTGAACTATTCGAATCTCAAATACCAGCAAACAGATATTTTACATGAAGTTGGACTCAGTTATATCTAAGTTAATTCATGAGAGAAAAACGTTATTTGTCGTTTAATTTAAATAACCTACACTAAAGCACTTGATTGAGAAATATCTTGTAAACAACCTATTTATACAACAGAGCAAACGATTTTGTGATTACTGCCATAAAATGCCGAGCGTTTTATTCATTGACCGCAAATTCAGCTTGATCTTTTATATGTCTTACTAACATTAGCGTATATTTCCGAAAGAAAATTTCCAATGTATCATAATGTCCAACAAATACCTAAGTTGGTTTTTATGGTATCGTGATTTGAATGAGTTCGACATAAAGAAAAAAACTCACCAATAATATTTGAAAGTGTTAGCAAAGCACTATGAATATTGTTATTGGATCTCCAGAAAAAATTCTTGAAAATCTATATTTTTTGATATATTATTTGTGTTGTACTTTATCTGTCCTTATCTCAAGTTTAACCATGAAATGCTGAAGATTTGACTTGATTCTTTTATCTCCACCTCTCATAATTTAGATTCCCAATCACGTTTTTTTCTTACATGAAGAGTTAACTAAACTACCATCATTTCCACGTAAAGCATTAGAATCCGACTTCAATCTTTACGACTGGCCTACATATGGGCGTCCACTATTTGCATTAGATACAATACACAAGTTATCTTGGTGTCATTTAATATCCAGTTTATTCATGATGATGCCTAAAACTTATCCATGGTCATCGGATTTACAAATATTTTTGAATGTATACAATGGTACACTGATATTACATGCAGAAGACTCATCAGTTTTACGACAGTGTCTAGCATTCTTCATACAGGTCAGTTTCAAATAAATAACAAATCTTATTTGTGAGCTAATATTTCATTAAGTCAGTAAACTTCTATTTCAAGAGAAGATATAGTCAAGCAAATTAAGTTTCATTCGTCTGTCCAGTTACACAAGCATAGAACATTACCAAATGCCCTCTTCAGTATCCAATTTAGTCTAATTAAATAGTCCCATCGCAAACATCTGTCTCATTATTAGATATCAAAGCTGTGTTGAATGTAAAAGGCTTTAAGTTTCACTTTAGGAATTAATTTCAACCATCAAAACCCATTGAGCGCTTGATAACTCCACCTAATTATAGGACCTCAGTAGCCAGTTTTATCTTATTACAGTCAGATTAAAACCAGTGTTGAAAATGCGCTACAGTTTACAAATATGACTGAAGATCATGGGTTAATCAGCAGAAACGAAACTCCTCTTACTGATCAAAGGATATACATGTGTGCATGAGAAAAGAGGAGGATATAGGCAAAAGTGTTGCTGAACTTCCAAGTCCTCAGTGGCTCTCTGTAAAGGCTTTACAATAATATATGTGCGTAATTTTAACCTATGTGAGGATGACACAGTTAGCATAAAACAAATATTCCACATTCCAAATGATTAAATACATTATTCGCTGAAAGAAATGTGGAGTAATACAACTGTCTAGTGCTGTCTGGTTTGCGATGAGCATCTAACTAAGATCAGTCCGTGCAATGTGAAAATTCAAATCAAATACTCTCTACAACAAGCTATAACAAGAAATCCTTTATGGTTAAAAATTTCGTTAACATCTTTAGGAAAATCAGTGCTGTGATATTATTACTCCATAACTGCCGTTGAGGATAGAGGATTTCGGATGACACTGTCAAACCCATTTCCAGTTTTTCGTCACGGAAACTAAACATTAGAAAATAACGAGAGGTTTTTTCATAAAAAGATGACCGATCAACTGGAAATTTATTTCAATAATTAACACTGGCTTTCTCAAATTTACAACGCGGAATAACTTCAACTTAACACTTTGACTTTGTTTATCGTCTAATTAACTAATTAGACACACTTAAATTTAAAGTGTTATTACGCCGTCTATTATTGGTTTGGATTGCCTGCAGAGATTAATTTTTTGCTCAAAAATAAGGGTGTACTGTATCAGTTACTACTAGATAGTCATTTAAAAAATACTTGTAATTCCACCCAAACTTATTTCAAACAAAGTTATGCTGCTCAGCCAAAGCGCAATATTGTAATTTAATGAAATTCTTTTGGCCAACCATCAAGATCCATACTCCATTAACAATCCTTACTAGATAATTATGATGATAATAATACTCATATTAAATACAAAGTTATTTTGAAAATGGACTATATGTTATCTTCAAATCAATTGTCATCAATAGTTTCAATTCTTACCAATCTATTTCTATTGTTAGTAGAGCGATAATTGGTTATCACCATGTTTTACAAATAGTCTCAAAATACTCTTTCCTAAAAGGTTTTCGTTACTCTTACTCTACTACAATTTCTCTCTTTTGATCGACAAATCTGTAATGACTTTATAAACTATACTTCGTTCATAACAATGTATAACTTATTTTATTTTATTAGTGCTGTTATCAATTCAAAACAGTATTTGCAACCACAGGCTACTCTGGTATTGTACCGACATTGGTACGTGTTTATAACCAAAATACACATAATCCAGTACTTACACAAGCTATTGAATTTACATTTAGACAATTTTATGTAATGCATAGAACACCATTCATATTACAACTGCTAGGATGCATCGCCAATTATGTAACGACTAATAATGAAATAATTGGTGTGGGAGATGAATTTTACCGAGTAAGTGAGTATATAGTGTTTCTTTTAACACTATTTTCCACCATTGTGGTTTCATCACAATAATGCTACACATGATAAGAATTTTTGTGATTATTCTATAGTAATGTATAAAGACTTCTAATTGTTATTCGCCAAAGTACATCGACCATTATTTATTGTTAGGTTACTTGAACGAATACCATATATCTCACATCAAATTAAGGTATATTGATGAAACCTTGTGAAAGTTCATTCATCTATATGATCAGAATAAACTCATGATATTGCTAGAATTTAATAATTACAATAGTCTGATATGACTATTCACTTATGGTATGCTTATATCAGATCATGTACATTTACAATAAAATTATATTTGTTAGAATCCGATATTCCTAATCACTTTCAAGATTGAATATTCATCTTAAATATCATATGCAATGATCGATAGTATGTTCTTCATTGGTCGGTTCACCATAACAGACAAGTAAAATTGGACTAATAGCATATCGATCATATGAATTTATCTGAATTAATCAAAAAGCATTCGTCTAATAAAACAGATAATAGAAACTTATCAGTGTGCTGGACGTTATTACTTGTTACACGAGCCTCTACGAAAAAACATTTATGTTGAGAAAGATTGACAATCCAGTGTTGGGGAATTTATTGATTCTTATTATTGAGAATCTTTATAATTTAAATTTGATATTCTGTCCTCGTTTATATCAAAATGTATTCTATTATTAGTGAATTCCTTCACTTTAGTTACCAAAATAGGAAATTGTCTATGTCTCCCTGGTTCTTTGTGCTTTGTATGATAATGTGTGTTTGAAAACGAAACCTCTCTTCAGTTAATTTGTATTACAGAAAGATTGTTGTAACGAAATTTGACCTTCCGGTCAGTAGTTTACCTGCTCCTTTCTACCTACTTAGTGAAACATAAAAATTGTTTCCTATGGTTGATGCATATTAAGTTAATCAATATCGAGAATCTTTACGGTCGCTTAGATGAGGAGAGTAAATTGAGTAACCTACTATGTAGAAAATTGATAAACATTGACTATGTATTACTCTTTGGGGAATTATTCCATTTACCACAGATTCAACCGGGGGCTGTATACAGATTATTACGTGTTATAAGCCGTCCTTTAGATGATAACCTTCGTATTTTGGAGTTATGTAATATTCAGAAGCCGTTGGAAGCTTTGGTAAGTTTGTTTTTCATACTGACATCATGAACATTTTCGACTTATCTCTTTTCATTTACCCTCTAAATTCTTTCACAACCAAGATGCCTTTAAGTCCTAATTGACTGAAAAACTAAAACTGTACAATAAGTGATGGATTTTTAATTACAAATTAATAACCAGAAAGCAATCAATGGATATTATTATTTAAAAATCCTGTGTTCCTACTGTTAATATAGGAATGTCCCTTTAATATATCACTTAAACTCTCTAGAATAGCTTTTGCTTTTATTTGTTCTAAATTCACGTTAACTTGCCTTATTAAGACCACTTTTGTTGAATTATTTTAAATTCAACTCAACCAACTGACATTTGGATTGTTTACATAAAGATTATGAACATTTTTATTGTAATCAAAATGTATACAGAGTAGTTAATTAGATCTTTTTCACATAAATGAAAAATTGTTAGTTGTATAGAGTAATAAGCACTGAACAAATTGTGTTATTACCAAATTTGCATACTCCAATAATTTTCTTGCCTAAAATCAACCTTACTTATCATGACAATGACGCAAAAAATTAAAGACTAAAAGCTACAGAAAAATATTATAGCATCAATGTTACATATATATATATATATTGTAGCACGTACTATTAACGTTTATCTGCAAGCAGAAGCGATCTGAAACACAACACAACAGTCAGGACCGACAGATTCTACTCAAGTGAGAACACAGCGTACGAGCACAACAGCAATATATTTAAAAATTGAATTACGCGGTTTAAGTACAAAAAGGGAAGTCTATTACAAAATGGTTTTACTCATTATCCCGCAGGTTTAACTTGCGCAAGGCTTGTTCTTCTTCTTCTTCTTCTAATACGTTCACTTTCTGTTGCCCTGAAACAAGGAAAACAAACTTGCATTAGTAAAGTCACACGTAATAGTTTTTGATACTGCTACATTACCCCATCTCTCCATGAGGCACTGTCCTCAGTGCCTGGTGCTGGACATGGGTATGCTACCCCTCCCTCTGGTGGCACTTCATAATGGCTGACGGCAGTCGGGGCGTTGACGGACGGGTATCTAAGTGCACCGTTGTTCTGTCGGGCTTCAATTGATTGTAGTGTGCTGTTATAACATCGTCTTGAGGTCGTTGGAGGTTACGTAAGACGAATGTAGTGGGGGACCGCGTAAACACAACTTCATAAGGTCCTTGCCAAGGGTGATGGAACTTGCTACATGTCCCCGGTGGAGCCAAAGGGCGGTGCAGCCACACACGATCTCCGGGTTTATACACAGGTCCGTTCGCCTTGCGATCGTACACATCCTTTTGGTGCTTGCTGGCATTTTGTAAGTTGATCTTCACTAAGCTATAGGCGTCGGCTAGGCGGTTGCGAAGGTTACGGATGTATACTACATGATCTTGGGCCTCGCATGGTAACAACGGTATTTGCAGCTCAACGGGTAGGCGCAATTCATGTCCAAAAAGTAGGGTCGCAGGTGAAAATCCCGTAGATCCGTGCACTGATGCGCGGTAAGCTAACAGACATTGTGGTATCACGTCATCCCAACATTCCGTCGACGACTTATTGATAAACGATTGTAAGAGAGTTTTGATAGTCCTGTTGGTTCTTTCCACCAAGCCGTTACCTTCTGGATGATATGCGGTAGTGTGTGTTTTTCGGATTCCCAATAATCGACATACCTGGGCGACGAGATGACTTTCAAAAGCTGAACCTTGGTCAGAATGGAGTGAAAGGGGAGCGCCGTACCGGGATACCCAATGATCAATGAAAGCACGAGTGACTGTGAGGGCATCTTGTTGTGGTATAGGAACAGCTTCACACCATTTGCTGAAATAGTCTACCATAACTAGGATATAACGGTTTCCGTTCCTTGATGTTGTGAGTGGCCCCATAATATCGATGCCAACTCGCTGATGCGGACCTTCTGTCGTCATTGGAACTAAGGGTGCACGAGGTATTTGTCGGGGTGACTTGATAGCATAGCACGTGCTACAATTTTTGCAGAATTCGGCAACGTCTTCATGGATGGATGGCCACCAAAACCTCTGGCAGATAGCATGTTCAGTCTTCCGTTTTCCTGAGTGCCCCAGTTCTCGGTGTACCTGCTCCATAATATTCTGAACCTGTACACGTGGTACTATCAATAGTGGCTGTTTTGATTCGCTGACTATAAATAACGTGTCTTCATACAATCTTAGACTGCTCCACTTGGCACACAGACGGCGCGTCGCCAAGGAATGATCCTTCAACTCTGTCATAGATGGTTTATTATTGCCATGTAGTTGTCTCTGGTAAATAAATCGCAGATCAGGGTCTGCTGCTTGAAGAGACGGCCAGTTGATCTCGGGGGCTGTGCTAAGAACGGCATTAATGGTATCAGGCGAATAGGGTATACGAGATAGGGAATCGGCGTTTGTGTGTCGGCTTCCGGGTCGGTATTCGCAAGTAAAATCAAATTCCTGCAACCTCTCCTGCCAGCGCTCTACCTGACCTTCTGGTTCACGGAATGAACGAAGCCACTGTAGTGCACGGTGGTCTGTGCGTACACGAAAGGGTCGTCCTAGGAGATAGTGACGAAAATGTTGCAAAAATTTTACCAAAGCCAGCATCTCTCGGCGCGTCGTAGAATACCGTGTCTCTCTTTTATCTAGCCGCCGACTAGCGTACGCTATGACCCGTTCCTTTCCGTCTTGTGCTATTTGAGACAGGACTGCTCCAATAGCTGATGAGCTAGCGTCTGTATCAAGTATGAACTCACCCGCTTTAGCCGAAGTGTCCGGAAAAGCCAGTATGGGCGGAGCAGCAAGAATGACTTCAAAGTGTTAAATGCGTGTTGGCATTCTGTGGTCCACAAAAATTTTCGTCCTTTATGCGTCAGGCGATGTAAAGGTGCTGCCAGGGATGCGAAATCGCGTACGAAACGTCTGTAATAAGAAGCGAGCCCCAGGAAGCTGCGAACATCCTCGGCAGATTTCGGTTGTGGCCAGTTAATAATGGCGCTCGTTTTTCCCTTATCCGTTGCTACTCCATCTTCCGTAATGCGATGCCCCAAAAAGAGTACTTCTTTTTGTAAGAGTCGACATTTAGATGGTTTTACTTTTAAGTTGTGCTGCTTAATACGTTGTAGAACTGCCCTTAAATTGGCATTATGCTGTTCCGGCGTGCTGCCATACACAATAATATCATCAAGGTAAATTAAGCACTTGTGTGGTACGAGACCATATAGAACTGTCTGCATCAATCGTTGGAAGGTGGCTGGGGCATTAGTACTTGAAATTCATATAGATCATCGGGTACTATGAACGCGGTTTTTTTCTATCTTGAGGTCGAACCTCCACTTGCCAATACCCTGATGCTAAGTCTAGAGTCGAGAACCAGCGAGCGCCTTTCATAGCATCTAATGTAGCATCAATCCGTGGAGGTGGAAAAGAATCGCGTTTGGTTTTAGCATTAAGGCGTCGGTATTCTACACACAGTCGTAGGGCGATGCCCAGGGTGATGAAGATGGTACAATAATCTTTTTTTCTAGCATATCTTTTATCATCGATTCTAACTGAGGCTGATAATGTACTGGTACTCTGTGAGGTGGTTGGCGTAATGGCATATGGTCACCTGTGAGAATGGAATGTTGTACAGTGGTCGTCCGATTTCCGGAGATATTCTCCGAAAAGACAGAACTAAATTGTTGGAGTACGTCAATGGTTGCCTGACGGTCCTTTTCGCTTATTACTTGGTTATCTTGTACCTGACGTACAATCTCTGGAATTCCCACCTGGGCTACGGTTTCGGTTGGCATTTCCTGGCGTTGTAGTTGCACGACAACCCCGCCAATTTTAGCTCCCGATTTATTCATGTCTATAGAGACCTGATATCTTAACATGAAGTCAACCCCGAGTATCATGTTCCAGGTCAGTGTGCGGCAAACCAGGAATTCATGCCGAAAAGAGTTCTTGTTTATTGTTAGCTCTAACCCTGTCTTAGAACACGCAATCAAGGGGTCTCCGATCGCCGTGATTAATGTAGAGGAGCACTGTTTACGCTGAGTGCTGTGGTTAAGTCTCTGCAAGAAGTCTTCCTTAATGAGGGATACTGAAGCTCCTGTGTCTAGAAGTATGTCTAGCTCGATGTCTTGTACTCTACCTTTAAACGTAGTTGGATTGACATGATTAACATAGGACGATAAATAACCAAAACGCCGCTTACCTGGTTTACGAGGGCGGTTGTGACCGCATCTTCTGGCGTTCCTGCCAAACCTTTTGCAATATATACAGTCGGCTTGGCGCCCATTGTAGTTTCCCCATGCTGGTTGTTTATTCCACCTCGAATTTGACTGTCCGCGGATAGCACCTCGGCCGGGAAGGTCGGACACAGCCATTGTAGTCTGGCAGCTGTCCAGGCCACTAGATTTTGTAGCTCGTTCCACAGTCGTTACTGATGATGAATGTGCATTGGATAAATTCACTAGTTTGTCAGCGGCCAGGAAGCGTAATGTTGTTCTTTTTACGTCAGACGTATCAGTCGGTGGATTTCGAAGAAAGTGTTCTTTAAGTGGTCCGGGCAACAGGCCTTCGACAAAACGTGAGCGTATTAATTCCTCTCGTCCCATCATATCTAAACGAGGGAATGCTTGTACTGCGACTTGCTGCAGGGAATGAAGATAGTCTATTGGACTCTCGCTTGCTTTCTGGTGGCGTGATAAAAACTGAATTGTCACCTGCTGGGTGTCTACGGGCATGGAAAAACAGTCGTCTAGAATTCTCCAGTTTTGTGAGAGCGTGTTACTGGCCGCAAAACCATTCGCTATAGCCCTGCGTACTGCTTCATCGCTCAGATAAGAAACGAGATAGTTGAAATGTTCGGTCAATGGAACTCTCTGAAGGTACGCTGTGACAAACGGAGTAATCTAACGACGTTTCGAGCAGTGGTGGCTGGCTTAGGGTTGAACCGGGAGCAGCCCTGATTGGAATCAGAGGGCGTTCGTCTAGATTCTCCTCGCGTTTTTCCGTCGGCACCTCCACCACCATTTGTAGCACGTACTATTAGCGTTTATCTGCAAGCAGAAGCGATCTGAAACACAACACAACAGTCAGGACCGACAGATTCTACTCAAGTGAGAACACAGCGTACGAGCACAACAGCAATATATTTAAAAATTGAATTACGCGGTTTAAGTACAAAAAAGGGAAGTCTATTACAAAATGGTTTTACTCATTATCCCGCAGGTTTAACTTGCGCAAGGCTTGTTCTTCTTCTTCTTCTTCTAATACGTTCACTTTCTGTTGCCCTGAAACAAGGAAAACAAACTTGCATTAGTAAAGTCACACGTAATAGTTTTTGATACTGCTACAATATATTCCCTTTGAATAATTGTGATAGCGTTTTTCCTACAGTTTGATATTCTGAAGCGACTCAGACTGAATACGTTTCTGTTTTTCAAGGATAAACCTAAATATTGTCTGCTTACATTTCACGTATTTTGCAAACAATAAATCGGATTCTGTAATCACTCAGGGAAAATATATCTAGAGCCGTAGGTGTACACTGAAAAATCTTGCAACATTTTCTAGTTTACTTAATCACAGTAGATAAGACAAACTGGTATGGAAGTTGTAATTCTCTTAAATCTATAGGTATATATAACTCATTATTTCATAGAACCTGGAATGGCTGAAACTACATAGACCTTTGAATAAATAATGCTTAGTTTCACTTTCTGTGTACCATAAAATGTCATACTTTTTAGTCAATGAATAATAATTTGTTTAACTTTTATATGTAAATAACAGTTGGTTGAAATTGTGATAAATCATGAATTTCGAAGTGTTTCTGATTGATTTATAAGCAGCGTTTAGTTTTACAATCAATCGGTTTGCAAGAGTTAATCTTAGAAATTTAAATTGACCGACATTTCTAAAGTAATTAAGTTTGAAAAGGGACATTTATTCATTAGACGTTTCAAACGATCTTTTCACAGGATTTTTGTTATGACGATGAAGAGGCTAACTGGTCTATTTTGGAAGTAATCAATCTCTGTGTAGCTGTCATAGTCTATGCTCCTGATTCATATAGATCCAGGCAAATGTTGGTAAGTAATTAGATGTTTTCGTATATGTGATTGTTTGTTTGGAAGGGAGTGCTCAGGATCTTCTGCAGTGAAGATAAGATCATTAAAAGTGAAGATATTCGACGTTAATTATGAAATCAGCAATTGCTGTTCTATTTCTAGTAATATGTGATCACATTTACCTTATGCTACAATTACGAAATAATTATTGAACAGCAGCGAAAGTCGTATTTATTGAGAATATGATTTATCAGAGAACGTTTTGTTTAACTGCTAAACATTTTAGTTAATGAAATTTTATCGCGATATTTAGTGCAATATTTATATCTCAGCATCACATGTCACTATCATTAAATGTAAAACGAAGGTAATTAAACCAAAAAATTTTTAACTTGAAGGTTGGAAAAAAAAGCAGGTTGATGCCTACCATTTGGTCGGATATTTCTTGGAACTTTTATTTAAATCTAAAACCACATCGACAGAATATAATTAAAACAAGAAATGTGACTTGGAAGCCTAAAACTAATTTCATTTTTATTCACTTAGCTTCACATTCATCACACATATATAAAAAAGAATCTTTTCAGCAAATGAATTATAATAATTCATATTTAACTCTTTTAAATTCAGATTATTCTCCAAGCTCTGGTGCCACTAATTCTTAAAGACTTGCCATACATATGTGCAGAAGAAGGGAATGGTACTGATCCAAAAAAGGCAGAGTTAACAGCTATTCAGAAAATTTCAATAGCAATGCGTCAGCTTACTTCAACAGCCGAGTTCATGAGCAGGTGTGTTAGTTCCATGAAACTGTAATTATTTAACATCTGCCATTATTATGACGAAAAATATGAAAGATTTCATTAGATTTATTTGTCAATACATCCAATACCCTAGTGATGTTCCAAATTCATGTGTTAAACATCGTTAAAACTATCGCACTGATGACTTACTTGAGTTTAGTCCTAATTTAAAATACAATATTTCTCAGTGCAATACAATAGTTATAGATTTTCCTCTTCACGTGATTAGACACAAACACGATAAGAACTGTACCTCCGAATTAGCGAATTGTTTTCAGGGGACAGTGGTGTAGTTGAGTTTTTGAAAAGTTTCTGCTGATGCGAATTTTTTTATAATATGACCGATTAGACTACTTGTAGAATGATTGACCTTTAATAGGCTCACCCATATTTCACCTGCAGTTTATTTTGAGTATGTTTTTGAGCCGGTTCTTTTAAGCAATTGTGTACTCATAATATTCGCTCCTTGTCTCTGAATTAAGTACTAGTGTCAAGCAATCTTACAACATTAGTTTATTGATTACTGGCGAGATATGGGCTCAGTTTTATCACGAAAACATTATTTTGGCTGTTTTCACCTAGGACGTGCCTAATAAATAATTTATCTAGCGCCAGGAAATATAGTGTCAATGGACAGTAGTTGTATGACCAATAGCTTTAAAAACTTATCGTCAATGTTGTTGTGGGTTTATTAGTAATATATTTGATTGACAAACCTTAGTACTAGTAGTTATACAAAAACTTTCATACATACGATTGTACAGCTTGATAATAAATTCATTGAAAAGAGATTCCTTCGCTGAACTTCGTGTTTTTAAACCTTATTAAGCCTAAGCTTGTGATGTTGATCACTAATTGTAACTTCCCCTACATCTTTCAAGTTGATTGATTTTGTTACTTCAGTAGGACTTTGACGTTTAGAAATCCGTACAGCGCGGAATTTGGTGAAGCCCTCTTTGGTAATTAAGTCCCCACTCAAAAACCAAGTTACCCAGGATAAAATTAAGGAGATTTTCACTAAACCTCAACTTTACATTCTAAATTATTTACTGATATCATCATAAATTTTACCATTTAGGAGAATTGAAGACATTCGTCAACTGAATTACCTTGCTCCAGGTGGTCCAACTGAATGTCGTAAGGAAACACCTGGTCTCTTGTTGACTGGAGTAGCCACCAGGCTAGTAAATTATGAAGCTGCAAAGAGTAACTTCAAGTCATTAGATAAAACAAAATATAACGAAACAGCTGAGAAAACAACAAGAAGTGGATTATGTAGTGAAATCAACACTTTGTCTGTAAATAAAGGTTTTCCTCTATCAGTAAGTTCAAATACATCACGTGAAAGGGAGATTCAGTCGAATCAAATGCTGAGAAATCCTGCTGCAGTAACAAGTGGTCATCACCGTCCGACAGCTTATGAACCCAGAGAAGCAGTTTTACAGTTGGCTTGCGAATTTTTATCTACCTGTTCCGGGCGTCTTTTGGAAATGGAAGAAAAACAACGTATATCTGATCTTTTAGACGCTAAATCACACATGGTAAGCTACAGACAGTTTTCTTAGTAAATATTTTATAAGTGCATGTATTAACCTCCAAATGTTACAGCCTTTAGATTAAGGTTAAAATGTTTATACATCCAAAATCAGAGATAAGGAATAACTTGTATTCAGAAAAAAGTAACAATGAATACCACGTATACAAAGCAAAGGAAATACCCATCGAAGACAGTGGAACATGGTCGCGCAATGGGTTGACTGAAGTTAGATATTAACACCGTTGGTGCCTGCCTCAGTGGCCTAGAGGTTAAGCGTTCATGAGTTAGACCGAAGGTCTCGGGTCGTTCAGTGCTTCTGGGTTTTCAATAGTGCTCTAATATTGATCAATTCATGAGTTCGATGGAACAAATCTTGTAAGCGAATCTTATAAAGTAGTTTACCTAACTAATTAACCTACTCCGTAAATTTTTAATATGACTTACTTGATTGATCATTGATTTCATCTATTCATACATATTAACTAAATATTTTAAGCTTATTTACACAAGCATTCATTTGTTTGTTCACCAAAGCTCAACGTTCGTCGATCAGTTGTTACGTCATTATCCGTTAACCATGTTTCTTAGCCTTACAAATAATTTATTACAATCAGAACTAAATAAAATTTCTACGATGTCATCATGGTTTACAAATATTTCTAATAGTTATGAAAACATGCTGTGGATTGTTATTTGAAACTAGTGATTTTTCGAGTTAATATTTTATGTGAACTAAAGTTTAATTTTTCGATGGATGGAGAAGGATACGAAAAAGAATCTGTCGATTGCTTCGCATCTTTATTGCCAGTAACAGTACTGTATTAAGTCCAACAAGTTTTTGAATTGAAGTATATTGTTAGTAGACCATCGAAATGACGTTTAAAAAAAGCAAATATAGGTTGAGCAACAGTTTCAGAGACAACTTGTTACAAATAATTCAAGGTTCAAACCAACATAGAGTGCACAGTTCATAACACTGAAGAATCCTTAAATTAGTATTGCTTCCTAATTTATTACCATTACTTAGGTGTTCCAAGTCTCCTACCATACAAATTGGACAGAGTTTGGACAACTAGACTCCCTTATTTGACTGAAATAAACAAGCTAGACTGTGCTTTCGTGCATATTCTAATAAATTTATTTATTTAAATATAACGTTTACCGATACATCTGACTAACTTCCTCATTATAACAACCAATGAACTACTTATCCATTTGACTGAAAATGAAAAAAAAATATGATTTCAGTTTCTCTTATTTACCAAATCAATAATTAAGTCAGTTTAGATATTAAAGATTAGCTGATAGCTTCTGCACATTAGGAAATGCTTGAATCGCCAGGTGAGTGAATGTTGTAATCTGAAGTGTTTTGTTTCAGCTAAATATTACACTTGTATAACAGAGCAATATTGAGAAGTTATAAAGCAGTTACGTGATACATATACATAGCCTTCAATCTTCCGTTTGCATTTTACGGTGTGTTCTGAAGTCTAAAACATCTTCTCGTCTGGTCTCCACGTGTTATGCCAATGCTGTGCTCTCGATGCACTGAAAGTTTTCGCTTCGTCTAACAAGTGTAGCAACTACGATTCCACATTCCGCTACATACTACTTATCAATAGTCTTATGGGTAGTGTTCTCTACACAATCACTAGATTTCCCATTGAAACTGTCTTTGCTTAATTTAAACAAAAAACCCTGAACTTTGATTGAGTGCTTATTGCTGGTACCTGGGTTACAGATAATTTGTTTTTAGAATAAGATTTATTGACTAGTGTTTTTTATCAGCTTAAAATTCGTCATGAAACTGATCAAATGAATTTTTGAAATTTATTTACACAGCGATTAGCCGATATAGCTCAAATCATGCTGAAACAAGTTTCTAACAGCCCAGATTTCCTAGTTAGTTCAGCTTTACAACGTTATTTTCTGGAAGTGCTACCAGTTATCGATTGGAGCCATGAATCACTGAGATCATGTAAAGCATTGGAATGTCTTTTAGGTAGACTGAATAGGACGCTACCAAAGATGCTTGAATTCGCCATTAGATCCAAGGTATGTATTATTTAACATTTTAATTGCCTGTATCATTACCAAAGTTTGATTTGATAATTTCGAATAAATTGAGCATTGGGTAGATTGTTATAAATAAATAATATATTTTAATTGCCGCCTATTCAATTTTTATTTTGTATATTGATGTCAATTAGTTCTTAAAAATTATAAATGTCTGATCAGCTATGTGATTCTCAGGTACACAAGAAATACACTTATCTAAAAGGGAATTACTTCGTACGTTTTCATGGAGAAATAAACACCAGAATGATTATTATATTATGGTATCATCAATGATTGTTGGTTTTACGTGATCAGCTATTCACCATTTATATAAATAAGTAGTAATGTAGTTTCCATTGAACACTTTACATTATATTAATATGAAGTACAAAAGTATTTGAGTTAACAGTAAAGCGATTTGCTTGCAATTTTTAAACTTTTCAGCAATCGTTTCAATAAAATTGAAATGAATTTATATAAACTATCAAAGCTACTATTATCACCCTCAGAAAGCTGTGATTTTAAACAGAACTGTTTTCATATTTGTTTGACCTTTATTAATTTTCATATAAAAATGCCTTGACAAGTATATGTGTGACCAGATTGTTCGAAATGTATAGCGCAAATACATCACATTTTTCAGATCAACTCCGTCTTCTCATTGTTCTATCGAGAACTGTTTTCACAAATCATGCTTTCTCTCTCAGTGCTCAATTTCTGTTACACTATTCTTTCAAATATTGACGAATATTCAAATCGAATCAAATTATCAAAGAATTATTTTGATTCCTTTTGTTATTTTTACCTACATCTTAAATAGTTATAAGTAGAAAACAATTAAATTTTATACACCGACTGGCATATCAAATCCATTTATCTCGAATCTAGTGTTCTGATCGAAATATTATGTCATATACTGATTACTTAGTCTTTTTTTAATGAAATTTCTTTCCTCTTTTATTATTAGTAAGACATAAAATCTTACAAGCTGAATTATTCTTGTGAAAGTCATTATTAGACCTATCTAATGCCTTATGATAACCAGTGTGTATGTAACTATTTTAAATGAATATTCATTTTAAGCAAAGATGGATAGTGGCTAGCAGTGGAATCCAGGACGCGCGTTTCGTCCTGTTTGGGACTCGTCAGCTGGATGTACCTGCATCAAGAGACTGATCAATTTCAGTCCTAAAACATCAATGGGAAGATTCAAGTAAAACAATATCAAGTGAATTGAATATTCATTTGTTGAAAAATATATTTGATGGTCGAATTTTGTGAATTTAAACGAGACAACTAACACCCTTTTATGATTTGTTATGCTTACAAAGTTCATACTAAAAGAATGCTTAAAAAAATGTTAGATTATGATGTTGATACTAATACTGCTATTGAACATTTAATGAGTACAAACAGATAGCAACCACTCTCAGCTTTACCATTAACACCTGATTTTTTGACTAATCAGTAGTCTAAAGTTCTACCTAAAAGTGAATATTTTGTAACGGTATTTTATTTATTATCCAGTGTTGTTTTAATATTATTTGTATTTTATGTGGATTGATATTACTTCTCACCGTGTGTTTATGTTAGATGACTGCATCGAATTAACGGGAACTTCTGAATACAAGTTACTTATTTGTTAATTTCCGCCAAAATATTTTATATGCAGTATTGAAGAAAGAGATCCTTTAACCCAGTGCTGAGTAATATGCGTCTAAATCACGACTGCAGGGATATTTTTTTGATAGATTCAAACAAAGCAAAATCCACATCTCGGTCTTCCTGCAGTTTCCCCACAAACTACCAACAAATATATTTTATTTCGAAAAGAAAATTTTCTTCGCTGAATTCTCTTTTTTTTATACAAATATATTTACTGAACAAAGCAAATATATAACCTCTAGGATGCGCTTAATCTCTGAGTTAAGAAAGCACATAAGTTTACTGATAATAAATCCTTCAGATCCGTTTTCAAAAATATTGTGCTTGGGCTTCCATTCTGCCAAACGACGTTACAGCTCACACTTTTTAACAGCTCAGTAAATGAAACAACCATCAAAGAAATCACCTTTCTTGAGATAACACTGAACACTTTGTTTTAGGTTTCATAGCTTCGTTTTAACATATATCTGAATAACTAATATCTTAAATAATAGTTTATCTTTCACTCATATTTCAAAGAAATGTATTATAAAATGTTTTTCAGTATTAAATTCACTTGGTGTTGTGTGTTTGAATCTTCCCATTGTTGTTTAGGACTGTAATTGATCAGTCTCTTGTTGGAATATGTACATCCTGTGCGGATTGCCTCGATCATGCCTTAAGTTATAAACTTTATGAGCAAAGATGGATGGAGGCTAGCAATGGAACCCAGGACGCTCGTTTCGTTTTATTTGGTACTCGTCAGCTGCTTGTGCACAAGCAGGTGGCTAACAGGGCTCAGTAGGTAAGTGGATAACGCGATGGCGTTTGAAGCGAACGATGCTGGGTTCGAGTCCTTGGGTGAACATCCAGCCGACGAGTCCCAAAAAGGACAAAACGCGCATCCTGGATTCCACTGCTAGCTACTCTTCATCTTTGCTTATAAAGCTTTTCAGTATTGTATGTATTTCAAAAAGCTTTACTTTTAACATTGTACTGATTTTCAGCCAGAAATATTTATATCAAAATTCAGTATACACCCTACATAAAATAAAATGCGTATGAATCACCTTTATGGTTTATATTGCTTTAGATGCAAATTAATTACCCTTTTTAAATATACATACATCAGAAGGTAAAAAAATTCTTTCGATCTTATTGACAAAGTCCATATCAATCCATATCAATTAATAATTCTCCAATTAATTATCTTGGAAACATTTCTTTTTTTTAGACGACTCATCATTGGGATGAATTTGTGAAGTTGTTCGATCAGTTTATTATATACTGAAAAGGAATCGATCTGTAGCACATATGAAAGAAATTCGAGTAAGTCATAACCTTTATTATGCATCATTCACGCGTTCTGAAAGTCACTGTAAATATCAACTCGGTTTTTAATTACATTTGTTTGGTTTCTTAAAGTGATGCAGAAAAAATATGCAGTTTGACAGAAACACTATATTTTGAAAGAAAAATTTCATTAGCACTTTGACATTTTAGTATTTTCAATCAGTGATAATGAAGCTCAATAGAAATGTATTCATTTGAGTCTGATATTGTTTAAAACAAAAGTTAATTCTCCAAAATATTTAGTTCGCTTCAGCAGCTTAGTGTAATAGCATTGACAATGCTAGACCCTCATATCGGAATGTTATACTTGTCAGTCTTGCTTGAATGAGAAGTATGAATATTTCTCTGACTCAAGGTCAATGCCGTAGTTGGTATGTTCCATTTTTAAAGATGATTTTCAACATAGATTAATTTGTTGTGAAGAACTATTGAAAATTAACTGTTTTAATACCTAGATTACCTGAGGTTATCTGTGATTAGAAAAATTAATTTTTTGCACGAAACATTTATTGCATTATAATTCTGAAATTTCTTATTGTACTCTTTGCCGCTATTAGCTATAAACAAATAGTTTATCGAAATGTTTTCCATATGTTATCTTTTGTGTCTGTTATTTAGGTTTTAGCTGAAATTTTAAAGAAAGCTGTTGTTTTTGACATATCTAGATATTTATCTAGCTTTCCTAAATCACGTCTAGATATTCAGCCTAATCATGCGACTAGTCATCATGGTAGACCAAGCTTTGGAGAAGTTTTGTTCGGAATTACATCGCAAGAATCAAGCAGTATAAGTGCTTCTGTGGGAGTTCCAAAACAATCCAACAAAATGAAACACATTCCTTTAAATGGCGATGCCGGATCGTATTGTTCACCTAGACACAGCAATCAAGAAAATTGGCCTGAAACTGACCTTGACGAGAGTGATAAATATCCCTGCCAGTTCACTACTGAAGTGATTCGTCTGTTATCCCTTTTCTTACAGATTTTAGGAGTAAGTATATATTATCTGGTCCTTAAAATTTGTAAATGATACAATCTAACTACTCAATATCAAACAGAAGTTTATACAAGAAATGTACTTTTAAAAAATAAAACATAAGTAAATCTAGTTAAAATATACCATTGAACCTATTATCTCCATAGATTTCATTTCATCATTTTTCACAGTTCAGCCTTGATTAACTCCAGGATTTCATGCAATATACAAACAAATCGAGTAAATTATGTCGAATGCTCTGTAGAATTAGGGGAGTTTCATGTAGTGTGTTCTGACAGATTTAAGTAATAAAGTTGATCTGTACAAAATAAATCAGTCTAGCGATGAAAGATTATATCTTAAGTTGTCTGATCTTATTTACACGCTGCTTAGTTCGCATCATGATTCTTCAAGTCTTAGCTGTATTTCTATCACTTAAAAATGATCCATACAGAATTTGTAAACAAGCAAATATTACTTTAGATTATTCATGTATTTCACGATTTAAGCTGTTTAAAGCTATGGTACCCATACACTAAATGTTGGTTACTTTGTGTGATTTTAAATATATATATTCTCTACTGATGCTTTTTATTTTAGCCCCACTGCAGTTTAAAAGATTTATGTGAACGAATTTCACCAGAGTACAACATTCGTTTTCCAACATTACGTGAAGGTGGATTTCAGACGCTTGTAATTTACTTAAACAATCTAATACTACCAATGTTATTTCGAGGTTGTGCTGGACGCAAAGGTATATTTCATTTCTTTTCTTGCTTATCATGACTATAACTGAATAAAATCCAGAGATATTGTTATATTGTTAATTAATCGAGATATTAACAATCCTATCAGAGATATGAGGGAAGCTTTATGAGAATCCTTGTACTTATTGCAAATTTTATATTCCAGAATGAACTTATGTAAACAATCGTACACAAATTGATCTTTATTTAGAAACTATTGATTATGACGCTAAAAAAAGGTATTTTAAATTTCAGAGAAACTATATGTACTTTAATACCTCAGGCGTAACTATTGCAGTGAACTTCCAATTATTTATAGACTCTGTTCAGCCTGCAAGTGGGTTTTCATCACAAGACTGTTTATAAACAGAGTTTCAAACAAACTAATGATACCAGTCTTTTCAAATACTAAAGTAATCTATATTACAAAAATCTGGTTACAATGCTGATGGACTAGTCAGTAAATATATAAAACGGATTTAGATAATAAGAGAAATAAACTTAGGTTAATAGTGCACAAACGTGAATACAAGATCATCTAAAAGTTTAGATTGATCAAATGGATTTCTGAATACTTTATCAACAGGAGTCTACGGTAGATTTAATGATCCAAGTGATTATCGACAGTCTTATAAACGGATGTATTTACTTTTTTTAATATCACTTGTTAGAAAACATTTGTGGTGAAAATGGCTGGAGTTATTTACTTGAGCACTTCATGTTTAAGTGTTTCACCTGTTCATGACATTCTCAAAATAGAAACTTAGTTTAAGTACTTAAATGTGGTCCATAACAAGTTCACGATGTTTCAAAAGTATTTTTTAACTTAGGGGTTTCTATGGACTAACTGGTTTAGCTTTATAAAATGATTTAATATTAATTAACTTAACAATGAAAAGCTAAATACGTAGAAGTTTGGTGACATTTTGTCAATAGCGTTCAGAAAAACCAGAACTTTTTATTTCCATAGATAGGACCTCAGTGATCGCCTTTCATCATTAAATAGACTCTTTATACGGAAGTTTGTGTTTGCATGAGAAACATACAGATCGATACACTTAAAATATTAACTTCAAATATATTAGCAGTGATACACAGAAGGCTTGTTTTGCTCCACCAAGATTCGTCAACCGGAAATACCTTACCTCTGATATATGGTGCTCCAATTGAGAGTCAACCCAGGACTAACAGGGAATCGTAGCTCATTGGCCTTCTCCATTACCTTAACAATCGAACTTACGGACTCCAGGTTCAAGTTTTCGTGTCAACACTAACATGAAATCAATTACATTCGTCTGACGAGTACCAATCAGGCATTGCTTAATTGAGGTTTTAGTCGTATCATACACTGTCATTTTCGTACTGGATTCTCAATCGATAGAATTCAGAAGTTACTTGAATAGTTATTCGAATTGGTGTAAGTTTTTAAAGAATCTAGGTAACAAATATTTACATAGTGGCCCATTTTATTTCTTAGTATGTATCGGCTTTCAGAAATTAGGTTCTTATGCAGATTCGTAAACTTTTGTTGGTGTGAAACGACTCAAATTGATAACTAACTTTTCTTAACTGATTATTCTTACTTCCTTAGACTCACCAACTCTTTCAAGAGACAATGTTTTCTATGCACTGGATGTATGTATAACGGCCTTGTTTGCAACAGATTATGCATCGAATACTGATGGACAAAGATCTATATACAATTTGACCACCATAAGTAACTCAACTCAACAACAGCAACAAACATGTGAATCGAGTCAATCAGGCCCCCTGTCTGGTAAATTAAAGGATAAAAGTAATAAAAGTCAAACTACAGGATTTGAACTACGCACAAATCCAAGTATATCACTTAATAGACAAGCAACTGGATCTATTGCACAGGACAATATTTCCACTATTACCACTTCAAATAATAACTCTGCTTCAATAAAGCTAGTTAATTTATCTAATTTATCAACAGACTGCGAAGGTGGTTCGTATGCCAGTTTAATACGTTTACTTAGTCCATCGTTGGTTAAAATCCTGCCAGATGAAAGCGGACCTTTGACTACTTCAGTACAAATTACCATTTCAAATAAGTGTCAAGGAAAACAAGATAGTTTTCAATTAAAATCACGTCCTTCTGTAATACCGAATTTAAACAAAACAAGTATATTAACTCAAAAAAGTCGTCCACAAGTATATTATTCTAAACTTTTAGATCCAACTTCAATTAATCTTGGGTTTCCCATAGATAAAATTAAAAGTTTTAAGGCTGAGTTTGCGCACCGGTAAGAAGAAAATGTATTCAATGTCTCGCATGCTTTTCAATGACTTAAAATACTGTTTAATATTTCTTTGCAGTCATTTCGTTTAAGCAAAAAGCTCAAGATGATCAGAGTGATTGGTTTATAATGACGTTTCTTTTGCAAGTTCAAATGGTTTAATCAATCACTAAGAGGCCACTAAGACTTTCAATTTATTCAGAGGCTCCATAGTAATCCATATCTACCACATTTTCGTAATTTATTCCGTTAAAATCTGGCTTATATCTACGGGTGATAAAACTATTATAAAATTTATATAAATGTTATTGACATGCTGTCTATAAATTCTTGAAGGCTTCTGCAGATAACTTTTTCCTCTCCTTTTCCTTTTCTGTGAAAGATTATCTAATGATCTCTTTTTTTCACATTGATGATAAATATCTTCAATTTCTAAACAGTATTATTCTATAGGAACGTAACCCTAGTGTCTTGTTTAGTACGTATCAAACGATAATCATTGGCGTCAGTCAGATAATGATTGGATGTATCCTAGATTTCGAACATTAATAATGTCACTCACCTAAAGTACGACATTCGTCTAACACTCCTACTATGGGTACTTTGGTATGCACAAATTACAACCCCTATTTGTTACTGAACCCTTACTTATGACACTTATATCAGCTATGAAATGCTAATTTTAAGTCAATTGAAACCAACCTGTGAATGTAATAAAAAGAAAATCTAAGCTTAAAAATAGCAATCGGACAACTAACATTGATCAGAAATGAAGTAATAAAGGTATTTGTGGTTTTTAACCTGAATATGATCAAGTAAAGCTTCAGAAATATTTAACTACAGTTATATAATCTTTTCTGAAAACGCTCACTGTCATAAAATAAGAGTTTATTCGATAATATGAATATGTTATTATTTATAGGACTATTATTTTGAATAGAAGGTCAACAATACCACACATATCGGACGAAACGAAATAATGAAATAGGACTATAAATTCATCTTGTAATATTCGTAGATACGTTGTTAATATGTACTGATGATATGAATGATTTATTATCCTCATTATAAAGTCTGATTCAAAACTGTTGATTTGTTTTCTGTAGGGATCTGTACCGTATTATAATCATAGTGGTCTCGGGTAGTTGATTTAAAGAATCTTTTTTATGTTTGTTATGATAAATTGTTTTGCAGTTTTGTCCTAATGCACGCTATTTATTGCATAACTATCATTAATCCTCTGATTTATTAGGCTTGGATTTTTGGGACTGAAATTAATTCTTGTGGCGTATACGCGTCATGCGGCTGTTCGAATGAAACTGCTAGTAGCTGCATTAACACAATTAGCTTTGAATGGTCAAAATGGTATCCAGCTGTGGAAATTTTTCGACTTCTTAGTTACTTATAGACCACCACTATTTGTACACTTACTGCCATTTATTCGATTCAAAGTAAGTGTATCTTATTCACTGCTTATTATTTTATAAATGGGTTTATGTGTCTATCCTTTAGTTTGTAGTCAGTATTGATAAAATAAAAAAAGTCTAGTCTCATCATATAGGAAACAACAAAGGTTCATCTTTTTAAGTGTAACTTACTTTAAAGATAGTTACATGACTGATAAACTAACTGACTACAGCGTTGTTTATATTCTTAAAGTTTAATGCCTAAAGCGCTTCGACGAATAAAGAAATCCTGGTACACACCTATACGTTCATGTCAGCATATACTTCATCAACTTTTAGTTTACTGTATTTAATTAAATTACACGTAAGAAATCGATTTATTGGTTCATTCATTTTCAATGTCATAGGTTTAGAATTATTTCCAATTAACTAGTCTTTCACTTTCATAGTAATGTCAACTGCATTTATCAAAATATTATACATGTTAATAAAAGTTTATGAGCACAAATTAGGTGTGCGACCAGACCAAAACATGGCGCAAGTCCATGAAGTCACTGACAAGTGGACTGAGTCATGTTGGTAGGTGTAGACTACCTGGTTGGGGACCGCGAGATGATAGCAACCGATGATTAGAGACCCTGAATGACATGGCTCAAAATCGTTTGCAATGGCGCAGGTGCATCCACTCTTTGTGTTCTCCCAAATTTTGATCTCCTTATTCTTCCTTGTCTCTTTTTTCTCTTCCCAAATTTATTTCACTGTATTATACTCCTTAAGTAACATCTCCAAACACTAATCTTCCCGATTACTGCTTATACTCTTATTACCTCTACCACTACGGGATTTGAATCGACCACTACATCTCTGTGCTAATGTGGTGTGGCAACTCGAACTGATGTACGTACGTACGAAGTTCTACGTTGTTACTGACTGACTGACAAATTAGGTGTAAATAATGTAGATAAAGTTTTTGTTCTACCGAAACTCCTTACAACTAACAACCAAAGTAAAGAAAGCTTGTTTTTCGAGAAAGTGTGATTTATTTATTAAGCTAACAGCTAAAATGTCTTTTGTCGATTTTAATTTTCTTCACCTTTTCTAATTTTCATCAGAGACCTCGAATTTTTAAAATTTTCTAGATGGCTCTACTTCAGTGTGCAAGTCAAGGGGAACAAGCGTATCAACAAATTGTTAATCAAAAATTAATTGGATTACATTTACCTATCCCACAAACAGTCGCTTCAATTTTAAGAAGTTTGTCGAATGAACTGCAAATTATCAACTCCGATATAAAAGTACGCTACTACTCCTTGATTATATGTATATTAAAATTTTAATAATTTCAAAAGACATGAAGAAACCAAGAATATTCCGTTCAGTGAATAAGACTAATGGTGAAATAAAAGAAATTGTAATTATTGAAATGAGTTCCTATCGGATTAATCGTTTCATACATACTTCATGAAATTTTCTATTGATCTTCAAGCTCCTTTAAACATCTGATAAGACCATACTCTATCGCATTACTGAGGTCTTTCTGGTAATTTAGTTTCTTATATGTTGATTTATCATTCAAGACTCTATTAGTTTTGTCGACACAGCTTTTTTATTGAGTAGAACAGTTTCTGTCCCCCTTACCAGGCTACGTACCAGTCGAATTTTTGTCCTTAATATTTTCGCGAATGGCTTCCTTTTTTTCATTAAATGATTATGTAGTTATATTTATTGTTATTATACTGATAGCAACAATCAGCTAGGTTTGATTCAAATCGTTTTCGTTTCTGAATGAAGGTTGGAACGAAATACAATATCTGGTTATAGAGGTTTTGAAATGTCTGTAATCAGATGAGTCACAGAACTTCGAATGCAATGCTATCACTTCAAAGTTTTCTTCAATTACTCAATGGTTAGAAAGTTATGAATATTCCTCTCAGATTCCTTCGAAAATCTGTTTCTACTGGTTGATATTTTATGATTTTAAGAAATCTGATAAGTTTTTCATGTGCATGTTGTGTAGTCACTTCTGTAACGTAATCCATAGACGGGAGCTTAAAGTCATCTGTTAGTTCATCAATAGCAAATTGTCAGTGATCAATAATCATTTCTATTCGTTTATATAAAAACCAAATTAATCAATATGGTTTAGAACAACTTTTTAGTGTTTTCCTGTAAGCATACACATGATTACAACGTAGTGGTTTATTGAGCGGTTTAGGATAATGACTTGTATCACGACGGTTCTTTGTATTTTTTCTGATAATTTCAATTGACCTAGAAGCTTGTTCAAGTTAACATCACACGCTAGTCATTCCAATAATTACAATTTATTTTATTTCACCAGTAATCTTAATTTAATGTAGTGTGATTTTAAATGATGTTTCGCTTTAAACGTGACTATCCCTTTAGAATGTTAATTTGGATTTGTAACTGTAAGACCAGATGAGAACTCACTGAACGGAATATTCTTCGTTCAGATATCTGTGTGTCTTTTGATATGATGGAAATTTTTAACAAAATTTAAGGGGCAAAACAAATTTCTCTGCAATTATTTAGTACATTATAAATATTGAAATACAATTGAAGGAAAAACTTTGTAATAATCGTATAAATATCAGTAATAACTTGCTACTTCCAAAGAGCATGAGATAAATTTTACCAAACTTTTGTTCAATTTGTTCCCTAGGCGTTTAGTAAACGAATTTACAATGAAATAACTTCGCCTAGAGCGTCAGGTTTACATGATTCATTGCGTCGTTTACGTTCATCAGATAATACAAGTTCCGTTTCCGCTCGTAGTAACAAGCATACTAAATTAACTAAAGTTGTATCGAAAAATACAAATGAATATACACATAAGTCTTCTCACAAAGTGTCCTCAAAAGATCAAGTAAACCAGAAACTACAATCACATGTTCTGGCTTCGGTTACATCAAACTCTACATGTAGTGTAGATTACCGTGATGAAAATATCATTGGAATATCAAGTGAGCATGCAAAATTTGACATTTTTCTTCATTTCTTAAAGAGCCTCATGTTACTAAATATAGTATAGTTCTTTCTAATGATTATTATCGAAGCGTCTTTAGTTTTATTATAAACAGATCAACGACCTGAAATGGAAATTTTCCTAGGAAAAAAACTGATCATGCTAATTTTTTGTTATATTTCAAGTTTATATCGCTTCGAAAGGAGTTTTCACATCAAACAAATTTTAACTTCAAAATGTGCATTACAATTATGCTTTAATAATCATCTGCTTTTTGTTTTAGAATTATGCTCTAGTGACCCAAACATACAACGTTTTAAACCTTGAGCTTTATAGAAGTCCATCAACTGATATCCTGTTGTGACAATATTTAAATCCATTATATACCTCAAAAAATAACTTTTGTTACCTATTCACGATGCAGTTGCAGCTTTTTAGGTTACAATCGGCATTGAAAGTAATCAAAACAATGATTAGTAATAAATACACCGTACATTTGTACAGTTTATCATAGCGTACTTCAGACTTTATTTAGTTACGCCAGTAAATATATCTGAATATGGTGTTGAGCGATTTGGGTTTAAATTTCATTAGCGGCATCACTAACCCAGTATCTTTTGGTAACATATTTCTGTGAGCAATAACAAATAAAAACAAGTATTCAGAGTTTCTGTTTTAGAATATCGAACGTATTTTCACTAGTTAGCACAATGTATTACATAGTTTCACTTCTCAGATAAATCCATCCTTCTTCAGAATAGACAAAATAATCATAAGTTTTTGTAAAACTACAAAGTTTAGCTGAATCAAACACGAAAGAATAATCCAGTTTACTTCTGATTGACAAAGTTGTTCATTGCACACTCTCCTCACATTAAAACTTTTTAATACGGATTACTATTATCCAAATATTAAATGATTGTTCTTATTCAGAAGCTCGACATCAATGATATTTACCTCAGATGGAGGTGCTTGACGGTGAATAGTGAGAGTATATTTCATTCTCCATAAGGATCAGTATATAGTTTGTGTATTTTACTTCTTCCATGTCCCAAATCCAATATCTCGAATTGTCACGTACTAGCATCTCAACCATCTGACTAAAAGGCTATACTCCACTATATATATATATATATATATATATATATATATATATATATATATATAATATTTGCATCTTGGTAAAGATTGACAATGTCTACTACTAAGGCATCACGAGTGAGAATAAAAATATATTTAACATTTCTTGGATTTAATTAACTGTATGGTCTGGTAAAGTACTCTAGACCATTAATTTAGAGATTGTGATTCAAAAACATTGACTGAAGTTAACCCAAGAGTAACTTGGGTGTATGAAAAATGAAAGTGAGCTGCACTTTATGGCTTTGTTATCTTTAGCTCGATGAATAATGGTGAACGGAAGGCATAAGAAGCCGAATAGCAATCTTCCTGAAAGTATATTTAGGTAATTGAATTGATTGACATGTACAATAAAACCAAACAGAATTAAATCGTAATGAGAAATAACAATAGAATTGAAACCAGAAATAAAAACACCATGGTAACAGTACTGTATTTATATCGACACCGGAACTAGAATCACCAGCAATTGCGTTAGAATAAAAATAACATTAGGAATTGTATTATGCTGAAATAAGTACAGGATTACATCAGCGAATCTAGCCCGCATCTTACTGAAATGCGTTCAAACGATCCAGGATGCCAACGAATCTCTGACATTTATAGAGCAATAGAAAAACGGAGTGTGATTGACGGATAAATTGATCGATAAGCAAACAAACGGAGGCATATTATAAGGACACATATATAAAGCATTCCAGTTAGTCACAAAGTTTAGGAAAAGTTAATTAACAGGGTCACATGTTCGACCAGATTTTGTATTTCAAAATGAGTGCAAAGTTGTGATTTAAACGTGTCTGAGTCGAGCATTACATATATTATACGGTTGTTAGTTTGAATCATTAAATTAACTGATATGAAAGTCATAGACCAAGTCTACCATACTATGTTATTATTTCCTTAAACTCTGATGTTCATTATATCACTTTGTTCCGAACTCTTAAAACAGGTTACAACTTTTGCTTCTAACTACAAACTTATAAAAAATAGGTGAGAAAAGAAGGACATGTTTTGTCCGTGAAATACCTATTTCAATATTTTTAGTTTATTTTCTTGCTTTTATACAACTGTCGATAATAAATATGACCAGGTAGATTTTGCTTGCAAATAAATTTCAAGAATCTTATTCATAATCGCCAACCATCATCAGAATTAAGGTTCAACTGGGTAGATATAATGAAGAACCTAATTATTGCAGTCCATATTGCATTTTTGAAAACTTGTAAACAAAGTACCATTTTAGATTTGGACAGGCATTTACTTAGAAGAAAAAGCCTCAATCAGGAGTTTAGGCAAACTACTGGAGTACGAGATCCTCGAAAACGTATCCATGCTCATGAGGGCAGTTGTCTCCTAGTGAGAACTAGAGATTATGGTCAAGCGGATCCAATTTTAACTGGTAAGTGTAGTATTTAAAATCCAAGAGTTTCGCCTATTTCGTTCTTGTCAAAATACGGATTTTTATTTGTAATTTCTAGGTATCAGTATTCCTCTTTGATAATAGTTGCAATCACAATATCAAACAGTGCCATTAATTGTATAATCACCTAATTCTTTTTCAAGTTATAAGGTACATGCAGCAAGGATAACATAATTACCCAATCTCCCAATTTTAGGGAAAATTTGACTAATTTTGGGGAAGACGCCATAGTAAAGTTTGGGGAAATTTTGGCGAAGAACGTAAAATTTCCCGACTTCGAGGTTTTTCCCCAAAGCTAATTAGCTCACTACTTATGTCTTGGATTCAATTATAAAACCTATCAAGGACAAATAACCCTGTACGATCTACAAGTAGTTTGATGCAACTTTCTTGTTAAAATCATAAAATGACTGACCACAGTAGATGAATTTAAGGTGCCACATTATTAACGGTTAGAAACGTTTCTCTTGATTGTTGATAGATCTTCGATACAGAAGATCTACAATTTGACTTGTGTGTTACAGGAGCACCCAATATATAAGACACATCCAATATTAGGCAATAATGAGACATATGGGTAGTGTTATCGATAATCATATTATTCACTTCAATGATTTTATGGTTTTGTAGTCCTACATCTGGCTCCATTTGCATCGTATGAATGATCGTTGTCGAATGATTGTTGTTGAAATATACATGCATGCTATCCTCATATACAACCATCGACTCGAATCGTGTTGGTGAATAACGGAATCAAATACGAGGATGGATCTTTGAATACGTATATTTCATACAATCGTTGATCGGAAAGCGAAGCAAAACAAACAGCGCGCAATGAAGGCGAGTGAGCCAAGTTAATTTAACCAAGCGTGAATCGATATTCATAGTCAGATCAAAAATAAGTTACAGATATGTGATGAGCATGATTAGAAGTGTGCACACATACGCTCATATAAAGACAGTCGAGTTGATAAGCAGTTAAGTGACAAGGCCAAAATGTGATTTAAGAATGAATAAATTGATCTGTCCAGAGGCTGCAATAACCTATGTGGGTTTGATATGGTAACCGGCATTACAATGGACTAAATTGATCTTATTAACTCACATTATATATGGAACAGCTGAAAACCAGATAAAACACCAGTACCTAACACCGACTTCTACCTCACCCCACTACCCATCCATAAACCTAAAACTTGAAGTCTTCTGATACATTCGTTCAAAAATATGCAGTTCGGTTCAGAAAATCGTTCATTTACGACATTTAAGATAGCCATTATTTAGTCGGAACATGATTGGTATGTGTCATTTATCTTGATCGGGATTAAGAATAGTGACAATCCCTCGAAATTTTCATAATAAGGTTTTTAGACAGGTAGCTTTTTCACTCTTCGTCACCATGGTGATTACGCTATATTGATTGGTCCATCTACAGACAATATTATCAGGATCCATTATGTATGCATATAGTTAATTAGTTTATAAAGTATTATTTTAAAGTCAGACCAGTTTTATCAACTTTTTTTCCAACAGCTTCTGCAGAAAGTCTAGTAAGAAAAAGCCAAAAAACAGGACATAAAAGGATTGGAACTCAGTGAGTGCTGTTTATGACAATATTTGAATACTTTAGAAAAATATTTTTTGCTATTTGGTCTATCATAACTGAATTATTTATGTTAATTAATTATGTCGGTTGGATCTTTAGATAAGTGAGATTGAGGCTTGGTCACATTTCAGACACAGTCTGACCAGCCCTAATGGATTGGTGTCTGACGAAATCTCAGCACGGATTCGAAAAGCTCGTTTGGCTTTCTACCAATTTACGTCACCCATGTCGAAGGTGAGATATCCGTCTATCAATTAAGGGACGAGTATACTGCGCGGCAGTCCGTTCTGTCTTGATTTACGGCAGCGAAACATGGCCATTAAGAGTAGTAGACACTCGTAAGCTACTAGTATTTGACCACAGATGCCTTAGAAATATTGCTGGCGTCTGCCAGGATCACCGGGTAAGTAATAGTGAGATTAGATGCAGGGTATTACGGAATGATGGTGAATCAGTTGATGAGGTTGTGAATCTTCATCGACTGAGATGGTTGGGCCACATGTTACGTATGCCTGAACACCGTTTACCACGATGCACAACGCTGAACAGTGTTGGAGACGGCTGGAAGAATGTTCGGGGCGACCAAACCAAAACATGGCATCAGTCATTGAAGTCACTAACTTCTAGTCTGAGTCATGTTGGTAGATGCCCACTATTTGGTTGGGGTCTGCGTGACTATCGTAACCAGTGGCTGGAGACTCTGGCTAACATGGTTCACACTCTGTCTTTCGTTAAACCGTGAGATTAAAATTACTTTATACATTTTTTTCTAGTTCTTTCTTCCTATACTATATCTTCATATACAATCTTTCTTTTATATATTACTACCATTGAAGTAACTACTTCTATGAACTTGGTGTTCACCTTGTTGTGCTAATGAGGTATGGCAACTTGGACCGATGCATACATGTGCCTGGTCCTACGTTGTAGATGACTGACTGGTTGACTAAATCTTACATATCTACTAGGTTTACTAATTGTGTAGAATTTATAACACGTAAACAATAGTAAATCCCTTTTTTTAGTTTAAGTTTCATCTCAAGTGATTCATTTTTTTCTTACATTGATATATTTGAGACTTTCGTTCTTCTATCAATTCCTAGGGAGACAAAGCTGACTGGAAATGCTCAGATGTATAAAAATCTTCGTACGGATACTTTGCAAGCCAGACTATCTAATGGTTCAAATCCAGATAATCAAAGTGAAAATTCACTAGTTAGTGAAGGGTTAATAACACCAGTTGGACCAGCAGCAGCTGCCGCAATCGCCTCATCGCTTTATGGATCTGGTGAGATAATTTTTATGAACTCATTCAATGTAATAAGTTTTAGATGTACAAACTTAATCAAGTCAACAAACAAATGGATAGTATTTGATCAGTACCTTGTGAAATTAAAATAAATACTTGTTATGTACTTGGACAGAACGAGTAAAGTGGTAAATAATTCTATAAGCATTCAGAAGCATATTTGACACATGAACAGCCGATTAACGGTGGTCTTATTACCATCTGTCAGTCGAATATATGATTTTAGATATCTTACAGAATTTTCTCAATAGTACTTGGTATGCGCTATCCGTGGTCCTGACAAAATTTGCTGAAAGGCTCTTTCGATTATTATATGAAAATAACAATTCGATTATTTGTATCTCATTAATGCTGTACAACACAAGTGTTGATATGGCTAGCATTAGCTAGTCTAGTAAGTGTTCTAACGAAAGTGCTCTCTCTCGTTTAGACGATTTTAGAAAGCTTTCGGGTTCCAATATAGATATAGTTCCAAGCAACATATGAGTAGTAATCAGAGTTTTACATAAAAATTTGAGTTTATACCGCTTCTATATACTGATTATACAAATCATGTACATGATCTTAATAATGAAAACCTCAAACCGTTCAATCAGCAGCAAGTAAAAGTTAACCCATAATTGAGGATCGTAGTTAGTATATTGACTTCATTCTATTATTATATTTCATCATACTAAAAACCAGATTATATATGGTACTTTATAATTTTTCGAATTATCTGTTTCATCACTACTTAGGTGCTCCATATCTACGTGCACGAGTACGAGCCCGGCAAGAATTAGCCTCCCTAGTCAAAATACCAGCACCCAAGCTGAATTCACGTGAAAAGCTAACCGAAATTGACTTCGCATTCGTACCAGAAGTAACCGGTGACGACGATAAAAAATCACCGATTCAACAGAAATCCAAGTACCAATCGAATCAGACTAAAGTAGAGCATAAAGTTACAGGGAATTTTATGTTGAAACTCGAAGACTTAGAAGAAAAATCTCCAGATGAAAAGGATCAATGAGGGATATTACAAAATCACTAATAACAACATCGATTGTGGTTGGTACAACCAACATTTCAACTACCAAAACGACATTAGCAGAAGCTCCAAGGGTGGTACAAATGACTGAGGATAAAATTAGTTCAATGATTTCGGGAAAATCTAAAATTAATTACGTCTGATTTACATTTATCTTTTTGGGGGATAAGATTCACTAAAAATTCACAAATTTAAGCAAGACTCACGAATGTCACCTTGTTTTTTAATGAGTAAACTATCAAGAAGTGAACATCTAGTATTTCCTTTAACATTATTAGATTTCTAAGCACTACTTCCGTTTCCTTTCTTTCTTGGATTTCCCCAGTTGATATTCTCATAAGAGTAATATTTAACCATTACTATCATATTCGCTTCCTTCTTGTCTGTGATTAAAATTGAGAAAATACACAGAATCTTAATGACGATTCTAAATTTCGTTCACATCGAATTAGTGGTTTCCGAGCTTAATTTTCTAGATTTAACGTGCATACTAGTCCAGACATGAAAAGAAACATCATGAAACCACTCACCTACTTTTAATATATTCCTTCTACCTAATTACCTACTGTGACTAATCATTCGTTCGAGATCTTTTGTACACAAAGTGGCAACCCTTCTTTGGCCATTATTTCATTGAATGTAATCAGTACATAATTGAATAGATTCGAATATGAATTAATCGCCTTAAGAATAATTTCGTAAACTCGTTACCACCTATGAAGTACTTGTATCAAGTGTAAGTGAACAAGATACCATCAAATAGTAATTCGGGGGAACTAAGCTGGTTTTAGGTATCAACGTGAACATGTAGACCAAATGTTCTCCCTTCAACAGGCCCTGGAACACGGATATACCTACATACTCACAGCCTTAGTTGTACTTCTTGATCTAAAGGTAGCATCCGATCGCGTAGAGAGGCAGATTTTAAGGCATTGTCTGTCACTGAAAGATGTTACATCAACATTGCACAGGCTCTCTACTCGGAAGCTACTGGGGTCAAAGCTTATACCGAACTGCCAGGGAGATTGATAATTCAAAATGTTCATCAGGAGTGTCCCACCTAACTTTTTCAGACATTTTAGAGACTACACTCATTCAAGAACCGGTCTTCTATCAGTGATTTACTTGTTGACTACAAAGTCTGAAGTGGTAATTGGAATTATCAGTAAATGAGTGTTAATAATCCCAAGTACCACACCTGAGGACCAAGACCCTTGTTCTCATCAGTGGCTTTCCAATTCTTGTTATTCACGACCTTGAATACATGACCAACTAATCAATATAGTGACAATGAAAATCTGTGGTAACATGGATGATCTCAAGCTAAGTGTGGGCAACCAAGCAAACGTCGAGCACTCTACACTATATTATATTTGTTACACTTTAATACTAATACAGTTGTAAGCAACTAATGAAAAACTAAGGAATAAGACAAATCTACGTTACGCCTTAATTGTCGTTTCTGCTTTATTTGAATTTATGAAGGAAACCACCTGTGTGAAATGTGAAGTAATCAGACAGTCATGCTGATTAAATAAAAAAACGTAGCGACCGCATGCGGAATGAACGATGCGAAAGAAGCCTTTAAATGGTTAGACAATAAAATAGACAACAGCACTAAAACATTTACAGCAGTCACATCTGTTTAGAATCGTAACTATCATTACTTACTAATTTATGAAAAGGGGATTTTACTTCTCGATGTCCGAATTAAGACAAGGTAGCTCGAAGTAATCTTGAATCTGAAACTTGACCATGTACATGATATTACAGAGTATGACAACGTATTTTATTCATACCTTTAGTTGTTAGTAGTAGGACACTATGCACACAGTGAGTAAGAAGGTGGTATTATAAGAGCTCACCACCCTTATAAAATGAACACGCCACGTTAAAAACAATCCCGGGGACATTATAGTAATCAGCTTAATAATTAGAATCAAATGTCGTCGAGTGTGACCATAAAGTAAATAGATAATTTTAAAAGCAATAAATAGCATAGAGATACGTAAAAAAACTAAACACAATACATACGAAGTACATAAATAAATATAAACAAAAAGCATAATTATAGAAAGCGTATGTATAAAAGAACTGGAATAAAACAAAATTAGTTTCAATACCTAATCAAGGAAAGTTATTTGAACTATCAATGACGTGACATATACGCCAGTGCATAAATAGTTGCTGACATAAAAAGAAAAGCAGTTCCAAAGTTAGTGTGGAATGAACGAAACATAAGTTGGTAAGGATGATAAAAATCCTGCACTTAATATTACTATGAAAAAGTGAAAACTTCACATAACTGGGTGGTAAATTACTGAGATTTGCGTGATGAGGGACAAAGGATTTGTACTAATGTGCCAGCCAGTAGTTAAATGCAAAGGACAAGACAAACAGGAATCGAGACTATAAAATTGACTGGGCGAGCTTCATCAGAAATGCATTGATTGTTAAAACTACGCCAGCACTAAAAGTAATTCTAGCTACACGCGAAACGTGAATGAGATGCGTGAGTAGAATGAAATTCAGTACTGGACAAATAGTGAGGTTCAAAAAAAGGAAGCGGCTTAGGACATACATTCAGATGTGATAAATTAGACGTCATCTTCGGTCCTGGAGAGTGTGAAATTATTATATGAGACAACGGAATAGATTGATCTATTACTCCGCGACCACAGTTTTCAAATACTGAGGGGTGGACAGTAGTGCGTGTGGATTCGTGTCCCGCTGTTGGAAGTAGCATAGCAACTGTTGGACCAGACAGGCAACGATGTCTCAAGTAATTCGACCGATATTTATGACATCGACTGAGATCCGACTGACAAGCACCTACAAAGGTAAATAAGTAATTGTATTAACATTTTTCACGACATTTTATGGGAAGTCTCCGTCACGACAACTGTTTACCCTGAGGAAATATGATAAACGGGAGAATTACGAGTAGAAAAACGATGTCTGGAAATCGACATACTAATTAATGCGACATTCCTGTCTCACCAAGCAAGGATGGAACTTGTTTCCTGGGGTCTGAAGGCTGAATAATAAAATGGGAAAACGAAAGTACAAATAAGTCTCGACAGCCTGTCGCTCAGTTAACATCCTATTATATATATATATATATATATATATATATATATATATATATACCATCCACTGAAAACATGTGGTATTTTTAGTAGCTCGTTCGAACAAAAGCCCATATTTACCCAAAGATAAGTTGTAAAACATCAAATTGTTAACACAAGGCATCACCCAGAGGTGCATGGTTTTGGGACCAGGATAACAAATCAGAATGAAAGGTTAAGTCGTGTCTCAACATAAGGGAAACACATTTAATCGAAAGGAACTGCCAACACATAGTTTCAGCAAAGAATCATAACTAAACAGGTCCAACAGGTCAGATGGAATGGCTGACCCTTATCCAAGTGAAAGTCGAGCAAACCAACCTATATGACTACTGATTTACTCGATATATAGCGCTTAACATACTAGAAACCACATCATGGGACTTTGATGAGTACCATTACCAAGGTTTGATTTGATAATTTCGAATAAATTGGGCATTGGGTTGATTGTTATAAATAAAAATAATATATTTGTATTATCTCAATGAGTAGAAAATTAGATTTTCTGACGTTTCGCGACTTAGTGTAAGTCACTTCTTCGGAGAATAAATAACCAAATTAATTTGGTTTATATTTATAGGACTTGATGTTTAGGTACATTAGGGTTGTCAGTCCATGGATAGCAGGTGTCATGGTAGGCTTAGTAAGAATGGATTAAACCAAGCAGATTACTTACTTTAACCAAGCTAAAAAACAAACTGTAAAAGCTAGATATATAATCGAATCTGCCTGACAGTAGAGTATTTATAAGTTTGGGCAAGACTATAATTTATGGACGAATCAATCTGTTTTAAGACTAGTCATGGCTTTTAGAGTGGAACTTGTACATCCATTTGGCCAAATAGCATTTTGGCATTATAACAGATGTCACCCCGTAATTAAAACCCTAAATCTAACCCTGAACCATAACGCCCAACCGTGAACCCTAATCCTGATCTCCCGCACTATTTTATATCCCTCATTTGACACCAGTATACTAGTGTGAATATTCTTAAAGTCACTTCAGCGTTGCCCAAAGGACGTCCATAAATTGTAGTTTTATGGCCTTTTGATACCCAGCTTACTTTGACTTCGTCATTCTATAAAGACAATATCAGAAACACCAGGCATACATGTAGCGGAAACGACAAGCATTAATCGCAAATCGCTAGTGAAAAAGTAATAAAACGATAATGCCGAAACATGTAAAGTACATCCAATGAGCCTCAACCTTATAAAAGCTAAACTCACATGAATACACCGAGTAAGGATACATTTTTAGAGTGGAATTGCCAGAATTGGTGGTTACAGTGCATGGAACTATATTGTGTTTGCCAATAAATGCAGGAAATCCGTGTGACCAGTCTGGAGTTTTCATAGTGGCTAGGAGACAAGTATCCTGAGCGATTTTACGGCCGTACTGAAGCTTTACATACTCCCGTTCTGAAATGCAAGGGCTATCAAAACCATCCAATTGTCGACGCATTGTAGATAACTGACAAGTATGTAGCCAATATGAAAATCAATAACAAGTATGGAGATTGGTAGTCGGCAAACTCAGCTCATTTTTGGAGGAAATACAAGTAGACAAGCATTCTCGCCCCACCAATTCGAGCGGGGGCATACGAAATACAAATTTCAACAACTAGAACACAGTATACAACTTGATTTATGGTATGTTATAAGTCTAGGTTGTTATTTGAGACCTATTTGCGGACAAAAAAAATTATTACGATCTTTATGATATTCACAGAGATACATCAGTTGACTGGTAATAACTGCATATTTCTAGTATACTTACTACTCTAAACCTGATCAGCTTCAAATGGTTCAAATTCAAATGATTGTGGACGGAATAAACGAAGCTTTCGCTTAACGGGCTTTCGTGTCTAATCGCAGTAGATCAACAATACCTCCAGGGTTGAACCTAGGTACATTAACGATACAAGAAGAAAAAGTTGGTAAATCATAGTAAGATACTATCCTTAGTCCTTAAGAATATACCAAGTTTTCTCTGAAAAGACTCCTGGGGAGTCACTTGGACTAGCTCAGCCAGCAGCGAATTCCAGCATTTGATAACTCTGAAGGAGTAGAAGTTGCGTATACAGTCAGTTCTGCTGTGTTGTGTCTCTAGTTTCTGAGTATTACCCTTGAGGTTTGTGTTTGAGCTAAACTTAAGTATGTGTGTAAGGAGATGTCCAGAAGTGTTAAAGATGCTGCGAGTCATTAGGAGGTCACCTCTAAGAAGCCTGTACTCTAATGGCTAAAGGTTTAGTGATTGGAGGCGCTCTTCATAAGGCTTGAATCTGGGCCCCCGAACTAATTTTACAGCCCACCGTTGGATACGTCCCAGAGTGTCCTTGTCCTTTTGGAGTGAAAGAGGAAATACTATGTTTCCGTACTCTAAATGGAGACGAATGAAGCTGGTGAAGATTATGCGGAAAGTTCATCCGTCGAACTGATCAAAAATGTGCCTCAGTGTTATCAGTGCAAGGTTTGCTTGAAAGGAATTTTTATCAAATTTAGCGTAAGACTTCAAATAGTAGGGTACCAGCACCCCTAAATATTTTCAACTTGGGATACTTCTAGAGAGGAGTTTCTTAAGCTGTAACTATAGAGTCTGCAACATGTCTAAGATGGATTGATTTAAACCTTGAAGTGTTAAATGTCAGTCCGTTGTCATCTGACCAACATTGAAGTTGAGTTTGGTACTTAGTATTGAAAATCTATTGAATTGTTCACTTAGGCAAACTATCTCTCACACAAACATTTTAATCAATTTTAATAACTCAGCTAAAGCCATTGTAGTGGTAAATAAATCCCCAAAATAAATAGCTCTGTAAGTTTTCGACATTGGATGCTGACCATATGTTTTAATAAACTCACCTAGCTGAAGGCGCTTGATCATGCATCCGCACCAGATCACATGTGGGAACGCCGTGTTCAACATCTACTGCAATCGCTAGCCAGATTACATCAAACGATTCTCGATATATTGACAGTCAACAAACATATCTTCCGACCTCCTCAATTCTGTCTTTTGATTTCTTCTGGTGGGTACGCTTCATATTAGAAGGTGTTACTGGTTAAAGCGTTGCCAAACACTGAGTACCTGTGCCATCATCATAGGTGAGCCTGACTTGATTTGGTACACCAAATCGTAAACTGTGAGTCCGTTCCTTGTTGGGATTTTTATATATTATTGCCTTATTTTTAATTTTTTATACATTGTGATATTTTTCTCTCGCGTTTTTGGATATCTAAATATTCTTCACTCGTGTATTCTCGTACTTAATATTCCCCTATGACCGAACAGACTCCTAAGGTATTTGAGATTAAGACCATGTCTCCACCCTCATTCCAACTCATGCCCTTCTGGTCCGACAATATCGAAGCCCGGTTCTGCCACGCAGAAGCCGACTTCCACGAGCACGGCGTGAACGACACACGTGCACAATTCCCCGCAGTATTCAAGGTACTACCGCGGGAATTCAACAGGTACGTAACACCTAGTATGTTTACTAGTGATGTTTCTGAACCGTACGAAACCTTAAAGTGTTCTATCCTTAAACGAGGAGACCTAACCGACCGACAATGGTTCGACCAACTCCTTAATAACATAGACCTGCAACATGGTTCTGCGACGGACATGTTGCAAAGGATGAAAGAGGTGATAGGCCTAAGAACTTTCGACGAAGGCCTATTCAAACAACTTTTCTTGTCCAAACTTCCCCAACAGGTGCAAGCGGTTCTGGTCTCGTTTCAGAACAACGCCCTAGACGAGCTGGCTGTATCTGCCGATGACATAACCGAGTTATGTCGTACACTTACGGGTCATCATAATTTTTGCAACGACCGTAAGCGATCACACACCCCACGTAGAAGCATTTCACGTAAGCGATCTGTCTCTAGACCACGAGAGACAGATAATCCCGACTGGTGCTGGTATCATAACCAGTATGGAAAGTCTTCCAGAAATTGCAGAAAACCCTGCAATTTTCCCATCTCAAAACCGACCGACTCGAAAAATAACTCGGGAAACTTCCAAGCCGGCACGCGTTAACGGCAACCGTAGCCGGCGAACATAGCCGTCTGTTATAAGTCACAGATGTGACAACGAGAGTTCGCTACCTCGTCGACACTGGCGCAGAAGTTAGCGTTCTCCCAGCAAATCCTAACGACCGACTTCACGAATCGACTCTAAACTTACAGGCGGCAAACGGAAAACCGATCGCTACGTATGGCAAAAGGTACGTTTACCTTAACGTGGGTTTACGCAAACCCATCCACTGGATTTTCGTTGTTGCAGATGTTTCTATGCCAATCATTGGTATGGACCTTCTACAACACCACAATCTGATCATCGACACTCGCAAACGGAGGCTAGTAGACGGAAACACTAATTTGTCCGTTTGCGTAACTTCTTTTACTGGTTGTAGAGTATCCCCAGTCACAGTTAAGCATATGATAGACCCACTCTATCAACCACTACTCGATAAGTACCCTGGGATACAACAAACTCAACCGAAACTACCGTGTGTAACCAGCAATGTTACACATCACATCACGACTACAGGACCACCTGTATTCTCTAAAGCACGACGACTAGCTCCTGAAAAGCTAAGGTTAGCGAAAAACGAATTCGATCACATGATAGACTTAGGAATCATACGACCGTCAAGTAGCCCATATGCATCTCCGTTGCACATGGTCCCTAAAAAGGACAGCAACGATTGGCGTCCAACTGGTGACTATCGGCGATTGAACGCGAAAACCATTCCCGATCGTTACCCGTTGCCTCACATTCACGATTTGACAGCTACCTTGAAAGGTACAACTGTCTTTTCGAAAATCGACTTGGTTAAAGCGTATAACCAAATCCCTATGGCTACTGACGACATACCGAAAACGCTATCATAACTCCCTTCGGACTCTATGAATTTTTGCGAATGCCTTTCGGTCTAAGGAACGCTGCTCAAACATTCCAAAGATTCATAGACGACGTTTTTCGAGGTCTCAACTTCGTACACGCGTATGTTGACGACTGCCTAATCGCAAGTCCGGACAGAGAATCACATCTCAAGCATCTGGATCTTGTTTTCGAACGACCACAAAACCATAGCATTACTGTAAACGTTCAGAAATGCCAAATCGGAACTGACTCATTAGACTTTCTAGGGCACACTATCGATGCTCAAGGCATTCGACCCCTTAGAACCAAAGTGGCGGCCATTCTGGATTACCCAGAACCGACCACGGCCAAGCAATTACGCACGTTTAACGGCCTCGTAAGTTTCTATAGACGTTTCATACCAAAATGCGCATTACTTATGAAACCTCTGACCGACCAACTTCGTGGAAATGCGAAATCCATTAATTTGGACGACACCGCACGAAAAGCATTCTCCACAGTTAAGGAACTGATCGCTAAAGCAACAATGCTCGCACATCAGGACACCCGAGCACCCATTAGCATCGCAGTAGACGCATCCGACTCAGCAATCGGAGGAGTCTTACAACAATGGGTTAACAACTCCTGGCAACCCTTGGCATTTTTCTCTAGAAGGTTGCTAGACACCGAATCGAGGTACAGCACATTCGGTAGGGAACTCCTAGCTATGTATTGTGCTGTACGGCATTTCCAACACTATATCGAAGGCCGTGAATTCACTCTTTTCACGGACCATAAACCGCTCACTTTCTCGTTAAGCTCTCCTTCTGACAAGTACTCTCCCCGTGAGTCTCGACAACTGGACTACATTTCGCAGTTTACTTCAGATATTCAACACATCTCTGGAGCAAACAATGTAGTTGCAGACGCCTTGTCTCGCATAACTTCCTTGAACAGTTTCCAAGGAATCGACCTTCTTAAACTCGCCGAGCTTCAAAAAGAAGACACTGATCTTCAGCACGAGTTATCGTCTACAATCCTCAAACTACGCATCAAACAGATGGGAACAGGTAAGGAAACCTTACTTTGTGACACATCTACAGGTAGGGATTGGCCAATCGTGCCGAAACGTTATCGACGCAATGTCTTCAATACGTTGCACAAACTTTCTCATCCAGGCGTTCGTGCAACCATCAAGCTTATAGCAGAACGGTTTTGCTGGCCTGGCATGAATAAAGACATGAGAGAGTGGGCACGCTCCTGTGTAAGCTGCCAAAAGTCTAAGGTTATCAGACATAATAAATGTCCCTTAGGCTCATTTAAAACTGCCGACGCTCGTTTCGACCATGTTCATCTGGATTTGGTAGGACCTTTACCAGATTCAAATGGATACTCTTATCTCTTGACCTGCATAAACCGTTTCAATCTATGGCCAGAAGCAGTACTTATCAAGGACATTACTTCTGAAACAGAGGCCCGCGCCTTCGTTGAACGGTGGGTTGCTGCTAGGTTTTGAAGTTATCACGAGTTCGCTAAATCTGCAAACGAAAACAAAGACTCGGTGACCAAAGACCAGAAAGCTAGCTATTGATGTG